TTCCGCCCCCTGTTCAGGGCTCTGAGAGGGAAAAAAACATTTTGGTCAGTCTCAGCAAGGAAAACTAATGTACAGGACGTGTACAGGCTTCTCCTGTACAAAAGCTTCAACCCTTAAGACTTTCTGGGGGAGAATAGTCTTTAAGAGCATCCAAAGATTCCCAGGGAAACAGCCCTAAAGCTCTGAGGAATTCGGAGGGGAAAACAGCTTTGAATATCAAAGAACTCCAGCTGAAGAGCCTTCAGGCCTTACTGGTAGATCCACTCAGTGCTTTGAGACGCAGTTCAACCCAGTAGTGGAGCCCACATCAGTTAGGCCTAGTTCACAGTCAGCCTGGGAGAAGTTGGAAAGGGATTTTCTTTTAGAGTAAAGTAACAGTTAGAAGCCACCAGTAGCACAAAAGCCTGGAAGCATTTGTTAACCTTTTGAAGACGAGAGAAGTTTCTGTTTGATTGTTCATCAATAAAAGACTTTGTTATATTTCACAAGCCCTCTAAAGACTGTTTGTGGTGGAAAATCCTTAAGAACTTCTCTTCGGGGGCCCTGGCTTCCCGCTGGGCTCAAGTTGCACGTCCTGTTTTAAAGCAATTCATCTCAGGCCCAGCGCGCGACAGAACACTTTGGCATTAAATGTTTACCACTTTTCGGGGGAGATAGGACAGGTTACAGATAAAGTATTAGTATTATATTATTCTAATCGCAGTAAAATGAGAACAGATTAACAGATTAAACTAACAAAATGAAGTTAGTTTAACAATGACAAAAGCAAGATACTCCACTTAGGCAGAAAAAATGAAATGCAAACATACAGAATGGGGAAGCATGGCTCGATAGCAGTACGTGTGAAAAAGTGGACAGCAAGTTAGACATGAGCCAACAATGGGATGCGGCGGCAAAAAAAGCCAATGGGATTTTGGCCTGCAGAAATAGGAGTCTAATATCTAGATTCAGGGAAGTTATGCTACTCCTCTATTCTGCCTTGGTTAGACCACACCTGGAATATTGTGTCCAATTCTGGGCACCACAATTCAAGAGAGATATTGACAAGCTGGAATGTGTCCAGAGGAGTGCGACTAAAATGATCAAGGGTCTGGAGAACAAGCCCTATGAGAAGTGGCTTAAAGAGCTGGGCATGTTTAGCCTAGAGAAGAGAAGGCTGAGTGAAGACATGATAGGCATGTATAAATATGTGAGAGGAAGTCATAGGGAGGAGGGAGCAAGCTTGTTTTCTGCTGCCCTGGAGACTAGGACACGGAACAATGGATTCAAACTACAAGAAAGGAGATTCCATCTGAACATTAGGAAGAACTTCCTGACTGTGAGAGCTGTTCAGCAGTGGAACTCTCTGCCCGGAGTGTGGTGGAGGCTCCTTCTTTGGAGGCTGGATGGCCATCTGTCGAGGGTGCTTTGAATGTAATTTTCCTGCTTCTTGGCAGGGGGTTGGACTGGATGGTCCATGAGGTCTCTTCCAACTCTACGATTCTATGATTCTAAACCCACACAATCTCTCCGATCATCTGGAGAGGCCCTGCTCATGATCCCACCTGCGTTGCAAGCGCGATTGGTGGGGACGAGGGACAGGGCCTTCTCCGTGGTGGCCCCCCGACTGGAACTCTCTCCCCAAGGACATCAGACAAGCCCCAATGGGCAGTCTTTAGGAAGAGCTTGAAGACGTGGTTGTTTCAGTGTGCCTTTCCAGAAAAGGAAACTCCAAGCATCATGTCCCAAATGCACTTTACTAGAGATTTAAGATTGTTTGCACACCGCACCTGCGAAGGGCTTGCCCCAATTCAAAGAAAAGGGGTTTTCAGGAGAGAGAAGTTACGATTTATTATTTATTATTCTTAATGGTGCCACCAATTTGTGATGTGAGGTAATTTTGGGAGATTGGGCACACTGAACGCAGAATTAATGGAGATGAGGCAGTCTTAAAATCAAAGAGAACAAGTTTATTTTGAAACAAAGCGTATGGTTGCAGTTTGGTGATAAACTTGGAAGATACTTGGAGAACGTTACATATAACTTGGTTGCGATACAGTACAGACTTCTGATGTTACAACTTATCAATAACTTTTGCTGTGGTGAAGCACTTTATTAAACAATGGTTCCTGAGGTGAATAGTCTTCCTGTTTGATCCTTCCGTGATCAAACCTCAGATCTCTAGTTCACTTTTAACTAGTGATCTAAACAAGCTTCTATTAGTCTTCTCTAACTAATGAAACTAATAAGGTTTCCCCTTCAGCCTTCCTAAACTGAAGAAACTTCTGACTGTTCACAAACACTGCTTCTCTACTTCCCACTCTCTCTCTCTCAACACTTCATTTCCCTGAGCCTAAAACCTGACTCTTCATTCCTCTGAGCCTAAACCCCTGACTGACTTTAACTGTCGCTTTTCAAAACTCTCCTCTCTAAGCTCCTCCCACTTCTCTACAGCATCGTTTCCATGGTAACACACTCCTCACAGCTAGGCCGCTCCAGCATTAGGGCAACCAGTGTAAACACAATTACAGTTAAAAGGCATTTAATCAACTTCTGTACAGCACCTATCTCCAAAAACCTATCCATTTCACCTGTCATGTCCAGCATTTTAAAAATCTTTAATCATTACATTTGGCCCGGCCTTAGTTTTAAATGCATCGTGGTGTTGTTGTCTAATGTTTGCTGCTAGTCTTTTAATGTTTGTTTTGTTTTATGAGTTTATGAGTTTATTTATTGTTGTGTTTGTTATGCTGTTGTTTTATTGATGTGTTGGGCCTCGGCCTCTTGTAAGCCGCACCGAGTCCTTCGGGAGATGGTAGCGGGGTACAAATAAAGGTTTATTATTATTATTATTATTATTATAACACTTGCAAAGGTGGATCTGGCCGGGGTGGTCCATGCCTTGGTCACCTCTAGATTGGATTACTGTAATGCACTCTACGTGGGGCTGCCCTTGAAAACGGCTCAGAAATTCCAACTGGTCCAACGGGCGGTGGCCAGGATGTTAACTGGTGCTCCTTACAGAGAGAGGTCAACCCTCCTGTTTAAGGAGCTCCATTGGCTGCCGTTTTCCTTCCGATCCCAATTCAAGGTGCAGGTGCTTACCTACAAAGCCCTAAACGGTTTGGGACCTGCCTACCTGCATGACTGCATCTCCGTCTATGAACCCACGCGTTCTCTTCGTTCATCCGGAGAGGCCCTGCTCGTGATCCCGCCTGCGTCGCAGGCGCGTTGGGGACGAGGGACAGGGCCTTTTCTGTGGTTGCCCCCTGACTTTGGAACACCCTCCCCAAAGACATCAGACTAGCCCCCACGTTGGCAGTCTTTAGGAAGAGCTTGAAGACCTGGCTATTCCGATGTGCCTTTCTGGAATAGGAATACTCCAGCATTATGTCCCAGAAGCACTTTATTAGAGTTTTAAGATTCTCTGCACATTGCACTTGCCCTGAAATCCAACATACCACCTGTCACACCCAGCACTTTTTAATCTGTACACATTACTTGGCCCGGCCCTAGTTATGGTGTAATGTTTTGTTGTTATTGCTTTATGTTTTTGATTTGCTTTGAGTTGTATTTGTTATGCTGTTGTTGTGTTGAGGCCTTGGCCTTTGTAAGCCGCATCGAGTCCTTCGGGAGATGCTAGCGGGGTACAAATAAAGTTTAATAATAATAATAATAAAGGTGGTCTACAAATGTTCAGATTCAGCACTTTACAGCTTAATGGTATAGCATTAGAAAATGTTGACCATTTCCGCTACCTTGGCAGCCACTTCTCCACCAAAGTCAACATCGACACCGAAATACAACACGCCTGAGCTCTGCGAGTGCAGCATTTTCCCCGAATGAAGCAGAGAGTGTTTGAGGACCGGGACATCCGTAGGGATACCAAGGTGCTTGTTTATAAAGCTATTGTCCTCCCAACCCTGCTCTATGCCTGCAAAACGTGGACTGTCTACAGACGTCACATGCAACTCCTGGAACGATTCCATCAGTGCTGCCTCCGGAAAATCCTGCAAATCTCTTGGGAAGACAAGCGGACAAATGTCAGCGTGCTGGAAGAAGCAAAGACCACCAGCAGTGAAGTGACTGAATTTGTTTCGGGGGGGGCTGAGTCTGAGTGAAAGAGGGTCTAGCCTAGCAAACCTTTTGTATCATTACCCCAATACCCCCATGCATATGGGATTTATTGAGTATGGTGATCAGATCATGATATGAATAAACATAACAGTTTAAATAATGCACCAGTAAGGCCTTTTCGCGAACCACCATGAGAATTTGGGGGGGGGGGGCTGAAGCCCCCCAAGCCCCCCCCCCCCCCCGGCTACATGCCTGACCAGCATTGAAGCGATGGTCCTCTGCCATCAACTCCGCTGGACCGGCCACATTGTCCGGATGCCTGACCACCGTCTCCCAAAGCAGTTGCTCTACTCTGAACTTAAGAACGGAAAACGGAATGTTGGTGGACAGGAAAAGAGATTTAAAGATGGGCTCAAAGCCAACCTTAAAAACTCTGGCATAGACACTGAGAACTGGGAAGCCCTGGCCCTTGACCGCTCCAGCTGGAGGTCAGCTGTGACCAGCAGTGCTGCAGAATTCGAGGAGGCACGAGTGGAGGGCGAAAGAGAGAAACGTGCCAGGAGGAAGGCGCGTCAAGCCAACCCCGACCGGGACCGCCTTCCACCTGGAAACCAATGCCTTCACTGTGGGAGAAGATGCGGGTCAAGAATAGGGCTCCACAGCCACCTACAAACCCACAAACATAGTCATCAAGGAAGACCATCTTACTCGTCCAACGAGGGATCGCCTAAGTAAAGTAATAATAAGGTGGAGAGGGCCATCCCCATTGGGAGGTGCGTCGAGGCTGCATTCTGGGACCCACCGCTAGAGGGAGTCAGGTGCCGCCTGGACGGGGAGGAGGGGAGAAAGCCCCGCCCCCTCGGTTGCCATGGGGACCGGCGAGCGTCTCTTGGCTTGGGCCCGGCAGGAAGCGGCGTGGCTCCGAGCGGGCGGCGGTCTCGGCCATGGACGACGTGCGGGTGCAGTGGGTGGGCCAGCGCCTGAAGGAGGCCTTCGGCATCAAGGAGACGGCCCCCTTCGAGGAGCTGCTCAACCGCAACGACGGCGCCGAGGCCGACCTGCTCCTGCATTTCCTCAACGTGGGCAGCGCAGGCCAGAAAGGGCAGGCCCTCGCCCTCTTCTTCCGGCAGGAGACCCGCCTCGACGAGGTCGACGTGGAAGTCGGTGCGTCGCCTCGCCTCGCCTCTTGGGGAAAAAGCAGCCACCCTCACGGACTCCTCTCCCTTCCCGTCAAGCAGGGGCTCTGGACTTCAACTCCCAGAAGCCTCCTCAGCTCAGGCAGCAGCCGGGAATTCTGGGAGATGAAGACCCCTGGGAGCCTGCAGTGGTGGTTCATTCCTTTGGCTCCCTCTCAGTGCAAAAGCCATCCTCTTCGTAGGCCTTTGGGGCTGAGCCTTGGCGTCCTAAGCTTCTCTTGCACATCAGGGGATGGGGTGACCCAACAGAGGCTGCCCTTTCGCCCAGGATCTGATCCCAGATTATCTGGCAGTGTAGACCAGGCATGGGCAAACTTGGGCCCTCCCTCCAGGTGTTTTGGAGTTACTTATTTTATTTGTCGTGTCAGGGCAACCAGTTGATTATATTACATTTCTAACAGAACAAAGCAAACAAACAGACAAAATACAAAATTTGCGAGTTTGGTAGTTGATTAAATGTCCTTTGACCAGTATCTGGCCACTTGGAGTGCTTCTAGTGTTGCTGCAAGAAGGTCCTTCATTGTGCATGTGGTGAGGCTCAGGTTGCACTGCAGCAGGTGGTCAGTGGTTTGCTCCTCTCTACACTCGCATGTCGTGGATTCCACTTTGTAGCCCCATTTCTGAAGGTTGCAAGCTTGATAGTTTATTAAATGTCCTCGACCAGTAGCTGGCCACTTGGAGTGCCTCTGGTGTTACTATAAGAAGGTCCTACATGTAGCAGGATTCAGGTTGCATTGCAGCAGGTGGTCTGTGGTTTGCTCTTCTCCACACTCGCATGTCGTGGATTCCACTTTGTAGCCCCATTTCTTAAGGTTGGCTCTGCATCTTGTGGTGCCAGAGCGCAGTCTGTTCAGTGCCTTCCAAGTTGCCCAGTTTTCTGTGTGCCCAGGAGGGAGTCTCTCATTTGGTATCAGCCATTGATTGAGATTCTGGGTTTGAGCCTGCCACTTTTGGACTCTCACTTGCTGGGGTGTTCCAGCGAGTGTCTCTGTAGATCTTAGAAAACTATTTCTAGATTTAAGTCGTTGACGTGCTGGCTGATACCCAAACAGGGGATGAGCTGGAGATGTCTCCGCCTTGGTCCTTTCACTATTGGCTGCAACTTCCTGGCGGATGTCAGGTGGTGCAATACCGGCTAAGCAGTGTAATTTCTCCAGTGGTGTAGGGCGCAGACACCCTGTGATAATGCGGCATGTCTCATTAAGAGCCACATCCACTGTTTTAGTGTGGTGAGATGTGTTCCACACTGGGCATGCATACTCAGCAGCAGTGTAGCACAGCGCAAGGGCAGATGTCTTCACTGTGTCTAGCTGTGATCCCCAGGTTGTGCCAGTCAGCTTTAGTATGATATTGTTTCTAGCACCCACTTTTTGCTTGATGTTCAAGCAGTGCTTCTTTTTCTTTTTCCCTTTCCTTTTCAACTTAAGCAGCTGAGGGGAGAAAGGAAAGGGCCTGAGGCTGTTAGGAATTGTGGGAGTTGAAAATCCAGTTCAAAGCAGATAACCGGGGATCAGATCCTGGAAGAGAGGACAGTGTGGAGCCAGCCTGAGTGCCTCTGAGTATTTGCAGAGTGCTCTGCTTCCCCACCAATAGAGAACCACACCTTGGGGACATTTTATTTTTATTTATTTATTTATTATGATATTTCTACCTCCCCTTTCTCGAACCCAAAGGTGACTCAAGGCGGCATTACAACATAGGTAGCTATTCAGTGCCACTAAAACAATGTAAAAATTACAGTAAACATTTTAAACAGAATTATAAAATGCATACATTAAAAATTTAAAACATATAAAACCACTACCTTCACTATTAGCCTCATTGCCCAAAAACATCGTCTTAGCCATTCCTGTATTCGATTTCAGATAGTTCCGTGTTTATCTATTGCACTAGGTTCCCAAAGGCTTGTTCAAAAAGCCATGTTTTCACTTTTCTGAAGAAGGTCAGGCAGGAAGGGGCTGATCTAATACCCCTTGGGAGAGAGTTTCACAGCCGAGGGGCCACCACTGAGAAGGCCCTGTCTCTCGTCTCCACCAGTTGCGCCTGCGAAGACAGCGGGACCGAGAGCAGGGCCTCTCCAGTTGATCTTATACTCCTATTGTGCTTCAGTATTTACATTTATATTTTAATTGTACTAAACATACCAAGTGCGTTTGAAACTGTGACTTTCATTTCCTGTGCTGGTCTATGACCAAAATAAATGATTTGATTAGATTTGAACTCCTAGCGTACAATGGTTAAAGATGACAAAATTACATCATAACATGAAAATACAACCAAAAACATCGTAGAAGCAAAGTAAACAGAAATACACACTAGGTAAAGGTAAAGGATTTTTCCTTAACATTAAATCCAGTCATGTCCAACTCTGGGGGGTTGGTGCTTATTTCTAAGCTGGTGAGTCGGCATTGTCCATAGACACCTCCAACGTCATGTGGCCGGCATGACTGAATGGAGCGCTGTTACCTTCCTTCTGGAGTGGTACCTATTGATCTACTCACATTTGCATGTTTTCAAACTGCTAGGTTGGCAGGAGCTGGGGCTAACAGCGGGAGCTCACCCCACTCCTCAGATTTGAACTAGCAACCTTTCGGTCAGCAAGTGCAGCAGCTCAGCGGTTTAACCCACTGCGCCACCGGGGGCTCCGAAATACACACAACATCAACCCAATTTAACAAATCAAAATATTATACAATTTAAAAAAATTATCTGACCCTCAGGCCATTAAGGTTATCCACTAAAAGAGTTGTTCTAGTGTCCTAAAAACTCAGTTTCCTTGAGGCTGTGTTAAAATATTGCTGGTCTGAAATAGCATTCCAAAAATATACCATTACCTGTATCTATCTGGTCATTACCTATTGTTGATCTTCAGGAAAGCCCTGGTTCCATAGAAAGATTTTAACTTGAGAGTGAAAGGCCAGCAAGGAGGGGGCTGATTGCACCTTTCTAGGAAGGGAGTTCCATCAACCACACTTGTGATGGTGGTGGGACCAAGAGAAGGGCCTCTCCTGATGATTTCAAGTAAGCGGGGTCTGAACTGTTTAGGGCTTTATAGGCTTTGTGCCCTTCCTTTCCCCTGAATGTTTGCCGTAAAATAAACTCGTGGCGAGCTGAAAGGGTGACTGAGCATATACAAAATACCTCCACATTTCTTCTCTCTCTCCCTTCCCTTTTTCCTGAATATCTGACATATAGGGTTGCTGTGAGTTTTCCGGACTGTTTGGCCATGTTCCCGGAGCATTCTTTCCTGGTGTTTTACCTGCATCTATGGCAGGCATCCAGAGGTAGTGAGGTCTGTTGGAAACTAGGAACATGTCCAGGGTGGGAGAAAGAATTCTTGTCTGTTTGAGGCAGATGTGAATTTTACAATTGGCCAGCTTGATTAGCATTGAAAAGGTTAGCAGCTTCAAAGCCTGGCTGCTTCTTGCCTTGAGCATCCTTTAGGAGGTGTTAATTGGCACTTAGACAACACATTTGACATATATATTCTCCTTTCTGTTGAAAGACCACAAGCGGCCCTTGGGCTCGATGGGAGCAATCAGTGGTTAAGCTTTTAGGCCAGAAATGAAAAAGAAAAGCACAAGATCATATATTTTGGCAAAGGGTGTTGTTGAGCACTTTAGAATTGCTGTGGATAGTGAGATCCAAGCCACTGTGGATTTAACCTGGGGAGAAAAAGAAACCAATATTCCAGAATAAATCTCACCAAGTTGAAGCAGAAGCCACCGAGGTATATATTTCTGTTCCAGCTGGAAAAGGATGACGGCTTCATTAATCTACTGAAGAAGCTGTCATGCCCAGTTACAGAGAGCAAGACATTATATACAGGTTTTCCATTCAAATCTCCTGCGCCCTCCCCCCAAGCTATCTTCGCTGTGATTGGTTCTGATGCCAGCAAGCTGGGAGGAGCAGCTGTGGGCTGGTGCAGCTCGTCCAATGAGAGCCCAAGCCCTGCTTTGGCCGCTCAGCCAATGGTGTGCAAGGAGGTGCGACAACAGTAGAAACGAAAATAGTTGCTTGATGATGGAATTATGAGTGGCCCTATTGATAGGCGATCTATGTGATTGCTGCCAGCCCTCAAGCCTGACCTAACATTTCTGTCTAGCCCCTCAGAGGCAGCCCATTGTCCAAAAGAATGGTGATACTGGTTTCTTGATGGGATCTGCTGATCCAGCTTACTGGAGAAGGGAATATCATTGTTTGGGAAGCTGTGACATCCCCTTCTCCTTGCAGAGGGGAAATGTCCTTTGTGAAGAGTGATTAGAGTGTCCAAAAAGTTACCCAATTCTTAAGTGGCCTGATCCTTCAAGGCTTAAAAAAGGGGCCATCAAGCTATTTATTTATTTATTTATTTATTTACCATATTTATATACCGCCCCTCTCAACCCGGAGGCGACTCGAGGTGGTTTACAGCCGTCAGTCAATGCCCCCAAACAACATAAATACAGTTAAAAACATTACATATAATATAAACCATATAAAAGCAATAAAACAATAAAAGCCATATAACACACGTCCTCATCACTAAACTTACTTTTCTGTCGCATTGTCCAATTGTTCCGTGGATCTCAATTAGTCTGTTGCACTGCATCTGCAAATGCCTGCTCAAACAGCCAGGTTTTGACTCTCTTTCAAAATGTTAGGAGGGGGGCCAATGTAATATCCTTAGAGAGGGCGTTCCATAGCTGAGGGGCCACCGCTGAGAAGGCTGTCTCTCATTCCCGCCAATCGCATCTGCGAAGGGGTTGGGACCGAGAGCAGGGCCTCATCAGATGATCTTAAGTACCTAGATGGTTCAAAGGGAGAGATGCGTTTGGACAGGTAAACTGGGCCAGAACCGTCTACGGCAGTGTTTCTCAACCTGGGGGTCAGGACCCCTGGGGGGGGGTTCGCCAGGTGGTGTCAGGGGGGTCGCCAAAGACCATCAGAAAACACAGTATTTTCTGTTGATCATGGGGGTTCTGTGTGGGAAGTTTGGCCCAATTCTATTGTTGGTTGGGTTCAAGATGCTCTTTGACTCTAGGTGAACTATACATCCCAGCAACCATAACTCCCAGATGGTAAGGTCTATTTCCACCAAACTCCACCAGTGTTCACATTTGGCCACGGTGGTACACGCTCTGGTCACATCCCGCCTTGACTACTGCAACGCTCTCTACATGGGGCTGCCCTTGAAGACGGCCCGGAAGCTTCAGCTAGTCCAGCGCGCGGCAGCCATGTTACTAACAGGAGCGGGACGCAGGGAGCACACAACGCCCTTGTTGTTCCAGCTCCACTGGCTGCCGATCTGCTACCGGGCCCAATTCAAGGTGCTGGTGTTGGCCTACAAAGCCCTAAACGGTTCCGGCCCAAAATACCTCTCTGACCGCATCTCGGCCTATGAGCCCACGAGGGACCTTGAGATCGTCTGGGGAGGCCCTTCTCTCGATCCCGCCTGCCTCACAGGCACGTCTGGCGGGGACGAGAGATAGGGCCTTCTCGGTGGTGGCCCCCCGGCTGTGGAACGCCCTCCCTGTAGATATCAGACAGGCGCCCTCCCTTATGGCATTCCGCAAGAGTCTAAAGACATGGTTTTTTGAGAAGGCGTTTGACTAAGTGCTACAATCATTGGTAATGACGATCGGAACGGAATATGGATAACGAGTTTGGTTTATGATTCTACAATGAGACGGTGCGGATGATTTAGCGTAATGGTATTATTGATTGCTATGTTGATTTTGTTGTGATATTGTGATATTGTCTATTGTAAACTGTTTTTATATGTTGTACACCGCCGTGAGTCGCCCTAGGGCTGAGAACGGCGGTCAACAAATGCAGTAAATAAATAAATAAATAAATAAATAAATAAATTAAGTCCACAGTGCTCTCTGGATGTAGGTGAACTACAACTCCAAAGCTCAAGGTCAATGTCCACCAAACCCTTCAAGTATATTCTGTTGGTCATGGGAGTTCTGTGTGCCAAGTTTGGAAGGTTGAGACCCACTGGTCTATGGCTTTAAATGCTAAAGCGAGCACTTTGAATTGTGCCCGGTAGCAAACTGGCAACCAGTGGAGCTTGCGCAACAGAGGAGTTGTGTGCTCCCTGAGCGCCGCTCCAGTTAACAACCTGGCTGCTGCCCGTTGGACCATTTGAAGCTTCCGAACAGACTTCAAAGGCAGACCCACGTAGAGCGCGTTGCAGTAGTCTATACAGGGATGTATAGAAATGTTTGATTGGCCTTTCAACAAAAATGCAGACCCAGGGCAGCTTGTGGCACCTGAGTCAGGAAGAGCTGGCCAGAGTTCATAAAAAGGTCAACTTACCTCATGCTTTATACATACATACATGAAATTATTGGGGACATGGGGCATATTGGGCACATGGGGCGAAGGAAGATAGATGCTTTTGAACTGTGGTGTTGGAGGAAAGTTCTGAGAGTGTCTTGGACTGCAAGAAGATCCAACTAGTCCATACTTCAGGAAATAAAGCGACTGCTCATTGGAGGGAAGGATATTAGAGACAAAGTTGAAGTCCTTTGGCCACATCATGAGAAGACAGGAAAGCTTAGAGAAGACAATGATGCTGGGGAAAAAAGAAGGAAAAAGGAAGAGGGGCCGACCAAGGGCAAGATGGATGGATGGCATCCTTGAAGTGACTGGATTGACCTTGAAGGAGCTGGAGGTGGTGACAGTCGACAGGGAGCTCTGGTGTGGGCTGGTCCATGAGGTCACAAAGAGCCGGAAGCAACTGAACAAATAATACGAAACATAGGGCATAAAACCTTGATTAAATGTACACACTATCTAACATGGGAAGGGTCCTTGTTGTTGTTAGTGTCTTGGCAAATTGACCAAGGCTTAACCCTTATTATCCAGCCTGGTGTCCTTGTCCTTAGCAAAACTATAAGTTACTATCTTTTATTGGGGGGGGGGGGGACCTCTGACTACAAGGGTAGATTTGTGTGAAGTCCAAAGGAGTGGATCAACGAGAGATCAGACAGGATATCCTTTCCTTTTTTCCTGAACATTTGACATACTATATATTCTTCATTCCCTTTTTTTCTGAGTATTTGTCATTTATCTTCTCCTTTCCTTTTCCCCCTGCAAATTTGTCATTTATATTATCCTTTTTCTTTTTTTTCTTGAATGTTTGTCATATACTCTCCCTTCCTTGTTTCCTGAATATATGTCATATATATTCTCCCTTTTCCCTGAAGATTTGCCATATATATTCTCCACTTCTCTGCTTTGAACGGAGAACCATCCTTGTGGAATAACTCCATATATGCATTTCAATTGTAATATGTGTATAATAGATGTTCTTTTTGTCATTAAACAGATATATCGTTTGAAGAGGCTCTTAGAGAAGCAGAAAGTCGTTCAGAGAAGCTGTATGGCGTTTCTTCCCTTTCCATGTCAGGTGGAAGTACGTAAGAGGAAAGAAATTAGGAAAAGCCTTGCTAGTAGTTGGAGACCTGTTGGGAATTGGCTCAAGACATTTTGATGTCTCAGGCAGAAAAATAACCGACTCTTCTTGCCCCCTCTATTTCAAGGCTGGCCAAATTATTGTGGCACCTAAGGCAAAACAAAAAATAAATCCAAGAAATACTTCTCCCTTCCCATGCAATAACTACAGAACAAAAATAAATGAAATAAGTTACCTCAAATCAAGTTACTTCACTCTGCCTTAGAGGACCAGCCTTAAATTTGAAGGAGCGAGAAACAATATTGGAATCCAGAGACCTATGATATTGGTCTGTTAATGTAAAATACGCCTAATTAGAGCCCCATGAAGATGGGGTTAGTAGCACTGAAAAAGGTTATTTACTTTTTTCTTAATGCCTTTCATTTACCTGAGTTTTCCACACCACTAGCAAAAGTTGCAGTTAACTCTACAAGAAAAAAGGAAGGATACTCTGCAGAAATCCTAATTACACTATGTAACACAATTTGAAAAAAAGATGTTTTTGATTTGAAAGTGTTATTTCCTGTTTAGTTGTGCAGTGCCTACTTTGAAAGTAGTTCTACTCCAGAAACTTTGTTTTTGTGGCAGCCACAAACTCAGTTGAATTGGTTGAGACTCGATGAGATATTAATTGAAAAAGTGTAGCAAAATGGGCTGCAGGGTGTCCCTCCCGCAAAACAACCTTTTTCAGTTTAATAAACTTTGTTTTCCTGTTTTTATGATAGAACCAATTAGGAAATGATGTTTATAACTTAGGAACAAAAATGTGCTACGTAGTGTTATTCGCTATATTGAGGGTTTGTCATGCATCTTATAAACTACATGAAATATTGTTTGTGGATCTCTAGTCAAATTGCTTTGACTCCAAATGACAGAGGAGGATGACCAGGTTGTGTGTGTCGGGGAGACATAGCATAATCTGAAGTAGTGACAGGGATCTTGAACAATACAGTTCACATAGATGTCTCACAGAACTGTTTTCAGAGCTCTGCATATTATGATTACTACAATTCACAGAGGAAACATGCAAAATATAGACATAAATGTGGTGGTATGTTTGCATTTGACACACTTTCCTAGACAACTTTTTGTGCACGTTCAATTGTTTCCAACCCTGAGGGGACCTCATCACAGGGTTTTCTTGATAAGGTTTGTTCAGAGGTCACCTAGTGGGTTTCCATAGCTGAGCAAGCATTTGACCTCTAGTTTTCAGAGTCACGAGCTGAATGCTCAAACCACTACATCATACTATCCCTTAGGGCCTTTCCACACAGCCCTATATCCCAGAATATCAAGGCAGAAAATCCCACATTATCTGAGTGTGGACTCAGATAATCCAGTTCAAAGCAGATATTGTGGGATTTTCTGCCTTGATATTCTGGGATATAGGGCTGTGTGGAAGGGCCCTTAGTCCACTTTTCCTCCTGTAGCTCATCATTTAAAGCCCTTGATCCACATTCCACCTTATTTACACAGAATATCCTCAGTTGCCTTGGTGGATTACCAATGTAAGGTAGTGTTGCAATAATTCCAGTCCTTCCTGAAGGGTTAGTTACAGGGCCCTTCCACACAGCCATATAATCCAGAATATCAAGGCAGAATAACCCACAATATCTGCTTTGAATTGGGTTATCTGAGTCCACACTGCCATATACTCCAGTTCAAAGCAGATTTTATTCAGCTGTGTGGAAGGGGGCACAGAAGGTATTGATGAGAGATTTCTACTCCTTTCTGGGTCCTTCTACACAGCCCTATATCCCAGAATATCAAGGCAGAAAATCCCACATTCATTATCTGAGTGTGGATTCAAATAACCCAGATATTGTGGGATTTCCTGCCTTGATATTCTGGGATATAGGGCTGTGTGGAATATAGGGCTGTGAGTGTCAGGAACTTGATCTTGATAGTAAATTGGTCCTACAGCTGATAAGTGCTGATAAGAATGCTATCTGAGAAAACATCAGTGGCATCATTGTCGAAAAGCCCTTGTACTAACATAAATGTAATGGACTGATCTTTGATTATTATTTAAACACTACTTACTTCTAAACTTCCAGTGTAATGTACATAACATAAGGCTGTCTTTTAAGATGGTTCAGAAACTTCATTTGATAAGGATTTTAGTGAAGGTTAAGAGGTTAGAAAGAAATGCCAAAATTGCACCAGTTAATACTGACTACTAGTGTACTTCTGAGTCCACATTGGTACAAAGCTGAATGGTTGATTATTTCCATTTGATGACAACCTGTGCTTAAGGCTGCTTAAGTCTTGCTGAACTCTTTTCTTGTCTTTAATTTCTTTTACTCTGACTATACCCCTTTTTAAAGAGAAAAGCCGGAAAAGCAGAGGCACTCTGTCTGATTCTGTGGGAAAACGTATTACATCTGGTCAATCTTCCGCGGGCTCCATTGGGAAAAGCAAAGCTGACTCAGCACATACACCGGTTTCAGAGGAATCAAAAGGTTTTATGGGTAAAGTAAGTCTGTCCACCTTCACTGTTGACTTTGCAGTGAGCCAGAAATATGGGCTTTGTTTCTTTTGAAAATTTAAGTGAGGAGGCCATGCTAATATATGAATCATGTGCGGAATGGAAGAGTGAGGATTAAATACAATATGTTGTCATTAACCCCATTAAAAAACTATTGTTTCAGTTCAGCCTCAAGCCATGGCATTTTTCAGAGTTTTTGTTTGAAGCGATTTTGCTGTAACTTCATTGTAAAACAGGACAGGGAACTTGTGGACCTCTAGGTGTTGTTGAAAGTAACTCGTATCAGTTATGAACAGCATGACCAGTAAAGAATGGTGGGAATTGTAGTCCAGCAACATCTCAAGAATCAAATTATTCCATCTTGGACCCAGAATGCTCCTCTTCTGTTTCTCTTTCCATGCTGATTTCTTTTAGTCTTTTACCATTATCTCTATTATAGCTCAATTTTGAGTAATGCATAGAGTTATGAAATGCAGTGCTCCAGAAGAGACTTTGCAATTCAGAACACAGAGCTAGTGTTTTGTGTAGACGGGGAAGTTATTATATTTTTAAAATAATGCACTCCTCTACGCAGTCACAAAGATAAACAGCCAAATAACGTCTTTCAAATATCAATTGTTAAGAGTACAAGCTTGGAATCCTATACGGAGGTTTAACTGAAAGTAACGCCAGTCAGGTCAGAACCTCATTATTAACAAATCTATGCATGCACAACTACATACATGGGTAAGGCAACTCTGCCTGCATTTATTCAGTGATGATACGTTTGTTACACCACTTTGCTTACGCAATCAAAGTGCTGCTCCTCAAGATTTCCTTCATCCAATCAAGCAACTGAGAATGTCGGATCAAGGCTGTTGTTGCACTCCAGGCCTGGAAACACCTATGACCACCGCACGACACAAGAGTCCAGGAATATAAGCAATCAGTTTATTGTAAAACACATTAAAAGCATATAAAAATCAGGAATAAGAAAAGAAGATATATAATCCAAAAAGGTTTAGCAACAGGTAATAACCAAACAATAATCCAAATGTCTCATAAAGTTCCAGAGGTGACAAAGTCCAGGAACAGCCAGAAATCACAGGTACAGGATAAGTTAACAAGCAAGAAGATATAACTAGTAAAACTTGAACAGGAGTACATGAACAAGAACATAGAAAACTTCCAGGATATTAAAATCCAAAACCAAGTCTTGACTTAAACCAAGACCAAGAGATCTCAGGCTTAGCTTCTCACTCTAAGGCAGTGTTGCCTGAACTGCCATTAAAGTAAGCAACTTGTTGTTTAATAGACACCCATGAAAGCCTTACGTCTCCCATGAATTTTCTCCACAACATTCCCACAGAATCTCTCTGACTGACTTAGTCTATTTTCGGCTGTGATTTGTACACAACTTTTGTTGATCTACAGGTGGTTTCTCCTGGGAACCCTCCTTATCACTCAGATCTTCACTCAATTCCTTATCTGCTGTTGCTCCTTCTGGCTCCTCTGACTGGCCTTGAAGCCCTACACTTTCCAAGCCAGTTTTCTCACAGAGAGAACCATCATTTCCCTGACCTGAATTTCCCAGACTTGAGGGCCCATCACTTTGTGCCACAGGAAAATCCACAACCCTCTCTAAATCATCAGTTAAACCATCATCCTCTGGCTATAAGGCATATGGGTCACCACTAACTCCATGTTCTTGTCTGTTTTTTTTCTGTTAGGATCCCATCTCTCTGTTAGGATCCCATCTTTTTTTGTGGGGTGGGGGGTCCAAAAATTAGAAGTACAGAATTAAAATTTGCAAATTTTGAACAGAGCATTAGAAAAGAATAAAATAAGATGTCAGAGTTTGTAACATGCTGCGTGTGCTTCCATCGTGTTTGCAACTCACAGTTTTAATCCATTCAGTTTAAGAAGGAAAACCTTTATGATTACACCATTGGGATGCAGATCACATCACAATTTGGCATTTATCCCTTTCAAATGAGAGTTATTATTTCGGGAAGAAGCATTAGAAAATTTTTTGATTGAGAATAGAGAAAAGCAATAGATAACGCTTACAGTACAAAGATAATATTGTGAAAAGATTGTTTTGTTTCCTGGAGGATTCACATGTTTGCATTCCTTTTGAGGAAAAGGGCTGAATCCCTGTCTGAATCCCAGACAGGGATTCAGACAAAGACAGCAGGGTAGGTCTTGTGTATCTTATACTTATTTTGCATGTTGAAGCAGTTAAACAGATAACCCTTATGTTACACAAGGCCTCAGAATAGCCTGACTCCGAATGTATGTGTCAATGATAACAAAGATTAGTTTTCTCAACTATTTTGGAAAACACTCCATGTGGATGCCATTCTGCAGCAGACAACAGTTTAGAAAAATTACTATGAATAACTATACTCTGAGTCATTCCAACTTTTTGCGTTTGTTGCCATCCATTTCAGAAAATTGTAAAACGGGAGGTGTACAATCAGTATTATTACATGGCTATGACGGACTTCTCAGACGACTTTGTGGAGAACGACATTGTGTTTTTTCTCAGAGACACTTCAGGTATTTTACAGGGATGATTTATTCTGGAAACTTTTAGATGATAAGGAGTTTGTGGGAAAGGGAACCTGGTTCTTTTAAGAAAAAGACTTTAAATAACAGAGACCTGGATACCCACTTCTTGAAACTTGGTGATACCCTTCTTGTCAATCTAGAGGAACAGGCTTCAACTGGTATTTCAAAAAGATTTCAGAAAACAGGAGGGTTTACATGAAAGTTTAGGAAATTTCATATTGTGTATAGCAGGGTGAGGAATATGTGGTCTTCCAGATAATTGTTGGAGCTGGTGTTCCATGGGCCCCAGTCAGCATAGCTGCTGTTGCCCTTTGACATTATTTTAACTGCCATGGCTCAATGCTGTGGGATCAGGGAAGCTGTAGCTTTACAAGGTCTTTAACATTCTCTGCCAAGTAATTCTGGTGCTTCATCAAACTGCAACTCCCAGGATTCCACACTATTGAGCCACGACAGTTAAAAGTGTCAAACTACATTGATTCTGCAATGCAAATGCAGCCAGAGAATAGAAAATTAATGGTTTAACACAGAAAGACTAGACATTCATATAGTCCAGTTTCTGATAGTTCTCATTTTGTGTGTTGTGAATCTTTAATTCTCTGAGAGTCTATGTAGTCCAGAGATATTTTGAGGATTGGATTTAGCTAACTTCAGAGAAGTAGCTACATAAATCTGTAAGAGACTTGGGGCAAATTAAAGAGTTGAGTAATACTGTGGTATAAATGTGGAAATATAATAAATCTAGAACAGATGCTTCCTATGTTGTTCCCTGTGAATAAAACAAATTTATTGTGACATAAGCTTTTGTAAACTACAGTATGCTTCATGAGAATATTGATATACTCCAATTTTTTTTTTATAAAATCACAAATATTTTAGTCTTTCAGGTGTCATAAAATGGGATTTAATAAGGTGGTTCTTGTTGCCCTTGTAAAAATGCCTGAACTAGTGAGCCTTCTTTCCTTTGTAGTTGGTGTTTGTGTACCACAAAAGCCAACAATACTTGCACTTGAATATTTTTATATGAAGAGGCACTAATAATAGAGACTAGCGCAGAAAAATCCTATGGCACAGTTCTTATAGGTTTGTATATAATGTTTGAATACTTTTCCATATAAAGAAAACGCTTCTCTAAGGAAATGAGGCATGGAGCTCAACTTCCATCCAATTATACTAATTTTCTATGGGCAAAGTAAGAAACAGAATTCAAATAGGTATCCTCCTGCCTGTTTTCTGTGATGGTGAAATATCGGATGTGTACCATATACTTTTACCCCGCCCCTGAGTCCCCCCTAGGGGATTGAGAAGGGCGGGGTAAAAGTAACTGTAATAAATAAATAAATATAATTTAACATGAATTTATAATTCAATTTTTAATCAAGAGCAGTGGATCAGAACAACTCCTCAAATTACTGTTTCCTTTTACTGTTCAGAAACTGTTACTGAACCAAATGACTTAACAGAAGCAAACGACGTTCTTCCAGAAGTCCTGGAGTACGGCATACTAAACGGTCATACTTTGGTGATGCTCAAGCAGCTCTTGGGATTGGTGAGAGGCTTGTTTTTTTTTCAAGATAACTGGGATTGATTCTTTGCCTTTAATGACTGCTTGCCTGTAAAAGTGTGAAAAGTTGCAAGTGAAATTAGCCATTTCCTTCAGAATTGAAGGTGGTGGAAACAAGTCCTGTTTTTTCAGGTCTTTCTGCCTGCAATGTGTCATAACCAATATCACAGAGGTGACCCAGAAGCTGAAAGGTCACTGGTTGGAGGCCTCCCATTTGTTGGGAGGATCTTGATGAGGTCATCAGGACTAGACAGCCTTCAAAACCTAAGGAACGAGTTCTTAATGAATATGCAGAAATTCCTAAACCATGTTCAGAGAACCATACTACAAATGGAAGGTAAATGCTTCAAAGGCTCTTATCTGCAGTTCATGTTAATGTATGAACGAAGGAAACATATTTAGGTTTATATATGTCTGTGTCATGGGTTAAAGTAGACTGGTAGCCATAGAGGAAGGTGGATTTGCAATTCCATTCCAGTTTTCTTGAAACCTGGAGTTGGGGTGGAATGTTAAAGGGATTGATAGCAAGCTTTGGGCAGCTAAAGAGTTGACTAATACTATGGCATAAATGTGGAAAGATAATAAATCTAGAGCAGAAGCTTCCTATGTTGTTCCTTGTGAGTAGAAATCATGGAATAAAATAAGAATAAAAACACCAAAATTATTATTATTATTATTATTATTATTATTATTATTAGTAGTAGTAGTAGTAGTAGTAGTAGTATTGTAATACATTTATTACTCACTTCTTCTTGTGACTCCGTATTTAATTGAAGCTAATGCCATTTTTATTCAACAGGGGAAATTAAGTTAAACATGCCCACGTTATGCTTAGACGGTGATTTGAATGAACTTGCCAGTGATCGGGATATTGTTGAAACACTGGAAAACCTTGCAAATGGTTGGATTAAGTTAATAACGTCAGTAGTTGAAGAACTAGCAAAAAAAGTCCCCCAGGTGAATTAATAGGTTTATCAGAGCAAGTTGCATTCTTATTCCTCATTTTTATGAAATATTACAAAAGTGGTCACCAACTGAGTACCATCTACATATATTGGACCATACCCCACATCACATCCAGTCGACATGGATTGATATGGCCCTGTTTTTCATATGTGTAGGAACTTGCCTCTTAGGGCAGCATCTGTCAACAGATTCAGCATTTCTTTGCCTGGCAGTGTGACTGCCCCTGAAATGGGATTTTCTACCAGAGATTTGTTGTAGGCACCATGGCGGAGAGAACGGGAATAGCACATAGTCCCTTACTGAATATGTGTGAATAGCAGAAAAAGAAAATATGATATAAGCCTGCCTCACCAGATACACCCCAGCCAGCAAAAAAACAGAGTTCTGGAAATCATAAGCAAGTAGTTCTTAGCATCCCTTACCATTGGCTCTGCTAGTTGAGACTGCTTGGAATTGTAGTCCCACAACATCTTCCTGGGTGGGGGTCGCCTATGACATAAATACCCAATTTAGTCTCAACTAGAGTATACCCACTGAAAACCAGCACATACATACACCCTAGTGATAAGTTCAGTTTACTTTAAATAGGGACTAGGGTATTTAGATTGACAGCTCCTGGGCTAGTTTTTTGCAAGAAAGGTTAGCTTGCACACCAGACAGTATTTTTTCAGCTGACTGAAAGGCTAGTGTTGCTATATAAAGGAGAAAGCCAGCTCTGGGCATAAGATAAGCTCTGTTTCTGGACTATTTGGCACTGAGCTTTATCCATCACAAAATAGGATAGGAGGGACACCTTAGTTTGTACTGATTAACCTTCATTGCCTGCTAATTGTTATATGTCCTCACAGTCACCTTATTGGTAAATTAAAGAGCTCCCAATATGTACATTGTTTCCATTTAGAGAAGGTGTTTTGTACTTTTGAAGGCTTGGTCTATCTCGTCCTTTTTCTAAGCTCTGTCTGTACTGTGGAGCTGTACCCTATTCATAAGAGCTTTACAGGCAATGGGTTCACACACACACACAAAAAGAAAACTTCAAGCTTTTGAGAAATGATGGCATGGCATCTGGCTTCTATTTCAGTGTTCTGTGTCTTGTCTGATTTCCTCTTACTCAGGGGAATGGTCCACTTGCTGAAATAGAGCTCTGGCATGAGAGAAGTGCCACTTTGAGTGCCCTTACCGAGCAAATCAGGTTTCCAGCAGTCCAAAGGGTCTTGGAGGTGCTGGACATTGCCAACACTGGAATTGTAGAAAATTTGCAAGTAGTTGTCAATGAACTAAGCAAGCATCAAGTGGAAGCGGTAGACAACGTGAGGTTCCTCTCCACTATTCAGCGACACCTAAAGGTATGCATGGCTTGTTGGGAGAGGCAGGGGCGGACGAGATCTCTGAGCAACTAGAATCTTGGACATATTTATGTATTATTTATGTAATATTTATGTATTATTATGTAATATTTATTTGAAAGGCAACTCTAGTTCCTTGGAGGCTTTCAATGTCTCCCCCAGGCTGGCTCAACCTCTTCTTCTTTCCTTCCTTTTTCATGTTTTTCTTGATTTACAATATTTGCCATCCCTTCCAAAGAATTTAACACATGGAACCAGCTTCAGCGTTGTCCTGGATACGATCCCATCGCTGCTGAATGCCTTAAGGATGGTTTGGATTATTTCGCGGCATTACAACAAGGATGAACGCATGGTCCCCCTCATGGAGCGGATTGCTTGGGAGATTTCGGCAAGAGTTGCTAAAGTGGTGGATTTACGAACTTTGTTCAAGTATGTAGCCATATGTGAATTGGTCCAGGTACATTAGTGATATGCATCTTTTTCCTGGGAGTTTTTTTTTTTTTTTTGCATTGGTAGCCCTGGTCACAGAGGCCCATTGCAGATGGAATGCTAGTTCCTTGCAAATCAGGAGCCAGTCTTGGGCATAGCCACTTCCTGTCCCTCCCTTTTCCCATTTTTACTTCAAGTTCTCCTTAATCTTACTTTTAGTTATGATTAAATCTAATTTGATTGTGTCTTTGTGTGGACCTGCAGAGAAGACAGACGACTTGCCAAACTCAAGATGAAAGAAGCTAAGCAAACACTTGAAATTTGGAAGGAGTGTTATTTTGACGTCCGTGCCAAAATTGAAGCTTCGGGAAGAGATGCACGGTGGGAATTCGATAGGAAGCGTTTGTTTGAAAGAACAGATTATATGGCTACGATTTGTCAAGACCTGTATAACGTCTTACAGGTAACAGCATATCTAGTTTATTGAAGAGTGAAATTGGGGTTCACACAGTTTGAGGAGCTTGAGCCACACTGGAGCCTGTGATGCTGTGCCTTCTTTAATACTACTTCCTGAGGACTTCTGTTAGATTTCATGGATATAATGTAGCATTTTATTTGGAGCCTACTCTTGTGGATTTGCATTTGGATCAGTGAATGGAGGCAGCAACAAAGCGCCAAATGTATAGTCACTAAAATAACCTCTCCTTGCAATAGGTTATAGAGGAATTTTACAACATATTTGGTCCTGAATTGAAATCTGTCACGGGGGATCCAAAACGAATTGATGAAGTCTTACAAAGAGTTGATGGCCTTGTCAGACCTATGGAGGTTCTGACTTTTGATCCTTTCAACATCAGATGTGCAACTCAGTGGAAGATTGCAATGGAGGAATTTAGGCTAGAAGTTGTGGTAAGAAATTGAGATTTTGAGTTATATTTCTTTGGCTTCTGGCGAAACGTTCTTGCCTATGTTCCTCCTAGAATTAGCAAAGTTTAATTGTCTTTTTAGCTCACTTTTTAGCCCACTGTCTTTGCTACAGTACACCTTTTATTCTGTTAGGGTTCACATTTATGCTGTTTTTTCATGAAATGAAATATCATCACTGCGATATTCTGTTCTTTTAAAACGCTTTGCTTCATTTTCAGGATATAGAAAAAGAAGCCAAGAACTTCATTGATGAGTCATTTAAGACTCTTCGTTCTGCAGAAGCGGCCTTTGACATGCTCTTAAACTTCAAGCACATCCGCTCTCGGGAAACCATCAATAAGCAGATGATGATGAAATTCAATGACATTCTGGTGCAGTATGGTAAAGAGGTATTTTGCTGTTCCTTTCATCTCATCTTTGGGTATCCTTTGGCAGTTCATTCACAAGATTCCACCTCACAGTTTTACCTTTGGCAATTCATGCAACAAAATTCTACCTCACAGTGTTACCTTGGTGCTTGTGGGACAGGTGATACTTCTTACTCACTGTCCCACTTTGCTTGTTGAGGTCTCCAATTCCATAGCCCTCCCACAGCTACAAAAGTGTGGCATTTTCCTTTTAAAAAATTACCCATTTGTATTCGTTTTTAATTATAAATGCATAGATGTTTCAGTACTTAAATGGTCTCTGGCAAATCTTAACATTTGTGGAGGAAAAGCTAGTTTCTGTCAATATTTCCAAACTAAGGAATTCCCAGGCAATATACTGTAAGATGATTGGAGGGGTTAGTACTTTACTTCCTCTGCTGTTAAACCTTCCATAAAAATCTTCAATAAAAAACCATCAGACTTAACTCTTTTCTCTTTAGGATGCAGTACTGGTCTGCCTGAACATTTTCTCAGATGACTTCACAGACAAATCACTTTTCACCAGGCTCTGTAAATTCTCAGATTCAACAGTTGGCTACTCAGTCCCCACAAGACCTAAGCTCCCACTTCTTGACCCTGACCCCTGCCTGCTTTAGGCCACAAACCTATTTCTTACCCACTCAGACTGAAAACCACCTCAATAATAGTAATAACAACAACAACAACAACAACAACAACACAATAATAATAATTACTATTTTATTTCTTACTCGCCTCTCCTCATGAGTCAATCCCCAGAACCTTACTACTTGACCATTATTGTCATTTATTTTTCTTTATATATGGCAAAGGAAGCATCCCATCATGAGTTTCATCCTATTGTTGCCTAGGCTAAACAAGATCCGCATGATAGGAAGTAAGAGCGAGATTGCTACCAGGGTCTGGTTGAGAACTGTTTCATATTTGGACTCTCCTAGTCCATGCCAGCCCAATGACCATTGTTTGACTCCCGTTCAGTCTGCAGGAAAGTATCATCTTGTCCTTAAATTTGTTCTTCTTGTACATTCTTCTGTATCCTTCCAGTTTATTTGCTTATTTTCTTCTTCCTTTTCTAAGCTTTGTGAGAGTTTGTCTAGATTCCTAAATTCTATCAGCTTTTCGATCCACTCTTTGCTACTAGGGATCTCCTTGTTTTTCCATTTTTTTGCAATTAAAATTTTGGCTGCTGCGGATAGGTAAAAGAGCGTTCTTTCTTGATTTTTTTTGAAATTTATGTTCGTTATATTCAGTAGGTAGAGTTCGGGTTTCATATCAAATTTTGTGTGAATGATGTTTTGGGCATACTTATGTACCATCTTCCAGAATTTCTTAACTTCTCCACATTGCCAGAATTGGTGATAGTAGGTTCCGTTTTCTTTTTTACATTTCCAACATATCCCATCATTTCTCTTATTGAATTTAGCCAGTTGCATTGGTGTTAGATGCCACCTGTAAAATACCTTGTACCAATTCTCTATTATGCTGGTTGCCTTTGTGAATTTTAGTTTGTTTCTCCAAACTTGCTCCCACTCGTCGAGTAGTATTGAATGGCCAATATCTTTGGCCCATTTGGTCATATTTTCTTTGATCACTTCCTTTTCATTCTTCCACTCTAATAGTTTCTGGTATAGTATTTTTATCAGTTTTTTATCTTTTTTCATGACAATGTCCCAGCATGTGTCGGTTTCATTGAAGCCCAATTTTAGATCAACTTTGAAGCGTTCTTTAATCTGCAGATGGTGGAGCCAACTCAGTCCCTTGTCTTCTTTTTTCAGGTCTTCTAGAGGCCTCAGGCCTCAGTTGCCACTCTCCATTGTTCTTGATGAGCAGTTGCTTGTAGCTGAGCCACTTACTTCTGGGGATTTCCCTCTTGTGATAAGCCTCCACTGGTGATATCCATGTGGGTGTTTTCCTGTAAAACAGGCTTTTATATTTGTTCCAAGTTTTCAATAAGGAAGATCTAATATAATGATTTGTATTATAGGTTTAATTTACTGATGTTAGGCTTTAATTTGATGTTAGGTTTTAATGTTATTTTCATATATGGGGCTCCTCTGGGATTTTATGTCAGTATGTGTTTGTTTTACGAAGGCATTGAATGTTTATCATTGTTATGTTGGAATCCACCCAGAGTCCCCTTGGGAAGATAGGGCGGAATACAAATAAAGCTTATTATTATTATTATTATTATTATTATTATTATTATTATTATTATTATTATTTAGTCCCAAACTCTGCCCCTAGTTTCTTCCTAGCCTTGCTCATGTTAGGATTCTTTTTCACTTGCTTCCAAATGCTAGCATATTTTCTCTGCTCTTTTCTGTTATTTTTTCTTTTCTCTTCCCTTCTTTCATTCTTCAGTCTTCATTATGTACTCCCTTTAAAAAAAGGAGGGGTGGGAGGCTGTTTCCTTTTCCTCTTTCCACCTCCCTTCCCCTGTTCCTATGTTATATGAGGAAGGCTATGGGAAAATCTGCTAAGGCTCCAGTCTTTAAATTGCACCAGCCCTTCTCATACATCTGCAGCTGAAATGCCATGAATGGAAAGGCCCTTTCTAATGTCCACACAGTGTATTATTCCTATCAGTGGCATAAAGAAGAGGAGAGCTCAGTCCCCCGGCAGTCAGATATGTCTCTTTCAAAGATCAAGGTCCCCAACTGTTAATGTCTTTTGGTGTCATTACCAGGACTTTAGACCACAAATATATTGAAAGGCAGTGCAGTTACTTTGGAACCAATGTTGTATTGTTTTTTAAGTGTTCCTGTCAACAGTCAAGCTATTGCATTTTGTATTAGATGCAATGTCTGAGTTACATGCAAGGTTTACTGCACATTGAGTGCATTGTAGTAGTTTAAAATGCCATCTTGATTTCTTATAAAATAAAATAATTGTAAAATATAATAATAATAATAATAATAATAATAATAATAATAATAATAATATATTAATGGTTACCACCTCTCCTAATGGCTCAAGGTGGGGTAAACAAAGTCAAAACATAAAATACATACAATAAAATATACATGGTACAAAGTTCTACATTCAGTGGCAATAGAATGCAAATCCAAAATGCCTGGTTCAAAGTTGACTGGGTAGGCCTTCCAGAAGAGATGGGTCTTCAGTTGAGTCTTAAATTCTGATTGTTCATGGATTTCCTTTTCCATTCACAGCTTGCGATAGTTAACACCCTCTTTGTCAGTAAGCAAATGAATCCACCCTTGTGCAAAAATCATCCTCCAATGGCAGGGGCAATTTATTGGTCACGGTCCCTGTTCTACCGTATCAAGCATACCATAATTCGATTCCAAGAAGTAGATGAACTTCTGAGTACTGAACGTGGAAGGGAGGTAAGTCTGAGATTTTTTCCTTGAGTTTTATTATATGTGAATAACGTCACTTCAGTGAACCAGAATGGCGGGGATATACGTAGTTGTGAGCTGGAAAGTTGCTGAATAATTTGGTCACTTCTGCTTTGAAAGTTTTTTCTGTGAGATTGTCTGGCAGCTTCTTTGGACAAAAAAGCAGACAAGACACAAGCATTTTCAATAAGCACAAATGGAAAGGGAAACAATTGAAAATTAGAGCAGTAATGTGGAAATGTGTATTTTAGGTGAAACAAAAATATCTTGAAGTGGCAAAGAGGATGAAAGCATATGAAGATCAGAAATACGAGCTATGGAGAGAGACTACAGAAGAGAAACTTCCCCTCCTGTTGAAAAAAACTCTGCTTGCTAAAATGCATCCTTCTGGAGCTATTATTCAGTCAAATCCAGAGTCCCTGGAGCAGGTAGCTTTAAAGCATTTCTTGTACATATCCCGTGTACTCTCTGGAAGCTATGATGTTGAAGACATGTCCATAAATTGTGGATCCTGTTATGGTAATGCTTTTTTCTCCTTGGTGTGATGGTTAATCTCCTTGGATACAGGGCCTGTATTTTGAGGACGTAGAGACTGGAGAAAAAACGACACGTTTCACAGTCAACTTTTCTCCCAAGCTTCGAGAGATCATCAATGAAACAAAGTACATGGAACACCTGGGGTTTCCTGTGCCTGAAATAGCAAGGAACGTGGCCTTACAGGAGGACAGATTACTCAGGTAAGTATCAATTGTAAACTTGCTCTTGTCAGAATGAGCGGAAACCATTAGCAGAGGACCATATCCTGGTTAAGTTATTCCATCCACTTGGTTTTATAAAGTTATATGGTTTTTTAACGTTCAAAACAACTGTGCAATAAAGTCCTGAATCTTTGATTACCTCATTAGTAGTAAATAATAATAATAATAATAATAATAATAATAATAATAATAATAATAATAGGGGTAATGTTTGAAAATGTGAGTAGATCAATCAATCCGGCGGGAAGGTAACGGTGCTCCATGCAGTCATGCCGGCCACATGACTGTGGAGGTGTCTATGGACAACGCTGGCTCTTCGGCTTAGAAATGGAGATGAGCACCAATCCCCAGAGTCAGACACAACTGGACTTAATGTCAGGGAAAAACCTTTACCTTTTACCCTGAATGAGGCCATTCTTAGCAGTTTCCTTGTGCCTCTCTTTTTAGGAATACAGACAACTTAAAACATATGTTGGATCGCTATCACCACTTGATAGCAACCTTGAATGAAGCAGAGGCTCAGCTTGTGGAAGATCATGTTCAAGACCTTTGGCGAGTTTTCAGACCTGGTTACAAGAGGCTCAACTGGAACTCTTTAGGTAATACAGCATATCTTGTTAAAAAAACCTTTTTAAGGTATTAATTAATTAATTAATTAATTTCAGAGATTTCTATGCCGCCTTTCACCAGAGCGAACCCAAGGCGGCTCACAACATATTTAAAAATGTGCATAAAATATTAAAGAAATTAATTCAAACCCATGTGTAATATTCAATAATGCTTAAAACTGTCCATGGTTTAAATATTAAAGATAAAGCAGTCTGAAATTCCCATATTTCAAAGTCCATAAAGTGCTTGGCTTCAGTTAAAAGCTGCTTCGAAGAGGAAAGTCTTCACCCTTTTCCTAAATGTCATGAGGGTTGGAGCCAATTTTAAACTTAGGAGTTTAAATTTTCAGTTTCAACCTGGCAGAACTATATGTCAGCATATTTTGTCATTTCTTTCTGTAAAGAAAACAGTGAATGATTCTTGACCCTAAAAAAAATGTTTCACATAATGGTTGCACACCATTCATAAAATCTGTGAAATTTTCATGATTCAAATAATACCCTTTGAAGGAGACAATGTGAGATAGTTCTCCAGTGGCTTTCAAATTTTACATGAACTAGATAATAATTAGAAGACTCATAGGAGGGAAGGGGTTCTCCCCTAGTCCCCTCCCTGCCCTTTCCTCTCCTTTTTCTTCTCTTTTGGAGGCAGAAAGTGATGGGAAGATGTCAGCGTTTGGATACCAAAAGGGTTGGCCTTGGTCAGGATTAGATGGTGGATGGGAGAGAAAAAGGGTATCTGTGACACCCTATATTGCCTATTCCTGATATAGAATCCTGGAATCCTAGCACTGGAAGAGTCCCCCAAGGGCCATCCAGTCCAACCCCCTGCAATGCAGGAAGACACAATCAAAACACTCCCAAAAGATAGCTTCTGCAGAAAAGCCTCCAGAGAAGGAGACTCCACCACACACCCAGGCAGCCTATGCCACTCTCCAACAGCTCTTACTCTCAGGAAGTTCTTCCTATTTTTTTTCAGTGAAATCTCTTTCCCTGCCGTTTGAACCCATTGCTCCCTTGTGCCCTGGTTTCTAGAGCAGCATAGAGTCAGTTTCCCCCTCCTCCTCAATGGGACATCCTTTGAAATCTTGAAACATGGTTCTCATGTTCCCTCTCAACTGTCTCTTATCCCATCTAAACATCCCTCAGGAGGAAAGGAGGAAGAGAAGGATAGGAGGAAGGAAGGGTGGGAGGGAATGGAAGGAGGGAGGGAAGAAAGAGAAGAAGGAAAGACTAAAGGGAAGGTAGTAAGGAAGGAAGAAGAAAGGGAGAGAGGGAAGGAGGGAAGAAAGGAAGGATGAAATGGTGGATGGAAGGCTGAAAGGAGAAAAGGGGAGGTAAGGAAGGAGGAAGGAAAGCAGGAAGGAAGGATTGGATGATGAGGGAGAGGAGTTCCTGAGAAAAGAGCTCAAGGGGCCACATCCGATCCTCAGGCCTGAGTTTTGCTCCCTGAGTTTGCCCATACCTGCTTTAGAGAGTTAGTTTTTGTAGTGATGACCTTGGCCTAAATCCTCTTAAAAGTTTTGATTTGGGAAAACCCACTGAAGCAATGACGTTATCATTCAGGAATTGATTTTAATGGGTTTACTGTAGTTGGGACTAAAAAAAAGAATGTCAGCCCTTTGTGAACCATTCTACATGTCATCAACATCTTTTCTATCTTATGTCACAGTGATTGTATCCTCTTCAATGTCATACATTTCAAGGTACTGATTTTTTCATCCTTACTGGTGTTAATTTTAATATAATTTGCTGGATTGCTTCTGTTTGTGTATTATTTGACTTTTAAAATATTTTGAGCCTCCTTGAGAGCTTGATAGGTGGGATCAAAATATATGTAGAATGTGTATACATACACATTCACATAGAAAGACTGTAAAGCTGAGTAAAGACAAAACAGTGACCTGGGCAACTTTGTTTCAAAGGTATTGCGGATTACATTGCACGGTGTACACTGGCCATTGACAAGTTTGAATCCCTCATTCATCAGATCCACAAGAATGCTGAAGACATATCCAATAAACTTTTATTAATAGAGACAACCAATCTGTTCAAAAGCCCACCTTCCACCGATGAAGATTATCTTCCAGGTATGTCTGTCCATTTTTATCATGTCCCCAATCTCATAAAGCCCTTAGTATAGTGGAAAAAATTCTGCCTGCCACTGGAGTTTGTTTCATAGTCTTTTCTCCTTCATGGAGGATAGAGTGTCTAAGTATGGCATTGGTCACATATATATGAGCAAATAGTATTAGCTACTTTCTCTGGAAGTCAATCAAGAAGATATATAATTTTTCTCCTTGGATTTAAGAAGAGGCATAAATAAGTATCCCAAGAAAATATGTGAAACTTCTGGCACAGATTGGGCAGCATGCAGCTCATAGGTTGCATGTAGTCAAGTCCACCGCTTCATCTTTTAGCCATGAGAAGCTGCCCGCACTTCCAATATTTTTTCCTTTAATAAGAAGAGAACTTGTGCTTTTAGAAGCAGAATTCTCTATCTTAAAACATGAGTCAGTCCCCCTAATCCTTGTTTACCCTTGGTTTGTGGTTTGATCAATCTCTGCTGTTTCTCTGAAAGGGGAAATCAATAAACAGACTTTCTTGGTAGGAATATACTACATCCAGGGGGAGGGATGCTTCCTTCAGCAATGTTTCAGAAGTTAAGTAGTCTGTTAGGACCTTTCTATATGGACTTATTTGCTTCTTAAAAATGCACTTCTCGATGAATGGATACAGTTTGATAGCTTGGACTTTGAGAGGCAATTATTAAAGGAAAGGGGTTCTTAAATGAAGTCTCGGAGTTATATAAACAATTTTGTCTTCACAATGCCATTTGACACAGAACATATAGAGTAAAACTTGGCGCCTAAATGACAATCTGATAAAATCAGAAGAATCTATAAAAAAAGATCAAAGAAATATCCAAAGATTATTTTACCCTAAATGACACAACAGACACTAACCCTCAAACAATCTGGGATGCATATAAGGCAGTAATCAGAGGACGCCTAATCCAGTTGAATGTCACTAAAAAGAAGGAAAAGAATAAGAAAATCAATGACATCAAGAAGGAAATAGGAATTAAGGGGGAAGAACTGAAAAGAAACCCAAACAACACCAGAATAAAAAGACATTTGAGTATACTAAAAAAAGAAATGGGAAACTTAGATCTGGATCAAATAGCAAAGCAACTAAAATATGCAAAACAAGACTTTTTTGAAAACGCAAATAAGCCAGGCAAATGGCTATCCAGGAAAATAAGGAAGAAAAAACAAGCCCAACACATATTAAGAATTAAAATAAAAAGGGAAACTATAGTAACGGATGAAGGTATACCAAAGGAATTTTTAAATTTTTACTTGGAATTATATAGTAAAGAAAATATCCCTCTAGATAAAATAATAGAATATCTCAGTAAGCAAAGGCTCCAGAAAATATCCGATGAACAGAGAGAAAACTTAAACAAGAAAATCACAGACGAGGAAATTAAAACGGTAGTAAAAAATCTTAAGAGCAACAAAGCACCAGGAATAGATGGCTTCCCAGCTAGTTTTAAAAAACAGTACAGGAGGAAATAATACATCATTTAAAGAAAATAATGAACCAGGCCTTAAACAACAAAACCATTCCAGATACATGGAAAAATGCAGAGATCATTGTGATACATAAAGAAGGAACAGACACCGATGAAATCAGAAACTATAGGCCAATCTCTTTATTAAACACAGATTATAAGATCTTCACAAACATCATGGCCAATAGATTCAAGACATTCCTAACAGATTGGATTGGCGAGGAACAAACAGGCTTCCTACCAGGAAGGAACATAAAAGAAAACGTAAGAACGATTTTGAATACCATCGAATATTACGAGATGCACCATCAAAAAGAAGTAAGTTTGATGACCCTAGATGCTGAAAAGAGTTTTGACAACCTAAATTGGATTTTTTTTTTAAAAAAATTATTAAAAGAACTAGATATAGGTTTCAAATTCAAGTATGCCATAAATGCAATCTATGGGGAACAAAAAGCTTGCATAATGATAAACGGAAGTACATCAGAGGAATTTAAAATCAGTAAAGGTGCATGCCAAGGCTGCCCGCTATCCCCGCTAATCTTCGTATTTGCCCTTGAAATCTTACTATGCAATATAAAAACAGATGAAAACCTAAGAGGAGTGAAAATTGAAAAGCAGGAATACAAGGTTCGTGCTTTTGCAGACGACGTAATCTGCATTATTGAAGATCCAATGAAAAATATCTACAAATGGATCTCAAAAATCGAAGAATTTGGCCAGCTAGTGGGATTTAGAATTGATAAAACAAAGCTCGTGATGAAAAATATTCCTCAAAAGAAAATAAAAGAACTTGAGGAAATCGCTGAATTAAAAACATCAGCGAAAATTAAGTACTTAGGCATATGGATTGCAGCAAGGAACATCCACTTATTGAAAAACAACTACCAGGATAAGAGGAAAGAAATCAGGTTAGAATTAGAAAAATGGAAACACCTTAATCTTTCGCTGCTAGGTTATATAGCTGCAATAAAAATGTCTTTGTTGCCCAAAATACTATACCTGTTCCATAATATTCCCATCATCCGAAACATGAAGGTATTTAAAGATTGGAGCAAAGATATAATGAGCTTTGTATGGCAAGGGAAAAGGCCAAGGATAAAACACACCATAATGACATCACTGAGAAATAGAGGAGGCTTTGGCCTCCCAGACCTCAGAATCTACCATGAGTCTGCCGCGCTGTCTTGGGTCAAAGATTGGATTGAGCTAACAAAAATCAAAACTCTAACTTTAGAAGGGCATGACCTGAGGCAGGGATGGCATGCTATATGTGGTATGGAAAATTAAAAGTGGAAAAAAATTCGGTAACCACTTCATAAGATCCTCCCTAATGAAAGTTTGGAATAAATATAAAGACTGTTTCTATACCAAAACTACGATGTGGCTATTGCCTATAGAGGCCAACCAAAGAAGACTTCTAGGATGGACTAAGTGGCCTGCATACAGGGAGTTACTATGGAAAAATGTAAAGAATGAATTAGAACTAAAACCACTAGCGGAAATATCAGATGGTTCCAGTATTTCCAAGTTAAGCAATCCTACAAAGAAGATAAAAAATCAGTTTATGCCCAAATGAGGATTTCTTGGAGTAAATTAAAGGACTCGGGCGAAAAAAGTTATAACTAAATTATACAATAGATTAATAGACTGGGCAACTGAGACCGAAGAAATTAAGAGTTCAATGATTAAGTGGGCCAGGAACATAGGCAGGCAGATAAAATTAGAAGAGTGGCAGAACATCTGGACAAAGAAATTAAGATACACCTACACTGGAAAGGTAACGAATGCACAGGCTCTTTCTACCATATTTGGTGGAGCTGTAACAAAACAACCCTATATTGGAAAATGATTCATGAAGATATCCAGAAAATATTAAAAATCAGGTTCTCAATGAAGCCTGAATTATACCTGCTAAGAATACACGAGAGAGCACAATTCCCAGAATCAAATAGGGGAAAGCTTCTTATTTATTGCACCACCACAGCCAGAATAACATACGGCAAATATTGGAAGCTGGAGACCATCCCCACAAAGGAGGAATGGCTGAACAAACTGCTCGAGATAGAGGATATGGATAGATTAACCTATTTGATAAAACGAAATACCGGCAGACCTGTGATCCAAACAGACTGGTCAAAATATTTAAAAGAAGATAAGTAAACCCTGAACAAAGGTGGTTATGAGTGAACAAAAGAAGAGTCTTAACAATTGCCAAGTAAGGCAAAGATATATTCAAGAAAAGGATATCGAAGGGAAGAAGATTCAATTAGGGAAAATATGCTTAAAATATTTAATAGATCCTATACAACCTATACCTATACAACTCCAGAGGTATTGACCAAAATAGAGAAAACAGGACGAGGGGCCTGCTGGAGGTATAAGAAGGCGAAATGATTTTTTTCCCACGTGTAGTGGAGCTGTAATATCATTCCAGAATTCTGGAAAAAGGTGGTTAAAGAAACAAACAATATGCTCACCAGAAAGGTCAAGAAAAACCCGGAAATCTGTTTATTAGGACTATTTAGAAGGTGTCTTAGTGCAAGAGATGAAGAAATTATCAAGATTGCATTGTTGTGGCAATACTAATAATAGTTAAAATATGGAAGGGGGAAAATACTATTAAAGATTGGAGAGATAAGTTATTAGATTATATCCAAATGATCAAGCTGACAAACAGTAGCAGAGGAGGAAATAATGAAGAATTTGCAAACAAATGGAGGCTGGCTCTTGGGTATCTGGAAAAGAAGACGAAGGTAGATTTCTGTTGTCGAAGGCTTTCATGGCAGGAATCATTGGGTTCCTGTGAGTTTTCTGGGCTGTATGGCCATGTTTCAGAAGCATTTTCTTGTGACATTGTGCCCACATCTATAGCAAGTAGCCTCAGGGGTAGTCCCTGGTTAGTTATGTCATCCACATTGAAGGGTGTCAGAGGGTCGAGTTCATGGGTGCAGGGTTAGAGGGATAATGATATATTAAGGTACAATAGCTGTACAGCTAATATCGATTTTTCACATGTTTAATGTGTTTGCTGTATATTGTTTTGTAAACCTGTTTTTTTTCTACATTTTTTCTTTTTTGATTTCTGTTCTATTTCTTATACACACAATAAAACAATTAGAACTTTTTTTTAAAAGATCTCATTTGATTGAAAATTTTGTGAATGGTCCCTTGAAAAAGATGGCAAAATAACAATTACCTTTGAGTGTATGTGCACATAGGTTATGGAGGTATTGAATGAATTCAACAGAGCTATTTACATATGAATTCTTTGTCAAGGTCATTTCCAATGAATAATTTTGTACATAGGATAGTGACTTACATTTTCTTTATTTTTGTACACTCACATTTGACAGGGGTAAAAGAATACTTTGAGTATGTTAAGCATGAAAGATCCAGAGATATTGACCACATGGCTCGCAAGTACAGTTCTATCGGTCCCCTGCTGACAAAAATGGAGGGGCTGGTTTCAAATACAAATACAGGCAGAGCCCCGAGACTTGTTCATTATTATGCCTATTGGGAAAAGAAGATCTATCAGAGCCTGACAAATCTTGTCCTGAAGTAAGTCTACTCTCACCCATTCTTTCTGCTTCCGCCTGAATTGATTCTCCCAGGAGGTCAGTCTAATTTAGTTTTTCCCCATACAGGAATCTACAATCTTTCAATGCAGCAGTGTCAAGGCATACTCCACTTTTTCAAACAGAAACCATTTTATCTGCTCCTGAGATCCTCCTCCAGCCAAATGCAAATGAAATTGAAAAAATGTGTATGCATTGCATTCGAGATTGTGTGGATGTTACCAAGGTGAGAATTATGGGATCAGTTCTGATCCTATTGGGGCAGGAATGGGAATGGGGATTATTGACTTACAAGGTGGTAGTACCTGTCTTTCAATCATGAGGGATGAGGTATACTTTTTATAGGTTTGCAGATGAGGAGAAACCGTGGAAATGATGCAGTTTGTAGTATTTTGTGCAACTGCTGTGTGCTTGTGACTTATGCCGATCCAAAGGAGGGCTTTTATTGGCAAGAGTTGTTCAGATTGAGAGAGTGAGACTTGTTCAAGATGACCCAGTGGGTTTCCGTGGCTGTATCTATGCACTCGAGGAGGGAGAACAGAATGTGCTATGTTGAGAAAGTTGGAAGAGTCTAGGGCAAAGGTGTCAAACTCATTGTCATGGAAGGCCACATTAGCCTTATGGTTGCCTTCAAAGGGCTGTTGAATCCATGGAGGGATAATCGGTGGAAACAGAGGGCCAACTATTTTTTAACATAAATAGACAGTGTTCTTTAGATTTTTATGCAGTTTGTGTCCCCTGGTGTTATTGACCGACAGCGCCCATCACGTTTTATTATCCGTCATGCAACTGGGGATGATGGGAATTGCACCCCAATAGCCCTTGTGGCTCTGAGGTTGGGTAAAGGTTAAAGGATATTTAAAAGTCAGCTATCCTGTCCACAAGCCTTGTATCTAAATCCATACTCCACCTCCTGACTAAACAGAACAAACTGCAGCCTTCCAGATGTGTCTGCATCCCAACTCCCATCAATCTGGTCATGATAATATCTAATGATGACAAATACAGGAGTTGAAATCCAGCATCTAGAGGGCCACATAAAATGACACGGTGGGCTGAATTTGGCCCGTGAGCCATGAATTTTGCAAATGTGGTCTAGGTGAAGTGGATGAGAAGCAGACAGCAAAGCTGGACAAAGGTTTTCTTTTCTTGCACATGTTTCTGTGCTGCTTTGGGTGATGCAACTGCAGCTGATTTTGAGGAAAGCATCTCCTTTGCCATACTAATTGTTTCATCATGTGATGCTCGGTAAAGCTTATCCATTACCTTTTCTCTCCCATATAGCAATTTGTTCGTTGGATGCATGGCACTTGTATCGACTGCCCACCACAGCAAACCCCAGATAACGAGACCGTCATCTTTAGCTTTTTTAACGATATCTCCCAGAACCCTTTAATCATTGAACAGGCCATCCTCATTACTCAGAACATGCACAAGATCCTGAGCTCCCTCTCAAAATACTTGAACCGCTGGAAGCGGTATCGCCCTTTGTGGAAACTTGACAAGGCCATTGTCATGGAGAAGTTTGCTGCCAAAAAGCCAGCCTGTGCCGTCTTTGACGAGAAGTTGCAGTTCTACACGAAGGTTGCCGTAGAAGTGATGCAGCAGGCCATGGTAAAAGATGAGAAGTGTGTCCGCCTTGCGCTTGCGCCTTTGGCTTTTACACTGCAAGAAAATGCCAAAGGCTGGGTGAGTTCGCTTGGGAAGTTGCTCAATGAATCAGCCAAAGAGACACTTTACAGTCTCCAAGAAAACGTTGAGGTAGGAGATTTTTCGTTTTTTCCTTTTAATATTTTTTTATTATTTTATCATGGTTTAATACATTTGTTATACATTTGTTTTACAGCAGATACATATTATTCAATACAACCTAACATACTTTTGGCATCTAGTGTTTTTTTTCTGCTTATACATATTGCTTATACATATTGTTCCCCTCCCCCCTCTCAAGCCACAGCTTTTACATGTCATCTGTCCAAAATTTCCATTCTTCTTGTGGAGGTAACTTTCCTTTTTTATTTTTTAATCCCTTTTCAATAAATTTTCTCCATACATCATCAAAATAACTTTGTTTCCATATACCTCTTTTAACTTTTAATATACATGTCAGCTTATCATTTATTGCCAGTTTCCATAYTTCCTTATACCATTCCTCTATTTGTATATTTATTTCTTTTTTCCAGTTCCTTGCTATAAGCAGTCTTGCTATTGTTAATARRTTTGTTATCGCWTCKTTATCCKCTTTTTTCARTTGTTTATTGTTATATAATGATAATAAAGCTATACTAGGACTTCTTTCTATTTTAATATTCATTATATCTTCTATTTCTCTAAATACTTTCCYCCMAAAATTRTTTACATATTTACATTGCCACCACATATGTATATATGTTCCTGGTTCTTGACATCCTCTCCAACAATTTTTTGAATAGTTTTTATTTATATGTGCTAATCTTACTGGTGTTGGGTACCGTTTCCATATTAACTTATAATAATTTTCTTTAACCCATATTGATACATTTTTAGATGTCTTTGTCTCCATAATTGTTGCCACTCTGTTTCATTTATTTTTATCCCTAAATCTTCTTCCCAGACCTCCTTGAAGCTGTTATTTTTTGTTTTTCCTTTCTTTATTTCAATTATTATCTTATATATTTTACTAGTTATTCCTTTCAAATTTTCATGCTCCTCTACAACCCTTCCATTTTGTATTATTTGTTCAAATTGGTTAAACTTACTTCCATTTTTATTATTTCCCCAATTTTTAAACCATTGTTCTAATTGTGTACAATGGAACCATGTTAATTTTATTTTCCCCTCGTGGTCAGCTGTGATTTGCACGTGTGGTATATTCCTGCGCTCGCACAGGCAGCAACAGAAAGATCTTGAGACCAATTTGACAGCGTAGCCCCATCCACCTTCCTCGTCCCCATAAATAGCCCTTCAGAGGGGCTACGGTCAGTTCTTCCTATCCGCACAAAAAGCAGCAAGGGAAAGGAGATCGAATATAAAAATAACTTAAATAGCTCTGCCATGGCTACTACTTCTTTTAAAAAGTGTGTCGTGTCCAAACTAATATCCGGCCAATGATGCACGCTCAAATTGCCTAATAGGCCTGGGAGAAGAGCACCTCTCCCAGGCATGCACTATTTGCAAAGCCTTCACACCACAAACAAGAAAAAAAAATAGAGAACTACGCTTAAAAGCGGCATTATATGAACAGGCTTTATTGCCTAATAAGCCGGGGGAAGTAAACCTACCTCAGGCAAACGTTGTGGAAAAGAACGTCGAGATGACTGAATCAGCGGTGAAGAAAAAGAAAATAATAAAAACTAAGAAGAACAAGCCAATTAAGCCCTCAGAAGGAGGCGAAACGGCTAAAATAAGTCAAACAAAAAAAAAAGCCGCAGGAACCCTCAAGTGGGGGAGATGCAGCTCTGCAAAGCCAAGCGCCAAGCAAAATGGCGCATCTGGCGAACACGGAAGAAATAATGGAAACACATGAAGGGGCGACCCTTCAAGTACTTACCAATGCCTATCCAAAAGAGGGCACAACAAGGGAGGCTGTTTCAGAAGCCTCGGCAACTCCTCCTGTCTTGGCTCGCTACACGAGCAATAGCCTGGAATCAATAACAGAGGCTCCCCCCTTTATACCTCCTGTTAGACCTCTACAAACGAGCCCAAGACGTGCTCGGGATCGAGCTCCCTCCAGACATTCAATAAGACCTGGCAGACGTCGACATTGAAGCTGCTCGATGTCGAGTTCAAGCTCCTCCTCCAGCTCCTCCTCCAGCTCCTCCTCCAGCTCCTCCCCCTCAATAACAAAGAAGCGGTATCAACGGGGGAGGAGCCAAAGGAGCCAAAGAAGCATGTCTCATTCATCATGTGGATGAATAAGCAGTATTTGCTCCCTCAGGCACTTTTAAACCAGCAAGGGTTTTGGCAAATAGCGCCCAATGGGCAAATGATTTTCTGTGGAGCCCCAATGCCTGTGCAGTGGCCACCCACAACTGGCCCCAATATAAATAATCAAATAAACACAGAAGATTTGCCAATAGAGCAATCAAAGCCAAAAAAGTCTAGAAAAACCGATATGCACACTTCTGAACCAGTGAGTGCACAAAAGCCAATGCAAGCAAATATACAACCTGAAATGATTCACTTAGAGGAATCAGAATTCTCAGATGAAAATCCAAATAATTTAGAGGAAACAAAAGAAACAGAAAATGATACACCTAATGGTGAGGATTATACAAAGTTCGCATCTTTACTGACAAGAATGATTCGTGCACTTGACTTACCGACTCCAAAACCACCTGAATCAGTAGATGATCCAATGTTTCCAGCAGATCAACAGGAAACTAATACAAATATTGCTCTTCCAGCATTACCTTACCTAGTAAAACTCACAAAAATGCCAGAAAGTTCCCCATCATTAGCCCCTGCAATGCCAAAAAGAATAGACAATCTATACAGGATTGACTTGTCCTCCGCAAATTGGGTAGCTAGACCATCGATCCCAAACACAGTCATAGCTGAAGTAGGCCATGGACAAAAAGCCAAAAAACTTAACCCAACACCATCTGATAAGGAAGGAAGGAAAATAGATGCAATGGGGGAAAGGGCTCACATGGCTGCAGGACTTTATACAAGAATGGCCCACTATGCCACATATATGAGTGCGTATCAAACTTTCCTATGGAATAAAATATTACCTTACATAGATACCAGAAAGTGAACAGCGCCTACCAAGAGCTTTCCACTCGGAGGCTGTACTATTAGCAAAATTTCAAAAAGACTTTGCTAAGCATATGGCAGAGGCAGCAGGGAAGATATTTACTACTGCCACGGCAATAAGGAGACACGCCTTGTTACATGCTTCCTACTTATCAGAAGAGGGACGTTATCTTGCTGAACACCTTCCAATGTACAAAGAGGGCTTATTTAACCCAACAACCGACGAGAAATTGAAACATATGCAGGAGATGAAGAAAACCATCCAAATCTATGGTTTTCCAAGACAAGGATACTTTCCGCAAAAGTCCCGATGGCAGACATCGCATCCATACTATAGAAAAAATAACGATAATTTCTATGGAGGACAACAATGACAACGCACAACCCAAAGCAACAAACCATATATGCAACAAAAGCATTCATATGGAACAAAGAATAGATTCCAGCCTTATCAGAATAAGCCCAACTGCACAGGGGGAAATAAACAGCGTTTTTTACATTCTCCTTCCAGGCAAAGAAAAGCTAAAATTGCCTGATGTATTATGTCTTACTGTTGTAACTCCAGATTGTTTTTTCCCTATTTCAGAAAGTTCAAAAGTTGTAATCTCAGAGTTTCCTTATTTTGGAGCACGTTTAGCTTCATTTTATGATGTTTGATCTCAATTGACACCAGGGCATGATCCGAAATCTTAATAATTCCAATATCAGCATTTAACAATTTACTTAACAGATTTTTTAGAAACAAAAATATAATCTATTCTTGTATAAACTTTATGTACAACTGAGTAGTATGTATATTTTTTTATTTCCCTTTACCARTCTCCACACATCCTTTAATTGCCATTTATTCATCACTCTACTTAAGTCCGTTGTTTCAATATTTCTAATTTTTGACATTTGCATAGTTTTATCTTTTTTTTTGGGTCCATATAACAATTACAGTCCCCTCCAAATATTACATATTGTTGGTGATAGTTCTCCATTTGACCTAGTACTTTTTCATAAAATTCTTGCTGTTTTACATTTGGTGTGTATACATTTACTAATACATATTTATCCTCCCCTATTTCACCATACATTATTATATATCTACCTTCCTCATCTTTCAATACCTTGTTTATGACAGAGWTGCATTTCTTTGCAATTATTATAGCTACCCCTCTTGATTTTGATGACCCAAAGAATTTTTCATAGCTCCTTATCCAACTCGATTTTAATTTATTCGAACCCGGTTTATTCTGGTGTGTTTCCTGTAAGACGATAACATCCGCTGCGTCCTTCTTCAGTAAGGTTTCAATCCTCCTTCTTTTAATTACCATTCCTAAACCTCTAGTGTTCAGTGTTAATATTCTTAATTTATTGGACATCATTTCCATTTTCATTTAAAAACTTTTTTGTGGCTTGATCCATTGTGAACCCTTGTCACTTATAATCCCCTCCCCCTTTCCCCCCCTCCCCCCTACTTCCCCTCCTCCTCTCATTCCCCCCTTCCTCCCCTTCCATTCTTTGGGACTTCTAGTCCCAACCATGGCCCCCGGCCTTCCCAAGTGGGGGGGGGGGGCGGCGAAATCATCCTTTGGCCCAGAGTCTCCCTCCCCCTGAGTGCTCATCTTTTTAAAAAAAATAGAATTTTGATTGCAGTGTTTCTAAATTTCTTCTTACAGCCCAATTCCTCCGATGCCGCCGATTGTTCCCTCCAATTTTCCTTCTTTCTCTGGTGTTCTTCCTCCCTCTGCTCCTTTCTCCTCCTCATCCTTTCAGTCTCTGTCTTGTTTTGTTGAAGTCCTTGTTCCAAAGAATCAATTCTTTACCTTTTGCCTCTCCATTGGAATTTGAGAAAGGTGAGGTATCCCCAGGTGTACAATATTCCAGCCTTCATTAACTGAATCGTAATTGGCTTCATTGAATATCTCCAGTTTTTAGTTTCAGGGCAGTAATCATTTAATATTTCCAGCTTTGCTTCTCCCATCTTTAAATATTCTGGGTTCTTCCTCAGTATTTTCATCAAATCTTTTTTATTTATTATTTATTTATTGCATTTGTTAACCGCCGCTCTCAGCCCTAGGGTGATGTTAGCAATGTTATGAAATTGAATTATTATGTTCCTTGGTGTTATTTTATTTTTTCCAGCCGGAAGATGATGAACTCGTTCTAAATCAATTTCCGTCCAGTTTAACATTGGTGTAATTTTTTGCAACCACTTCAACATTTCAGTTTTCAAATCTTCTTTTCTGTTCCCTTCTGGAAAATTTTTAATTACAACATTATTTCTTCTCTGGTTATATGCATATATACAAACTTTCTTTCCATATCTGAAAGTCTGTTATCAGTTTGCTGAATTTGTTGTTTGAGTGCTTTTTGTTCCTGTTTGTTCTTTTCAGTTTCTAATTTAATTGTTTGTATATCTCCATGTATTGTTTGCAGAGTTCTTTGTATAGTCTGAAATTTGTCATCTGAGATTTTCCTTTCTGCGTCCAGTTGCGCCTTCATTTATTTAGCATTGGCCTGGATCTCCAGTTTCATAGCTTGAATATCTTCCTTTCTCTCTTGTTTCCTTGTCTTTCTTTATCAAACATCAAATTCAACTCCCTTGTTTTCTTCTCCCCCTCTTCTTTAATTTATTCTGTTATTTTGCTTGACAACTGGTTATTATCCATTTCTTTCTTTTCACTACTTCCTTCTGCTCCTGTAGTTAAGGATGGTAACGATGTCGATGTGGATGTGGCAGGAAGGGGGGGGGTGCATTGTAGCTGGTGAAATTGTTTGCCCTTAGCAGGAGAACTCCTGCTCATTTTCACTGAAGTCTCTGGAGTTACCCTTTCCAACCTAGGAAAAGCTCTGTCTGAAGGTTTTGTTCGTACCCAGAGAGGATTCCTTCTTGGGGGGCTTTCCTGCTCCTTTTCTTGTTTTTGTCTCTTCCTTCTCATTCAAACACCAGTCAAATTTACCCCATCCACTTGTTTATAAAGCCTTAATTAATTGATTTTACTCTACTCTGCATAGTCCAAAATAAAGCCTTAATTGTGTATACCTTTTCTTATGCTTGCCTTTGATTCCAGGGAATTCCACTTGCATTCAATTTGTAGTTTTACAGTTCTGTAGGAAAGGCTTCTCTCCTTATCACTCCTTATCACTCTCCCGAGCGAAGAGAAGCAACTCTCTCCGCTTGCTTCTTCAAAGGAGGAACCGAATGACGTACTGCCTTTTATTATCTGTTATAACATTCCAATTTCAATTAGAGTTATTACTTAAAGTCTTTTTGTAATTATCTGAACATTTTATGCTCGGTAATGGCGACTTCTTACTTTCATTTTCAATCTCCGTCAGTATTCATAAATTATGAGCTTATTATGAGCTTATCATTTACCTTTTGAAGATTTGCTTCTGCTCATTAGATCCTCCACTGCTTTCCCCTTCTTTCCAATCCATAAAAAAGATAAATCCATCGGCTCATTTTTCACTGCTTATTGCTATTTTGCTCAAGAGCGACAAGGGACACGTCTTTACCCGGCCATGGCTGACTCCCCGAGGTAGGAGATTTTTCAAGGGACCATCAGTTATCTATAAAATGCACACTTAAATTTACATAATGGGATGGGATGGATGAAGGAATGTAAACAGATGTGTGTAGAAAGACTCTGGGCACTATTTACATAACATTGGCATGTTGAGCCCAGTGGTTCTGTTTTGGAAAGTAGTAGGTGAGGGTTGGCTCTCAGACTGCAGGAAGGATCTATCTATCTATCTATCTATCTATCTATCTATCTATTATCTATCTATCCATCCATCCATCCATCCATCCATCCATCCATCTATCTATCAGGATTCATGTGATTACAATGAAGAGATTAAATTATACAGCCATAGGATTCATCCTCAATTCTTCCTCTTCTCCATGCCCACGTCAAATGCTTTGGCTCCCCCTCATTTAGATTCTTCTGTCTTTCTAGCCCTCTCTTTCTGTTGTTTACCCTCTAGTTCTCTTTCTGACTCCCTATTTTTATTTCCTTGAGAGTGGGAGTCTATTACATATTTTTTCCTTGATTCCATTAGAAAAAACAACCTTTCCTCTTCCTTCTGGGGTGTTTGTCTTCTGGCTTTGTTCTCAAGGGAGGGGTTCAGTAGAGATTTCAGCAGTGGTTTAGAGTCCTTCCTTTTCCCTATTCAATTGTTCCTCTTGGGTCCCACTGTGATCTTGGTCCATAAAACGTCCTTTAAGCATATGTCTAAGAAGAATACTGTGTGCAGTAACAACTTGATTGTTGAACTGGGGCTCAGGTAATCTAGGTTTCAAATATCTGCTGGGCCATGTGGACCCATTGGGTGCCTTGGGCAATTCATACTGCATCAGTGGTTTCTAGGGATACACAGTTGTATTTATCACAAACTATGATCACTTCATTGAAAATGCTACATATTTTCATCCACACAAGTCTCTCTGATGTTTCTTTAAAAATTTCACTTCCTAGAGATTATCCCATAACCTTGCAACACCTCCCAATACCTTGTCAGATCTCAAATTTGTCCTGGGCACTATTGCTGAGATCAAAGATATGTCCCTGGAAGTGGAGCTCGAATATTTGGATATTCAGGAAAGATACCGCACCCTTGCAATGTACAACATTCCAGTAAGTGAGATTTCATTGAACTCAGTCCAAGCTCCAGTGTTTGTATGTCAGAACGACAAAGCATTCTTAGTCCAGGGTTCTGTTTCTTTTCTTATTGTAGTGGACTAGGGTTTCAGTGCTGTTCAAAAGCAGTAGCGGAATAATCAGTTTAATTGTCTAAAGCTATGGTTCCCAACCTTTTTTTGACCAGGAAACACTTGACCAGGGACCACTTTGACCAGGGATCACTCTCTAACATTAGTACCAAAAGGGTTACTTATCTGTTTTTGGTTTTAGCTTCGGTTTGGTTGTTTGGGGTGCTGACCACATCAGCTCTAGTTTCTGATACAGAACATATGCTATCCAGTAGTCATCATCTGCTCACCTACAGAAAACCATGTTTAATAATCTAGAGCTGATGTGGTAGTAGTAATCTTTCGTGGGTAGTCAGCCTCTCCCCTGCCAACATCCCTGTTACCTAAGAGGCTTTTGTGAGGCCAGTTGCTCTCGTTGCTACATGGTTTCGAGGCAACAGTGTAGTAATGGTGAGGCTGCAGACCATGTTTTCGTTTTTGTGGACCACTGATCGACCATGGACCACAGGTTGGGAACCACTGATCTAGAGAATCAGCTTGATTCTGGCTGCAAATCTGAAAATTACAAGATATGGGTGGCCTTCTGGAAGGTTAGTTAGTAAATTACAGGGTCATACTGCAAATTGTAGAACTGATATCTCCTGATTTTATTTAATGGCATCGGTGGGTGGGTGTGGATCTGAGAAAAGGAGCAGTTTCAGGAAGGGATAGAGTTTCGTCTGTGGGTGCTTCCGTTCTGGACTTAAGAATCTTTTGACACATCTCTCTATAACTTATTACAATTTCTCCACTGTAGACAACAGAAGAAGAACGACTGCTGGTGGATAAGATAAAGCAGATGTGGGACACACTTTTTTCTGACGCATCAACAGTTGACCACAGCCTTGGGAGTATCAAAAAGACTTTTACTGAGGTACTACCACTTTCACCTACATGTTAATGAAAATACATGTGGAAAATGAATAGCAGTTTTAATATGGATTACTTTCTTTCAGATCACAAGAACCCAGATTACAAATTATAGTAAGGAAATTGATGATTTCTACCAGAGATTTATTACCGAAGGTCCTGGTTCTGTTGGTGACAATCTTGATAGAGGTAAAAGAGTGTACGCCAGTATTCATTAGACAGTTTGAAATGGAATGGTCAAAAGTTACTGGGCCTGTTGTGTCCAGCTGGGGGTTCTGGGGGTTGTAATCCTCAAAAGTAAAATTTGAAAGCCTGGTGGATAATGCCACTTGTACCGTAATGCTTACAGCATTAAACTCTCTCCTATAATAGGAGATTTAAAATGGTATTGTTTTTCAGGACGTGAGCTGCTTTGGGTCTTGATCCAGAGAGAAAGGCAAGGTAATAATAATAATAATAATGTTCTTTGTTAACTGCAGGGTTGGAGCTTATGGTGATTTTTGAAAAAGAACTGGAGAAACATGAGAAAAATCGGCAAGAGCTGGCAAATGCTGAGAAGCTGTTTGACCTTCCAATCACCATGTATCCCGATCTTATTAAAATCCAGAAGGAGATGAAAGGACTAAGGCAGATCTATGAAATCTATAAGATGCAACAGGTGAGTGGTTTTTGAAAAGAGATGTTTAGTCCCGGGAGCAGTTGCAAGAAACCTAAATATTTGCAGATAGATAGGTTTTATTTAGTGAATGGGGTGTTTAATGAAGTCCCATTTCAAAAGTAAACCAATGATTAAAAATGAAGTGGTGTTTTTGGTTCAACGAGTAATGACTTCTAGTTACTTTCTAAAGGTACGTTCAGAAGATAATTTTAGAAACCTTTTGAGATGATTTTTTAAAAGGGGGACATTAGTTTGTTAGTTCCAATGTTTTTCTTTTAAGAAAATAAAAGAAATAGAAATCAAGAGAAAACCAATGAACATTACAGCGGTTAATTTAACAAGTTACTTTTTCAGCATTGCAATTAATGATGGCAGCAGGTTGCTTTTCAAACACTTGGGGATCAGAAGCCGTTACCATGTGTTGTCAGTTTTTCAGATCTACAAATAGATCTTAATCTACCTTCTGCTGAAATCTACCTTCTGCTTTCACTGTATATCACTTGATATCTTTCAGAGGGTACATCTACACTGTAGAATTTATGCAGTTCAATACAACTTAAACTGCTATGACTCAATGCTATGGAATTCAGGGAGATGTAGTTTGGTGAGATCCCAGCACTAAAGATCATGTAAAGCTACAAGTCTTATGATCCCATAGCATTGGGCTGTGGCAATTAAAGTGATGCCAATCTGCATTAATTCTACATAGCAAATGCACCATAAGTAACAAGAACAGTTTTTATGTTATCAGAGAGAAATGTATTGAGACAAATGTGTTGTTGTCTGCTGGGTGTTATGAAAGGAGATTTTTTCCTTGTTCCAGACTGCTAAAGATGAATGGTCTCAGACCCTGTGGGTGAACCTCAACGTGCAAGTGCTACAGGAAGGAATTGAGGGGTATCTAAAATCCCTTCGAAAACTACCCAAACATGTTCGAAGTATGCCTGTGGCTTATCACCTGGAAGTGAAGATGAAGTCTTTTAAGGACTCTATTCCTTTGCTGTTGGATTTGAAGAATGAGGCATTAAGAGAAAGGTTTGATTCCAGTTCACTTGCTCTTGGTTCTCTGTGCATTCTGAAGCCAAAGATCTTGACATGATATATTTTGTGCATCACTTCTACATTCTATAAATAACCAAAGCTGCTACAATTTTCTTCTCTGCTGTTCTGGAGGTTGGCCCATGTATACAATGATATTAAAATAGCTTGTCATTTAGAATTGTTAAATTGGTAAATACAAGAGGCAAAGCTGAACCCACAGTTTTGAAACTCTTTAAACTTTGGAAGGTGTTTTAAAAACTTGCCTTTCCTGTGTATTTAATACACAGGTTCATTCACAACAACCTGAAATGTGGCTTAAATTCCTCAACAGGTGCAATTTTTGTATATTTATATTATGTATTTTTAGTCCAAAGTGGGACATAACAACATTGAATCAATGAATATCTTTGTGCTTTGATTGGTGTGGTGAGTGCCAACTAGAGACTAAATAGTGTGATTCAGATGCTATGGAGTACTCTACAAATCTGAAGGTTTCCCCACACATATGCTCAAGTGTGTCGTTCCACCTTTGCCCTCTGTCTTTGAAATACAATGACTTGCCTTTGTAAATGAATTCTATATGTACTGTATTTCATCGCATAATAGTCGCCACCTTGCAGTAGTTACCTCCATGCACTTTTTGGTTGGCAGAATTGGTATTTTTGTGTTCCTCGCATAATAGTTGCAGATCTATTTGGGGCTGATCCATTCTCCCTCCCTCTCTCCATAGGTAAGACAGTTTAAAAACTATGAAATTGAGGTTTCTGGAGCTCAATCTTCCCTCCTTCCGCCAAAGAGCTACATTCACGTTTTGTATGTTGCCTTGTTTTCAGAGAAAGTATGAAGGGAGGGAGAGGGAATCTTCCTTCCTCCTTCCTTTGAGGGTAGGCATTTTAAACAAGCACACAAACTTTTCATTTGAGGCTGGATTATCCCGCCTTTTGGTCGAGAAAGGGACTAAAAAGTGCAACTGTTAAGTGCTGAAATACAGTATGTGGGGCAGTGTGGATCTCTAAATACTTTCTCCACTCTTTTGTTTGCATTACTTTGACTAATATAGACTTGGGACCAGGAAATGCCAAAGTAATGTAGCTTTCCACCCTGAAACAGTGAAAGTTGAACCAAATCACCTTATCTGCCAAATCTGCCAACTTTTTTCAGGCACTGGAAAGAACTGATGAATCGAACAGGTACAAGCTTTGATATGGCAACTGAAACATTCACTCTGGAGAACATGTTTGCTATGGAGCTGCACAAACACACTGATGTTATCAATGAGATTGTTGGTTGTGCTGTCAAAGAGCTCAGCATTGAAAAGGTACATTTCCCCTATTCAGCTCCTCTGTTCCTGTGGCCCTTCTGACAATAATTAGAGCTTACAAGCTTGTGAACATTTTTTTGCCTCATAATTAAAAAATATTGTTATTATTCTTATAAAAATTATACGTAACCATAATTACCATGCATTTTGTCCTTTTTCATTCCCTTCTCCCTCCCCACTCCCACCCCTCCCTCTTCCCTGTTGACAATGTAATCCTTTCTCCCCCGTTACATGAGCCTTCTTTCGATTCTATCCAATTTTTCTTCCAGCTTTCATCATCTGGTTGAACGACCTGTAACCATCTTTTAAATGGAGTCCAAATTTCTTTAATTTTCTTCTGTTTGTCTGACCATGTCTTTTTGCTTCTTATGATGTCCATAATATCCAGTTTTATTTGGTCCCACACATATTCATACCATTTTTCAAGTGTCCATTTCTTTTTTTCTTTCCAACCCTAAGCTATTACTGCATGTGCTGCTCTAAACATCATCATCATTATTTCTTGGTCTTGGTCCTTAACTCTTCTATCACCATATATTTCTATTAACAAAATTTGCATATTTATATCAAATTTTATTTTAATATGTAATTTTATCTGGTTTAGAATTTGACTCCAGAATTTTTGTATCTCTTCACACTGTGTGTGTGAACATTTTTATTATTATTATTATCCTGTAGGGAGTGAAGGAAATTGTAGATACCTGGGAGAATATGAAATTTACAGTGCAAAGGTACTTCAAAGGCACGCAGGAACGGGGCTTCATTTTGGGAGCAGTAGATGACATCATTCAAATCTTGGATGACAATGCCGTCAATCTCCAAAGTATCTCTGGAAGCCGATTTGTCGGTCCATTCCTGTCAACGGTTCACAGCTGGGAAAAAACGCTCTCCTTAATTGGAGAAGTGATTGAGGTAGGAAACAAAAAGGAAATCTATTTTGTGGGTGGTTTTGTAGCCATGTATAATTTTATGTTGGATATTTCCACATTATTATTATTTGGGTTTTTTTCTAAAAAGGAGACTTAAAGCAGCTTTCAGTAAAACCAACACAGTACAATTTAAAACCTAAAAATATACTAACATTAAAATAGAATTAAGTATTAACAGTATTTAAAATAAACAGTTAAACCCCTTTTTAAAAATAAATGTTTGACTTCCCCAGGTCTGGATGATAGTTCAGCGAAAATGGATGTACCTCGAAAGCATCTTTATTGGTGGAGACATAAGATCTCAGTTGCCTGATGAAGCTAAAAAATTCGACAACATTGATAGGATATTCAAAAGGGCAAGTAGACACCCATTTATAGGAGCATTGAAGCAAAGAATATGAATTCCACACATGGTTTTAATGCATACTCATACATGCATATTCTTACAGACCTTTTAATGTTGTAACTCACAGAACTTAGTATTTGTACTTCTTGTCATCTGCAGATAATGGCAGAAACTGTCAAAGAGCCTGTGATAAAGAGGTGCTGTGAAGCTCCAAATCGTCTTGCGGACCTACAGAATGTCAGCAATGGCTTAGAAAAGTGCCAGAAAAGCTTGAACGATTACCTGGATTCCAAGAGAAATGCTTTCCCCAGATTCTTCTTCATATCAGATGATGAGCTCCTCAGCATTTTGGGCAGCAGTGACCCACTCTGTGTCCAGGAACACATGATCAAGGTAGGTGGATGAATGACCCTAGCACCAGTTCAAAGCCTTTGAGTTTTGCCTCTCTGCTATAATGGAGGAAGATGCTTGAATTTCACAATGGCAATGCAGCTTTATCACCTCCCCTCTTGTCATGTTTCAGATGTATGACAACATAGCCTCCCTAAGATTTCATGATGAAGAAGGTGGTACAAAGATAGCCACTGCTATGATCTCAGCTGAAGGTGAAGTGATGGAGTTCCGGAAATCAATTGTAGCTGATGGTCGAGTGGAGAACTGGATGACATCTGTACTTGTCGAAATGAGGAGAACCAACAGACTTATTACAAAAGAAGCCATATTTCGGTACTGCGAGGACAGGAGCAGGTGAGATGATCAAATCCAGCACATCAGGTTGAAAGTAAGTTGATATGTGCACATCAGCACTTCAGCCTTTGCTTTTGATCTCTCACTGTCTGCCCTGAAAGTGGTGGCAGTATCAAAAGCCAGCATGTGCTATTCGGTTTGCAGATCTCATGTATAGTGCCAAATCACATCTAGTATTTAAAAGTATACTTTCTGCACACCGGTTTAGTCCTATATTGATGATTTAGGAACATGGCATTGTCCATCTGTGGATGATTGGCTACTCTTTCTTTTATTATGTCAGGACTTGCATTAATATTCACAGCATGCCATTGTTACATGTTATTTATTGATTTATGTCACTGGTGTACCACCTTTCTAGCAATGCACTCAATGTATGTGTGTGCCTTGAAATTGCCTGTTGATGTATGGTAACCCCATTAATTTCATAGGGTTTTCTTAGGTGAGGGATACTTAGAGATGGGTTTGCCCAATCCTTCATCTGAAATAGAGCTTATAACACTTGGCATGTATTGGTTATCTCCCATACACTTTCATGGACATGATACAAAAGAGAAAAAATGGATGCATGGAAGAGGAACATAAGCAGATTTAATGTAGTAGGAGGCAGTTATGTGAGAGAGGAAGACTCAAATGGTAGATAGTTCTTCAGGCTGATGGGTTGTACTGCACTATTTCATATTTATCCTTTTGCTCCCAGCAAGCAAGTGTAGCTTAGATCTTAATCTGGAAACATCATGCATTCCATTACTTTCCACTGTTCCATCCCTGGAATTTTGCTTTTGCCTTAGAGTTGACTGGATGTTGATGTACCAAGGCATGATGGTGCTGGCGGCCAATCAAGTCTGGTGGACCTGGGAGGTGGAAGATGTTTTTCGAAAAGTGAAGATGGGAGAAAAACAGGCCATGAAAAACTATGCCACGAAGATGCACCAGCAAATCGACTCGCTTGTAACACGGATCACCAAGCCCCTTAGTAAAAACGACAGGAAGAAATACAACACTGTTCTCATCATTGATGTCCACGCAAGGGATATAGTGGATACGTTTGTCAGAGACAGGTAACTGAAGGCTTTACAACGGGGATGAGAATTGTGTGGCCTTCCAGATGTTGCTGAATACAAGTTCTAGGACTCCTAGACAGCATTGTAAATGGGGAGGAATTCTGGGTGTTGTAATTGGACATAATTGGGAAGGCTGTATAATTCCTGCATTTCTAGAAGCAGGGCAGATAAGTATAATTGTCATAATAGGTGCTCATAGTCTTAGAAACCTCAATTTTAATAGAAGAATATTGGCATCGGTATTTGTGTCTGTGTTTGCAAACGCACTTTTATTTTTATCTTGTGATATTTCTGCTAATGCTGCCTCTTTTGATGATTTGATGACCTGCCTATTGTCATATGTCAAAATGCTCAGGATTTAGGGCAAAAAAATTTGGACTACCTGTATTTGCATATTATGTACCTCAAGAGATAACTTGAAGAATAAGTCTCATGTCTAAAAATAAAATTCATTCATGTTTTCTGTAATACACATACCTTGAAGGTCATTAGCTATGTGAATAGGTTTTTAATTGATTTAACTGTTTATTTTTAATAGTTTCAGTGTTTAGTCATATTTTAATGTTTGTATGTTTTTTTTAGGTTTTAAAGTATATATTTGTATTGTTTTTGGTATTAGCTGCTTTGGGTCTCTTTTTAGAGAGATAAAGTGGGATAGAAATGAAATAATAATAATGATAATAATAATTATATGCTATATGAGAGTCTGTAATGTCTCCCTCCCTTTCCCTTCCTCTTTCCAGCATAATGGAAGCCCGGGAATTTGAGTGGGAGAGCCAACTGCGCTTTTATTGGGATCGAGAGCCCGATGAACTTAATGTGCGACAATGCACAGGCACCTTTTCTTATGGTTATGAATACATGGGTTTAAATGGGCGGCTGGTCATCACTCCACTCACCGACCGGATTTATCTAACACTCACCCAGGTGAACTAGAAAGATTCATTTTCTGCTAGCTTCAGATCCTTTGAAATGTGGAGTATAATCGGGTTGTTGTAAAAAGGAGCTTCACTGTCCGATATTTTGCTTATACTTTAAACATAAAATTTCTCCTTCCTAGCCCCATTTTTCTGTCTTCTTTTCCCCCCGCAAAGGCCTTATCCATGTATTTAGGAGGAGCCCCTGCAGGCCCAGCAGGAACTGGAAAGACTGAGACAACCAAGGATCTTGCCAAAGCATTAGGTTTGCTTTGTGTAGTCACCAACTGCGGGGAAGGCATGGACTTCAAGGTAGGAATATCAACTTGATGTTCTCTTGCTGGTCTCTCTCTTTAATAGTTAAAAACCACTTTTTGTCAGTCTCCATAGACATGTTATTGCAGACTTGGGCTCTAGGTATAGAATATTGGTATAAAATAGTATGGAAGTAATATTCGTATCAGTGCTTTGTCCTCTTTTTGCTTTTAGGCAGTTGGCAAAATTTTCTCTGGCCTTGCTCAGTGTGGAGCTTGGGGTTGCTTTGATGAATTCAATCGAATCGATGCTTCTGTGCTTTCAGTCATCTCCTCACAGATTCAGACCATTCGAAATGCTCTGATAAACCAACTGAAGACATTTCAGGTAAAGAACAGAAAAATAGGGATTCAGCAAAAAGCTTCTTGTCTTCAGTTATGCAAATGCTGGATCTTTACTTTGGGTTTATGTTTCAGTTTGAAGGGCAAGAAATTTCTCTGGATCCTCGAATGGGAATTTTCATCACAATGAATCCTGGCTACGCAGGCCGTACTGAGCTCCCCGAGTCTGTAAAAGCTCTTTTCAGACCTGTGGTTGTAATTGTGCCAGATCTCCAGCAAATCTGTGAAATCATGCTGTTTTCTGAAGGGTTTCTCTTGGCAAAGGTAGGCCGATGCCTTCACAAAACAATATTCACAAACTGTTTGTGGTTGATGTGCATGAGATATGTTCTGTGAGACCCATGTTTGTGAATGTGAATAAGCATGAGTGAAAGTGGCAGAGTGAGGGGCTTAAAAAACAAAACAAAATGTGCATATATTTATACCCCTTTTTGTCCTCTAGACATTGGCCAAGAAGATGACAGTGCTATACAAACTGGCAAGAGAACAGCTTTCTAAGCAACATCACTATGATTTTGGACTTCGGGCTTTGAAGTCAGTCCTGGTGATGGCTGGAGAACTGAAGAGAGGCTCAGCAGATCTCAATGAGGTGATTCTCATGACTGGCTTGTTTGCTCCTTTTTATACCCCAATTATAAGTCAGGATTTGCTTGATGAGTTCCCTGGTTAGTGGCAGACTAGATGAAATAGTTAGCTATGTTTAAATAGTAACTGAGGGAATGTAGTTTTAATTTATCAACACAATGTCTGACCTGGATTTCAAGCCTTCTCCTCGGGTAGGTGTTTGAGTTCTTTGCTCAAACTGTGTTGAGATAGGTTTAGTCTTCACTGGAAAGAATATGCCAAGACACACAGCATTAAAGTGATTATGCATCTTCAGTGTTCAGAATACAAGAACCTATCAATTCTGCCCATGCATATAGTGTATAAACTATAACATCATAAATAACCCAAAAGGCCCTGGTGCCTTTCCCACATACCAGAGTCTACCTCCTCCCAGCTCAGTGCAATTGATGTTTATGGCCAGTTCAAATGTCCTTGCAGCATCCTGTCCTCCCTTTTAGCCAAAGGCCATGTGTTCTATGTCAGGTCTTAGTTGGATGGCATAAGTGAAAGATCATGACAGTAGGTGTTCTTCATTCACTGGAAATGGGATGACCTCTTGGAAAGTGTGAGCCTGCTCAATTGAGGGTGTGAAAGTTGTTCAAGAAAGGCAATTTGTTTGGTAAAAATATTAATTACTTGCTTTACAAAAAAAACTCCTTGCCCCTCTAGGATGTTGTCCTGATGAGAGCTCTGCGAGACATGAATCTCCCCAAATTTGTTTTTGAAGACGTTCCTCTTTTTCTCGGCCTGATCTCCGACCTGTTTCCTGGGCTAGATTGCCCTCGAGTTCGGTACCCTAAATTCAATGATGCCGTTGAGCAGGTGCTGGCTGAAGGAGGCTATGTTGTGTTACCTATTCAGGTACTAATAAGAAAAGCGGAGAAACTGAAAGTTTATGAAATATTTAGCATCTTTTGTTTTGCTTAATATCAATTGGCATCCTGAAAGTCAGGCTGTATCATAAGGAAGTCTGTTCTCCAGTTCACATATATCCATAACCTGTTAGATTATGTTGACTTCTGACTTGGGGTGTTCTTGCATTTTCCTTTACCTTGAGATATTTTGGGTTGGACTCATCCCTGTCATGTGTTATGGGGCTTTATCTGTGTTACATCACCCTGTCATCATTTGAAATCTGCTACTGACAGGAATGGGGGTGCTTACAGTTCTGTGCTGAGATATCAACACAAGTCACTCATTCCTGTTGTTTATTTAATTATAAAATTATACCATGTTTACTCCACTATGCTGCGCCAATAACTCCCAAAGCAGCTTACGTAAGCTCACTTACATACCTACAAAATCTAAGTCTGCAGTCTTATAATCTAAAGCCCCACTTCTTAAACTGTGTGTCTTGATTCCAAATGGCATCCCCTTAGTTCAGTATTGGGGCCACAAAAATTGCAACAGTGAAAGGTTTCTGAATGCCACACATTTACACAAATCTGTTAGCAACAAGTTTCAGTATTTATAGTGGACTCTGCTTCACCACAAAAAGCAAAAACAGCTTGTTTAGCAAGCCTTGCAAATGCTGGTTTGTTATCAGTAAATGTTGGATTTTTATAAGTCTTTTATATACCTATATACATGAAGTCACATACAAATTTATTGGATGGAAAGTGGCCGTGAGTGGACAAAGGTTACAAAGGCCTGTTCTAAAGCATACAATGGAAAAAAATATATAAAGGGAATGACGCAGGGGAGAAAACATCATGATCGTCACTACCCCAACTATAGAGCTCCCTCCCCAGGGTGGTTACTTGAGCTCCACCTTTATCAAGTTTCATATGGTCTGTAGAACTGTGCAGTTTTGCCAGGACTTCAGTAGATGTTAAGGTGTTTCAATGAAATGGGTCCTGCTGAACTCAGACAGCACTTCTGAGAGTTATTTTAAAGGCATTCCTTTTACCTGCATTTGTTCAATTGTAAGATATCATTGATGATGATGATTATTGTTATTATTTGCACCACGCCTTCTCTCTCCATACAGAAACTCAAAGCGCCTCACAATTAAAAGTATTACAATACAACTTAAAATGTACGATATACAAATATTAAAACAGTGTTAAATATAATTAATATTAAAAACAATCCAAGTTAAAAACATAACTTGATTATAAGATTACTTTAATTTCAGTACCACCAAAAAAGACAAAAATACATAAGATACAGCTGGGATTCTAAGATGTGTGCCATTTTTGGAGAGGTTTATATAGGGAAAAAGTGTGTCTTAGAAATGCAGTAAATGTCATTTGGATATTTGGGATCTAAACAGGTTCAGAGACGTCCAAAACAGTCTTTAAATCAGTGGTTAAATCCAGGGACCAGTTTGATCAGGGACCACTCTCGAACATTAGTACCAAAAGGGTTATGAATCCGGTTTTAGTCAACTTTAGATTTGGTTTGGTTATTTGGGGTGCTGATTCAGAAAATTGCATTGGATAGACCGCATCAGCTCTAGTTTCTGATGCAGAACATATGCCATCCAGTAGTTACCATCTGTTCGCCCACAGAAAACCATATTTAACAACTGAGAGATGATGTGGTCTATCCAATGCAATTTTCTGAATCAGCACCCCAAATAACCCTAGGAACAGGTCTAAAAACGAAGTCACCAAGGTGCGGCCACTTCGGGGCACCACATGGAACGGCTCCGCTCAGGGAGAGGGAGGAGGAGGAGAAGCAGCAATCAGGAGGCTTGTTTTCATACCTTTTGTGGGTAGTCAGCCCCCTCCCTCCCGACATCCCCGTTGCCTCGACACTATAAGAGGGTTTCGTGAGACCAGTCGGTCTCGTTGCAATGGTGTAGTAACGGTGAGGCCATGGACCATATTTTAGTTCTTGTGGACCACTGATGGTCCACAGACCACAGTTTGGGAACCACTGTGTTAAATGACCACTTGCACCCTTCTTATTTTCAGGCAGGCTTTTAAAGCATGGAGTTTATAAGAATAGGCATGGGGATGCTATATGGTGTTTGAATTCTATGGTGTCAAACTGCATTAATTCAAGATGTAACCTGAATCATGAACCTTACACTCATAAAATATAATCTGCTACATACCTTTGATGTTACAAAGAAGATCACTAGGGGACATCTTTGCTTTTAAATACAATTAATGTGTGTTTTCTTTATAACATTGCAAAACTTGTCAGGTGGATAAAGTTGTCCAGATGTATGAAACCATGTTGACTCGTCACACCACAATGATCGTTGGCCCAACTGGAGGCGGCAAGTCCGTGGTCATCAATACATTGTGTCAGGCTCAGACAAAGTGAGTAAAGCTCACAGAGGTTTTAATGGTTGTTCTGCCATTATGCAGAACATTGTGCATTATGTTTTACTTTATTGTGTTCTATTGTGTGTTTATTTTAAGCTCTGTTTTAGGCACTTTTGGCCAAATGTAAACTGCCCCGAGTCCCTTCGGGGAGATGGAGGTGGGATACAAGAATAAAGTTGTTGTTGTTGTTGTTGTTGTTATTATTATTATTACTTGAAACACAACTAGAATAGTACACAGCAAACAAGGTCACTGTTTGTTGTTCATTCGTTCAGTCATTTCCGACTCTTCGTGACCTCATGGACCAGCCCACGCCAGAGCTCCCTGTCGGCCGTTACCACCCCCAGCTCCCTCAAGGTCAGTCCAGTCACTTCAAGGATGCCATCCATCCATCTTGCCCTTGGTCGGCCCCTCTTCCTTTTTCCTTCCATTTTCCCCAGCATAATTGTCTTCTCTACGCTTTCCTGTCTTCTCATGATGTGGCCAAAGTACTTCATCTTTGTCTCTACTATCCTTTCCTCCAATGAGCAGTTGGGCTTTATTTCCTGAAGTATGGACTGGTTAGATCTTCTGGTGGTCCAAGGCACTCTCAGAACTTTCCTCCAACACCACAGTTCAAAAGCATCTAATTCCTTTGCTCAGCTTGTCACTGTGCTGGCTGTTATATTGGATCACACGTTGGACACTTCCCAAGTGTCTAGGACTATGTGATGTATCAGCAAATAATGCACGCAGATCCCAGTAGGGTGGCCTTTTGCAGCTGACGGATGGTAATTTTGTCAGCGCTGATTGTGTTTAAGTGCAGGCCAAGGTCTTTAGGCACTGCACCTAGTGTGCCAATTATTATTATTATTTGAAACACAACAAGATGAATCCACAGCAGACAAGATCACTCTGCTGGGTGTTATATTGGATCACACGTCGGACACTTCCCAAGTGATGTATCGGCAAATAATGCTTGCAGATCCCAGTAAGATGGCCTTTTTTGCTGGCAGATGGTAATTTTGTCAGCGCCGATTGTGTTTAAGTGCAGGCCAAGGTCTTTAGACACTGCACCCAGTGTGCCGATCACCACTGGGACCACCTTGACTGGTGTGTACCAGAGTCTTTGCATTATTATTATTATGCTAGGGTTTCTTTACAAGAGGAGGAGAGTAAGAAGATACTGGTTCAGTTTGATCTCACAGTGTATTTGGCTCTGTTGACAAAGTCCTGGAAAAATTGCTCCCAATTCTGATGGGTATATGGAGTTTTCGTGTTCAGAAATAGCATGTCATAGAATGTCATTTTCAGGGAACAGAATTGAGAGGTCTGTTGTTTTCAAGTTCTACACAAGTTCTCCAGAGGCACCTGGTTTCTTCCTTGATGAAAACATTCAGTTTTTTTAAACAAAAATATTTTTACATTTTACTGTTGTCTTCATTTTCTTCTGTGTTGTCCATTTAGACTAGGATTGCTGACTAAGCTTTATACACTGAACCCCAAAGCCATGAGCGTAATTGAGCTGTATGGTATCCTGGACCCTACCACACGGGATTGGACAGATGGTGTGTTGTCCAACATATTCCGGGAAATAAATAAACCCACTGACAAGAAGGAGAGAAGGTATGGTCTTTAAGAGTAAGATCAGTGTTTTCCACTCAGATTTAAGTGGAATCCTTGGAGGGTCGGTGAATATATTGTATGATAGGATTACATAGTGTGGTCCACCCATACCTGATGTGTGGTTGCTGCCCAGCACTGGTTGTGGCTCTCAGGGACAGAATGGTTGCATTCTCCTTCCCTATGAATTCTATTAAATGCTGTCATTTTGGAATAAATTATTTTCAAGTTGGCATGAAACAGCAATCCACTACAAATGGGTCTCACCCTGGCATCCTAGCCCGACTAGGTAGGAGCCAACAGTCTTTTGCTGCCAACCTGATGTGGTTTTGCCCTTCGCACGTGTAGACAGTAAGGTTGTATGTGGGATTTTGGGAGGGTGGTGAGTTTTAAATGTAATTTTAATTGTATTAATTGTATTTTATTCTATTTTAATTTTATATCCATTCTTGAATATTTAGGGTTTTTTTTTTAATTTTTGTATTTGCTTTGGTTATATTGTCATTAGATTGTGTGGTTTTTAGTTGCCTTGAGTCCACACAAGGAGAAAGGCAGTGTATAAATAAAGTTTATAGCAATAATAATAATAATAATATTAATCATAATAATAATAATTTTTCTCCATTAAATAATAGAAATTCAAGATAGAGAAAAGGACTAGGGAGGATAGGAGGGAGGACAGTGAGCTAGACGTGAAATGAGCTTGTTAAGATATATTTTAAGATAACTTTACAGTTTAGGCACACAGGGGCTTAATTTGTTTCATTTAATCTGAGAACATTAGAGAATAATTCATTTTGATCAGTAATAGCTAGATGGATTAAAGTGTACATTTTCTAATGAGCATTAGCCAAGGCCTGGGACACATGTAAAATGGTCTATCTTTCAAAGCACTGCTTATGTGGAGTCAGCATTTTTACAAGGTATGTGTGGTGCTGCTGTGGGAAAGAACCAACTACTTTAATTAAAGATCACAAACTAGACAAATAAAAGTCCGTATGAGCTGCATTTGGTGTAACAGCGCTACAAGCAGGGTTTTTTTATGTCATAGTTGCCATCCAATTTAGAGGACTGAATAAATCTTGATCGTAGTGTATTGCTCCTCTGTGCCATGAGTTGGCGGGAAGAGAATCCACATCTGTCCTCGGGAGTGAAAAAACAACAATTCAAGATCTAACTTTAAATCTTATTGCAATATTATAATAATAATAATAATAATAATAATAATAATATAATAATAATAATAATAATAATAATAATAATAATACTCTTTATTTATATTCTGCTCTATCTCTCCAAAGGGACTTAGGGCGGATTCCAAACATAAAAGGCAAACATTCAATGCCCAGATTCAACAACAATACATCCATACTAACAAAATGTATACAACCCAACATATAAATACGAATTATAACTTTACAAACTAAAATTAAATAAATGCACAACCTGTTATAACAGACATAAGACAAAACATCAAACATCAAATGGAAACAATGATTTCCATTTCTTTGGGACAATATTTAGTGACAAGACAGGGTGGATAGCAATAGATCTGTAAGACCAGGGCTAGATAATAAAACTGCCTGAGAGAGGAAGGAGTATCAGTGGACCAAATTGAAAAAGGACATTGACTCCTGCCTAGTTGGGTTGGCATGTGAGGATGAAACCTAGTTGGGTTGGCAGCTGTGGATCACTCCTCCTTCTACCTCTGAAGGAACATTCATAGTCACAACAACCACTCAATTATTAGATCTAACTATTTAAAAACTTGCAGAGAGGAGACAGGAGGTAGAGTTGGGTCTCTCTAATATGTCATTACATGTCAAGGTAGGCTCTTCTGTCAACCTAGGGAGAGCCAGAGGGAGAGAGGCAGGTAATAAATGATGATGATTATGTTATAAAAGAAAAAAAACCAGTAGGTTGGATCTTACTTTCCTACTCTTATTCATAGTTTCCTGTTCCTGCTGCTCTTCCGTCAGTCCACTGAAACAACAGAGATCAAACTGTATTACAGTAGAGTAGCTTTGGGGATTTGTTATTTTTAAGAGCCTTTCCTCTCACTGATGTGTGTACAGGTACATCTTATTTGATGGGGATGTGGATGCACTCTGGGTAGAAAATATGAATTCTGTGATGGACGATAACAAGCTATTGACACTGGCGAATGGGGAACGAATCAGACTTCAGACCCACTGTGCCCTTTTGTTTGAGGTAAGGACTTTTCAAACAAAGTGTTCAAGCAAACTTTGAGGATGAGGATTTTTGTTAAACGTTATATCACTGCTCATTCTGGGCTTTGGAACTGGCATTCTCTCAATCAAGCCCGATGAGACAACCAGGCATTGCTCCAAGAAAGCAGCAAGAACATAAAATATTACATTGGAACAACGTGAGAACAGACATTTTAAATTGCCACCTTTGTATTTTCCCATTCTCTTTTGCTGTGTTTTGCAAAATTAATCAATACTTCAAACTGCTCATTAGTATCACAGAACTACTAGAGGCACTCCAAGTGGCCAGCTTCTGGTCAAAGGACATTTAGCATAATGCCAAGTTTTTGTAAACCTTTGTTTGTATTTTTAACTGCATTTTAACCGTACCCTCAACTTGCTTTTCACATGATAAATAAATACCTGTGAATGTGCTTCTATTTCATTGCTAGGTTGGAGATTTACAGTATGCCTCACCTGCAACAGTATCGCGCTGTGGGATGGTCTTTGTGGACCCAAAGAATTTGAGATACAGGCCTTACTGGGAGAAATGGTCAAGCCAAAAGAACAAGGTACGAGTTTTCAAAGGCTGGTTAGGAAGAAATGAGGAATTGGGTTGCTGTAAGTTTTTCGGGCTGTATGGCCATGTTCCAGAAGCATTCTCTCTTGACATTTCGCCTTCATCTATGGCAGGCATCCTCAGAGGTTGTGAGGTCCTTACAGCAACCCAGTGATCCCAGCCATGAAAGCCTTCGACAGTACAGAAATGAGGAATGTTGGTTGAAAATCAGTATAAGTGATTCACCTTTGTCTAGCTAGAGAGATGATTTTTGTGAATTCACTTAGAAGACACATAAGTTTTTGTGCTGTTGACTCTATTCCTTTTTCCTTCTGTCTTCCACAAAGCAAAGCTAGACAGTGTGAATGGGACAGCACTGCTTTGGTATTGAATTTCCACCATGTCCTCTGAAATTATTTCTGTCATGTGATTAAAGAAATCTTGCTCGTGTGAGAATTAATCAGTTCCTTACACATGCGTAGATTTGCATCTGAACTGCAGTTCTTCTGAGAAAGGAACAATTTTGTGTCCAGAAGATAAGTTTCTTTGATATATATGTTCGTTTTTTGTTTTGTTTTGTTTTGTTATGAAAAAGTCTATATTAGGAAAAGCATTCCTTGCAGCTGTGTGTTGATCTTTGGGCCCTGAGTTTGGAGTATGTTTTTATAGTGGTATCTTTTGAAAAACATATTTTATTTTATGTATTTTACATTGAGATGTTTTTTTCACTTTGTTGTACTCCATCTTGAGCCATTATTATTATTATTATTAGTAGTAGTCCTATGCCAGGAGGAAAGAAGACTGCTTCTTCAACTAAAGTGCCTGCCATATGCAGTATTTATATTGCTAATTATGAAAAGAGACAATGAGATTCATAGAGTGAGGTGAGCGATGAGGCAAGTTAGACACTGAAACGCTTCATCTGTGTCAGTGGAGGATATTATCCTCTACATTTAGGAAGAAGCATGTCAGCTGAAGCAGACTTTTCCGGTTCACTTAAAAGAGGAGATCCCATCCAGTTTCAATCCCATAGTTGTGCTTTTCTGCAGCTCCTCATCCTACTATCTGCTTACAGGACAAAAGCTTTGGATGCTTCCTTTCCTGGTAGATCTTTCACTATTGTGGCCCATTCACTAATTTCTTCTCTTTCTTTCTTTCGGAGTGGACTGGGTTTGACCTGTGCTATTCTGTCAACCTCATACAGACATGGAACTAGGTGTCTGTGGGTATATCAGATCTATTGGTTTTAAAGCAGATTAAAGTACTGCATAGGGCAGGAACTATGTAGATCCTTCACATGAATTCATTCTGTTTTTCCTAGCAAGAACAACAACTGTTAGACAGACTCTTTGACAAGTATGTGCCATACCTGATTGACATGATTGTAGAAGGCATTGTTGATGGACGGCAAGGGGAGAAGCAAAAGACCATAGTCCCACAAACAGACCTAAATATGGTATGAAATGCTGCTTTCTTAATTCACAAGCATTAAGCAATTTTGGAGATGTTTGAGTTCAACTGTATGGCTGAAGATGATTTACTGTTTATAGTAAAATATGGGTATGCTTCATTAGAATCAACTGTGAGAAGAGTTTCCAGGTTGTGTCCTGACGCATAAAAGTATCTCCTTCAGGAGAGACTGTAAATATAGTATGAAAAGTTGAATTTGTGATTTACCTTGACGACTTGGCTTTATGTAATTATTTGATTTGTATTTTAATGTATTTTAATGTATTAATGTATTATGATGTTATTATGTTTTAGCTTATTTGTGTATGAATTTCTTGTTGTTAGTCGGCCTGAGTCCCTCTTTGGAGGTTGAGAAGACCGGGTTATAAAAGCTCTAAATAAATAAATAAATAAATAAATAAATAATAAACAACACTTTGACACTCAATTTTAAATATTGTTTTGCTTTTTAAAAAACCTTTTAATATCAATTTATATGGGAGAGGCAGAGAAAGGGATTATTTCAGAGGGAATTTTAGGGAAAATGTTTAAGTTGGGTTAAAATTATTGGGATATGGATTATGACAAGGCCCCCGGTGGCACAGCGGGTTAAACCACTGAGCTGCTGAACTTACTGACCAAAAGCATGGCAGTTTGAATCCATAGATCGGGGTGAGTTCCTGCTGTTAGGCCCAAACCTAGCAGTTTGAAAACATGCAAATGTGAGTAGATCAATAGGTACCGCTTCTGCAGGAAGGTAACGGCACTCCATGTAGTCATGTTGACCACACAACCTAGGAGGTGTCTACGGACAACGCTGGCTCTTTGGCTTAGAAATAGAGATGAGCACCACCCCCCAGAATCGGACACGACTAGACTTAATGTCAGGGGAAACTTTTACCTTATTGATTTTGACTTGTTAGGATCATAACCTATTGGGTAGCAGAGTTTCAGAAATGTTCCTTTAGTTTATTGGGTTAATTGATGATAACTGGGCACGTAAATATCTTGTTTTTATTCAATGCTTTCAGCAGACAAAGGTTCAAGTAGACTTCTTTAAAATAACATGTTTGTTTTACCCACAACTTCATGTATTTAAATATGCAGGCACATTTCTTATCAAGTTAAATGTTAAAACATTTCAATTTGTATCATTAACTTATAGGCTTTATCAGTGTCTTCAAAACTATATTGCTTTGTATAGCTCTTTTTCATAACAGTCGTACTTCCAAGGGACTCAAGCCTCAATAGGTTCTAACTTCCTACATTGACTTCTGTACTCAAACTGACTCAAGCTTCAACTGTCATTCCTCATCTGGCATCCTTTTAAAACTGCATTCTAAACAATCACTGAACCAGTCACATGGTCTGCAGCCCCTCCCACTGCCTCAAGTACATAGAGCTAAGAAAACTGCAAACCAAAGAAGACATACACTTCAAGGAATGAACAACACATTATAAACAGACAAAACATTAAACAGAGTAAGCTTGAGAAGGTTGCTATCTCCAACAAAAATGGTCTATTTTGCGAAAAGTGATATTTCAGGATTTCCCCAGATATCATTATCACTTTGTTACTTCTGGTGACAGGTGATACAATTGAGTAAGATGCTGGACGCCCTCTTAGAGGTGGAAATTGAAGACCCCGATGTGCTCGAATGCTACTTTCTGGAAGCTTTATATTCTTCTTTAGGAGCATGTCTCCTGGAAGCTGGAAGATCCAAATTTGATGACTTCATTAAACGCCTCTCCTCTATGTCAATGGTTAATGATGAGCTGACTCTAGCAAAACCAGGAGAGCTTCCAGGTGGGATATGGTTGGTCTTCTGTACCACATTTTACTTGAACGAAACTTTGTGCAGTTAGGGACAAATACTAGATAATTAAAGAACAGTGAGTAATATCTAACCCTTTTCTTCCAGGCCTGCAAAAATGGGCATATGCCATGTTTCTTTGTACTAAAACCCAAGGCTTTCTGATGATGATGCATAATATGTAAAATTGATCAACAACATGGGATGCTTTTAGATGTCTTTTCCCCAGTCGTTGGTGGCATATATGTCCAGTCATAGAATCATAGAATCATCTTGGCTAATTAAATCGGCTAGGGAGGGGTTGGTTGATTGGTTTGTGTTGATCATTAATGCATCATTGGAGCAGGGGATTTTTCCATCTCATTTGAAACAGGCTGTGGTTCGTCCACTCCTCAAAAAGGCTTCCCTTGACTCGACGGTGCTGAACAATTACAGATCGATCTCCAACCTCCCTTTTTTGGGGGGGAGGGGGGTAAGGTGCTGGAGCGGATGGTCGCCTCCCAGCTCCAGGGCTTTTTAGATGACATCAACTACCTAGATCAGTCACAGTCTGGTTTCAGGCCTGGTCACGGCACCGAGACAGCCTTGGTCACCTTGGTGGATGACCTCCGTAGAGAGCTGGACAGGGGGAGTGTGACTCTGTTGGTTCTCTTGGACATCTCAGCGGCTTTCGATACCATCGATCATGGTATCCTTCTGGGTCGACTCTCTGGGATGGGTCTCGGGGGCACGGTTTTGTCGTGGCTCCGGTCCTTCCTGGAGGGACGAACCCAGATGGTGAAGCTGGGAGATGCCTGCTCGGACCCCTGGCCTTTGACCTGTGGGGTCCCGCAAGGCTCTATTCTGTCTCCCATGCTTTTTAACATCTACATGAAACCGCTGGGAGAGGTCATCCGGAGTTTTGGAGTTAGGTGCCATCTCTACACAGATGACACACAACTCTACTACTCTTTTCCACCTAATTCCAAGGAGGCCTCTTGGGTGCTGGACGAGTGCCTGGCCGCTGTGTCTATCTGGATGAGGAGGAGCAAGCTGAAGATCAATCCTGACAAGACAGAGGTCCTCCTGGTCGATCGTAAACCGGATCGGGGTATAGGGTGGCAACCTGTGTTGGACGGGGTTACACTCCCCCTGAAGCCACAGATCCGCAGTTTGGGCGTCCTATTGGATTCATCGCTTACGCTTGAGGCTCAGGCATCGGTGGTGTCCGGGAGGGCTTTTGCACAATTGAGACTCGTGCGCCAACTGCGAGCGTACCTCGCGAAGGCTGATCTGGCCGGGGTGGTCCATGCCTTGGTCACCTCTAGATTGGACTACTGTAATGCGCTCTATGTGGGGCTGCCCTTGAAAACGGTTCGGAAATTCCAACTGGTCCAACGGGCAGCAGCCAGGATGTTAACTGGGGCTCCATTACAGAGAGAGGTCAACCCTCCTGTTCAAGGAGCTCCACTGGCTGCCGTTTATTTTCCGAGCCCAATTTAAGGTGCAGGTGCTTACCTACAAAGCCCTGAACGGTTTGGGACCATCCTACCTGCGTGACCGTATCTCCGTTTATGAACCCACGTGCTCACTTCGTTCATCCGGAGAGGCCCTGCTCGTGATTTCGCCAGCATCGCAGGCGCATTTGGTGGGGACGCGAGACAGGGCCTTTTCTGTGGTGGCCCCCCGACTCTGGAACACCCTCCCAAAAGATCTTAGACAGGCCCCTACATTGGCAGTCTTTAGAAAGAACTTGAAGACCTGGCTGTTCCGATGTGCCTTCCCAGAATAGGAATCTCCAATAACAAGTCCCAGAAGCACTTTATTAGAACTAAGATTGCTGCACACTGCACTTATCCTATAATCCTTACATATCACCTGTCACATCAGTACTTTTAATCCTGTACCCATTACTCTGGCCCGGCCCAGTTTTATAGTGTCTTAATGTATTGTTTATTGCTTGTTGTTTAATATTGCTTTAATTGTTTTTAATTTGCTTTAGGTTCTGTATTGTTATGTTGTGTTTTGAGGCCTTAGCCTTTGTAAACCGCATCGAGTCCTTCGGGAGATGCTAGCGGGGTACAAATAAAGATAATAATAATAATAATAATAATAATAATAATAATAATAATAATAATAATAATAGAGCTGGAAGAGAGCTCGTGGGCCATCCAGTCTAACCCCCTACCAAGAAGCAGGAAAATTGCATTCAAAGCACCCCCGACAGGTGGCTCTCTTCCAGATCTATGATTCTATGACTGTGTGCTCAAATGGCTAATTTAACATATTATATTTCTTGTTTGGAAATGCTTAGAGTAATTTTCATCATCCATAGTGTTTAGACCAGGGGTTCACAAACTTTTTAAACAGAGGGCCAGGTCACAGTTCCTCAAACTGTTGGAGGGCCGGATTATAATTTGGAGAAAAAAAAAGAATTCCTATGCACGCTGCACATATCTTATTTGTAGTGTAAAAAACACTTAAAAAAATACAATAATTAAAATGAGGAACAATGTTAACAAATATAAACTTATTAGTATTTCAATGGGAAATGTGGGCTACTTTTGGCTGATGAGATAGGATTGTTGTTGTTATGTGTCAGGACACAGATGCCTTTAAGGGCCAAACGCAGAGTTAGTTCCAAAGTAAAGTTTATTGCAACAAAGGACAGGAGCTCAGAGACACTGGCCTCTCGCCAAAACTCAAAAGTTAACCAAACTTGGTTCAAAAAGCAAACTGAGATATAATCTGGATTAACCAGAGAAAAGAACCGGATTAAACACAGTATTTTGTGGCAAACCAACAGTGCTGCGTACAAATGGTTAACAGCAAAAGGAAACCGCAAGGAGAGAAACCGAGGTCAGCCGAAGTCCAGGAGTCATAGTAGGTGCTCCCAAATTCACACGTGAACTCCTGTTACCATCCCTCCAGCTTCTCCATCTCCTGTGAAGACTTAGATCACCCCAAGTCTCTGTAGTATTCCCCAATTGCCAGTCTTCACCTCCAGAAAACCCCATAAATGTATCACTAGACGTTGGCTCCGCACACACAGCTTGCACCTCCTTTACCTTAGGCCAGTCCAGTGCATCATCCCCATTCCCATCACTCCTTGACCCATCATCCCTGGAGAAACCCATGAATGACTCCTCATCTGTGGAGGCTGTCAGTATATCCTGGATTCTCTTCCTCTGTTGTGCCTCATCCGATTCCTGCTCACGAGTAACCCTCTTTCTGCCCTTAGAGCAAACCATGGTATCTTCTTCCTCACTCAATGACCCTTCATCCCCAGAGAAACCTTCAAATGAATCCTCATCTGTGGGTGCCATAAGTATATCCTGGATCCTTTTCCTTTGTTGTTCATCATCAGATTCCTGCTCTTGAGTAACCCGTTTTCCCCTTCTGGTCTCCAAACCAATGTTTGTAACACTACTCACAGGCTCTACTACAACATTATGTGCTTTCAAGTCGTTTCAGACTTAGGTTGACCCTGAGAGAGGGCCAGGTAAGTGACCTTGGAGGGCCACATCCGGCCCCCGGGCCTTAGTTTGAGGACCCCTGGTTTAGACTAGCAGCAATAACTCTCTCTACTTATTTCTAATACATTGCAGGCCAGCTTCCGACATTATATGACTTTCACTTTGACGGGCAGATGAAAAGGTGGATGCCTTGGAGTAGATTGGTCCCTGAATATGTTCATTCACCTGAGGTGAAATTTATTGACATTCTAGGTAAGTGTAAAGGAAGGTAAATTAAGCTTGGCATAATTTTAGTGGGCGTGATTAATTGAAAATCTGTCATGCATTCTGAAACATTATGCAATTGACCATATTTACACACAATTATTTGCCAAATGGAAGGAGTACCCAAAGCTGTTGGTTCCTGAGGAACTGTATGCTTTTCTTTCTCTCAAAGATCTATGTCAGAAAGGAGTTTGAAAGCCAATTTTGGGCACATTTGAACAGAAATGCCCTGTATGCATGCGGTTTTATACTCTGCTCCTTGCTGTAGGAGACCCATTTAGACTTGAGCATAGAATAGAGTGTATCCCTAAAGTCAATGTCATCTAATGTGCTTAATTAAAGTTCTATTGCTGACGTGATATATCCATTATGCCTGATGTCTCTCTGTTACATTCCAAATTAACATCCCCACTCTTTAGTTCCCACAGTGGACACAACCCGCACAACCTGGCTACTAGAAAAAATGGTAAAAATCAAGAATCCTGTTGTTCTGGTTGGAGAATCGGGGACCTCAAAGACAGCAACAACACAGAACTTTCTCAGAAAACTCAATCCTGACACAAATGTAAGGCTCTATATTGCAGTGTAGACCTTGGTGTGATTTTATTGAATCAAAATAGTAAGCCTTATCAAAATAATTTGGAGTAATTATACCTGGCAACAGCAACTGGGATGGTAAGATGATGGTCCAGCAGGGTCATATGTTGGGGAGGGAATGTGCAGCTACTTCTGGCCTAGCTGCAGATTAGGTCAGTTAAGCCTTCTGATACAATAAGGAAAAGGGCTCAGTTTGGATCTTGAGGAATAGAAGATGGTATGTTCGTATCAGAAATAGGCATGAGACTGATGGTTTGCTCCATGCTTCATTGCTTTGGACCCAAGTTTCCAAAGTCTCCTAACAATGGATTTGCTTTCCCATTTGGATCCTATTTAAGGCATGCACAGTTCTTAGTATGAGCTTTGATTTCAGCATTGACCATATTTCATCTTCCACTTTCAGGTGTTGCTGATCATTAACTTCTCCTCCCGCACAACTTCAATGGATATTCAACGGAATTTAGAAGCAAATGTAGAGAAACGGACCAAAGAGACCTATGGGCCCCCGATGGGAAAGCGTCTCCTTGTTTTTATGGATGATATGAATATGCCCAGGGTAAACAGACTGAATTATATTCAGGAATTCTGCAATACGTTGTATTTTTTGAAATGGAGTAACATTGGAGCTGACATGGAAGGGACAGGGAATGCTGAGTCAGAGCAAGATTCTTTGATCCAGCCTTCTTCTTTCCAACATAACTCGCAGATAGTGTTATAGTGATGCCATACTTGTTACAAGTATCTAGCAAAGATAGACATCTTTTTATCTTTGAGGTTTCATTCATTCTGTAATGGCTATACCCACTGATGGATTATCTTAGATGCATTGGTCTTCTTTATCAAAAAGCCATCTAAACTTGCAGCTGTCATCTTTTAGATGTAAGATGAAGATTTATTTACATACATGGTAGTTGTGGAGATAAAAGGGATGATAATGATGATGATGATGATGATGATGATGATGATGATGATGATTTATGCTGCTGTGAGTTCTTTTGGGAAGCAATGGTACATAAATAAAGTAATAGCAGTATAAGTTTATTCTGCAGCCTGCTAGTTAAAGTTTATTCTGCAGTTTGCCATCTATTTGTCATATTTCTGGTTTCTATCTTTAAACAGCTTAACATTGCAGTTATGTCCATGTCTTCTCAAAAGTAAGCTCCATTTAATTAAATTGAGACTCATTCCAGACAACTACATATAGGGTTGATGTGTTGTCGAAGGCTTTCATGGCCGGAATCACTGGCTTCCTGTGAGTTTTCTGGGCTGTATGGCCATGTTGCAGAAGCATTCTCTTCTGACGTTTCTCCCACATGTATGGCAGGCATCCTCAGAGGTTGTGTACACATAGAGTTGCTGCTAAAACCCACTTATTTGTCTCAATTGGAGTAGCTCCTTCAAATCAGTTGAATTTTTATTTGACCAAGTTGCCATTGAGATGAACAATTGAGTTTCAACCATAATTATTAGACGTCAAGTTCTATTTGTGTATTTATCAACTAAATATTTAATGCTAATATTTGTATTGATTTTATATGTATTGATATTGTCTTTTCTAGATGTTAGTATATTTAAAATTGTTACATATTGTGAGCTTAGGCTGAAAAGAGGAATCCAAATAGTTATCATTCAGAACTCTTTGGGGTAGATTGCTTGTTGGCCTCTTCTCTGTCCCTTGCCTAAGCATTTTGATTTCCTTCTTTTCCAAAGGTTGATGAATATGGGACTCAGCAGCCCATTGCATTGCTCAAGTTACTTTTAGAGAAAGGTGCCTTGTATGATCGGGGAAAAGAGATGAACTGCAAATACCTCCGTGACCTTGGCTTTATTGCTGCCATGGGCAAAGCGGGAGGAGGACGTAATGAAGTTGATCCTCGGTTCATTTCCCTCTTCAGTGTTTTCAATGTTCCTTTTCCTTCTGAGGTGTCTCTGCACTTGATTTATGCTTCTATTTTAAGAGGCCACACAGAGGTAAGCTGCGTTTATTTACTGTAAATAGAGAAATATTGTGTCAGATTTGATAGACCTACATAGAACTTAAATGCTTGTGAAAAATTCACCCACAGGCCTACACTTATGCACTGGCATTTGTTGATAGGAATCTGTCTTAAGGTTAGGTGTTTGGTTTTGCTTGGTGCTGAGGACAGTGATATAAAAGTAACTGATCATAGTCCAAGTCTAATGTTTGATCTCTTGGTGCCATATTAGTAATCCGTGGACAAGGAAAGATAATAGCTTCCTAGCTCTATTTGAGCTGGATCCCAGAATCTACTGTGAACTTCAATAATATTTTCCCATAGGATCTGCATGCTCTTATTTTATCGGTGGTTGAGATGAAGTATAAGAGAGACTCTGCCAAAGATACATTGGAAAGGAAGGGTTTACGATGTCTAAAGTCATGTAAGAGTAAATTGGTAGTTCTGTATTAAAATGATGTGCCAGCCATAGTCATTACATTTTTGACTTAGTTATCCCTTCCTATAAGTGTTGATGGAAACTTTTATGAATTTATCAGGTAGCCTTTAGCAACCTTGACTTGACTTTACCAATGGATGGTTTCAGAACATTTTCCAAGACAATTGCATTAAAGATACAGGGAGCATACAACTCCCCTTCTGCATCACCTCCACTGGCTGCCAGTCTGCTACCGAGCACAATTCAGAGTGCAGGCTTTAGCCTATAAAGCCCTAAATGGTTCTAGCCTTGCTTACCTGTCCAAACGTATGCCCCTCTATGATCAACCTTGGAGGCTAAGATCATTGGGGGAGGCCCTGCTCATGGTCCCACCTCCCTCACAAAAACAACTGGTGGGGACGAGAGACAGGGCCTTCTCAGTTGTGGCCCCTCATCTATGGAACTCCATCCCCAGTCAAATTAGATCGCCCCCCTTCCTCCTGGCCTTCAGAAAAAAACTAAAAACATGGCTCCGGGATCAGGCTTTTGGTCAATAATGGAGCAGTGCAATAAGACATAAATTAACTTAATGATATGACCTGGACTATGTGATTTTAATTGTTTTAATGTTATGTTTTAATTGGTTGGTTTTAATGTTTTTGTTCATTCATGGATGCATGTGTACATGTGGCATTGAATTGTTGCCTTTGTAAGGCCACCTGGAGTCCCCTTCGGGGTTGAGAAAGTCAGGGTACAAGTATGGTAAATAAATAAACAATAAATATTTCTCAATGAGAGTCACCAGTGAGAATGTTGTTGTTGTTCATTTGTTCAGTCGCTTCTGACTCTTTGTGACCTCATGAACCAGCCCGCGCCAGAACTCCTTGTCGGCCATCACCACCCCCAGATCCTTCAAGGTCAAGCCAGTCACTTCAAGGATACCATCCATCCATCTTGCCCTTGGTCGGCCCCTCTTCCTTTTTCCTTCCATTTCCCCCAGAATGTTAGCGGCCATCAGTCAATATCTCTGTGTGACACAAAGGGAGGGGGCTCCCAAGGTAGAATGAAGGCCTGTCTTATACAGTATGGTGATGGAAAAATAAGCTTCAAGAAAAAGTATTTCCAGAATTGTCTTTTGAAAAGCTTTCTTCCCCACACCCATCTTGTATCTGCAGGCTTTTCATGAATCGGTGTCTGCAATTGCCGACAGGATGACATCATGTACGTTGGCCCTTTATCAAATGATAGTCAGAGACTTACCTCCAACTCCTTCCAAATTCCATTATATTTTTAACTTGCGAGACCTGTCAAGGGTTTACAATGGACTTGTTCAGACAACCCCAGAACGGTGAGTTTGTTGCATCCAATTTTGGGCCCTTTTGTGATGCGATCAAATTGCCCCATAGGTGGAATTTGATGGTTGGCTCAGATTTCTTCCTTTTCAGTTCATAGCCCTCATGTATTTTCCTATAATTTTCTTACTCTTAAGGAAGACAGAACAGATGTAAGGAAAGTACTGGTGGGCTATAAATAAATCCTTCTTTATTACCAAAAAAAAAAATCTCTTTAAAAAAGATGAAACTTGTGTCTAGTGCTTTTTTGAATATTATGTAGCAGTAGGAACTGTCTATTTGGGATCAACTTTTATTGCAAATGGGGGGTGAGTGGGGCTGAGTGGTCCACTAAATCTCATTCCATAATTTGACCCAGTTTTCTTCCAACACAGGTTCCAGACAGTGGGCCAGATGGTGCGAGTATGGAGGAACGAGTGCCTGCGGGTTTTTCATGACAGGCTGATTAATGAAATAGACAAAGCGCTGGTTGGTCCTTGCCTTTTTTCTTCCTTTAATTAATTTGTGTTGTTTTGAACATGAGCAGGAAACAGGATAAAACCTTATGTGGCTGCTTGTACAAATGCTTTTCGTACAGAAGACTCCAAGCTCAGAAGCTAAAATTTCCATTTATACTTCCTTTGTTTACTCAGAAGGATGTCCCACTGTTTTCAGCAGGATTTACTCCACCTTAATGGTCTTTATGATTACAACCTTAAAAAAAATATTGGTAAAAGAGGTCTTTATGATTACAACCTTAAAAGAAATATTGGTAAAAGAATTGGGAAGTACTTTTGCCCTAGGTCTTAGAGCAGTGTTTCTCAATCTTCCTAAAGCCGCAACCCCTTAATACAGTTCCTCATGTTGTGGTGATCCCCAACCATAAAATTATTTTAGTTGCTTCTTCAGAACTGTAATGTCACTACTGTTATGAATCCTCATGTAAAGATTTGATATGCAGGATGTATTTTCATTCATTGGACTAAATTTGGCACAAATACCTGATACGCCCAAATTTGAATACTGGTGGGGTTGGGGTGGATTGATTTTGTCATTTGGGTGTTGTAGTTGCTGAACTTCACCAACTTGGCACACAAAACTCCCATGACCAACAGAAAATACTGGAAGGGTTTGGTTGGCATTGACCTTGGGTTCTGGAGTTGTAGTTCACCTACATCCAGAGAGCACTGTGGACTCGGATCCAGACCAAACTTGGCATGAATACTCAATATGCCCAAATGTAAACACTGGTGGAGTTTGGGGAAAATAGAGACCTTGACATTTGGAAGTTGTAGTTTCTGGGATTCATAGTTCAGCTACAACCAAAGAGCATTCTTAACCCCACCAACGATAGAATTGGGCCAAACTTCCCACACAGAACCCCCATGACCAAGAGAAAATACTGTGTTTTCTGATGGTCTTTGGCGATCCCTCTGACTCCCCCTTGTGACCCCCCAGATTAAGAAACCCTATCTTAAAGAGACACTGCCTCTCAGTGGCCTTGGGTGAACAATTTTAGACATTCACCTGAAGTTTCCCAGTCAATTTTAGACATTCATATATTCTTACTAGACTCTCACGTAATATTTTGGTGCCTCAAATATTAGCCCTATATCTGGTTACATTTTGAAAATGGCACCAGTTTTCCCCTATCCGCTTTAATTTTTGAGATACAGAACACATGCCATCTACCAGTTTTCATCTGCTCATCCATAGAAAACCAGGATTACCATATCTAAGGAACTAGAGTGGATGCGGTTTATCCCATGCAATTTCTGTATCATCACCCCAAATAATAATAATAATAATAATAATTATTATTATTATTATTATTATTATTATTATTATTATTACTGCGCTTTATCTCTCCTGAGGGAGACTCAAAAGGGCTTAACATAAAAGCATTAGCATACAATTTAAAAATACAAGTATGCAAACATCAAAACAGGATTAAATATAAACAGGATTAAAAAAATTCCCAGTTAAAAACCATTTAAACATATTCCAAGTTAAAGCATATTTAAAGAACCCCAGGAACAGGCCTAAAACCCAAGACACCAAGGATTTTTTTTGTTGAGCTGTGTAACCATTAGATAAATTCTTCAGATCTTTGTTCCTTTCATTATCTGACTTAGCGTGGAATCCTTTTGTGGCAGATCAGACTGCAAATAAGGAATTTAATGTGACTTTGTTCATATTCTGTCTTTTCAAACTATACTGTCAGGTCCAAGGGCATATACAGGCTTTGATTGAGGATAATTTCAAAGATGATGTAGAACATGCCATGAGGGAGCCAATTCTTTTTGGAGATTTTCGAATGGCCCTTAATGAAGGCGAACCTCGTGTTTATGAAGACATCCAGGACTACGATGCAGCCAAAGCACTTTTTGAGGTACAGAACCTAAACTGGGGAAGGAAGGGTTTTTTAAATGGTTTGATTTGGTGTTCTTTTTTTCCTGACCCTGCCTGCTCCAGAAACAGTCAGGATTGTTGTCTGTAGATTTCCTTCAAGCAGATGCTGCCCTTTCACAATTCAGTCACAGTCCTTCATTTGCATCCACCAGTATTAGCTGAACGTCATAGATAGAACTGACTTTTTTTAGAAGGCCAGCTGATTGCCTTCTTAGCTCTCACCCCAGCTTTGGTAAATGGGCTTGTTACTCTAGCCGTATTTATTTTTTCACGTGCCTTTTTGGATATCAAATTGCTTCTGCAAGCCTTCACTCCTTTAACTTTCTTTTGTAGGAGATTCTTGAAGAATACAATGAAATAAATACTAAAATGAATCTGGTCCTGTTTGATGATGCCTTGGAGCATTTGACCCGCGTCCATCGTATTATCAGGATGGACCGTGGTCATGCTTTGCTCGTCGGTGTTGGAGGCTCTGGAAAGCAGTCGCTGGCAAGATTAGCAGCTTATACAGCAGGATGCGAGGTGTGCACATTTATTGAACCCTTAATTTCTCTTGAATTAATTCAGATCACTACCCCTCCCTGTTTGGAACAGTTTGGTAATATTAAAACTGTTTCAAAAGAGAAGGCAAATATAATCAGCCACTGACTTATGGGAAACTGGGGCTTAGGGTTTGTTTACCTGAATAAGAAGGGGATTCTGACCCAGAGAGATGGCCCAGTTGCCATTCTGCAAATCAGAGGCTCAGATGAAAAGAGCACATCAATATTTGCACTTACCTTTTAGGTTTTTGAAATAGTTCTGAGCCGAGGATATAGCGAGAACAATTTGCGGGAAGACCTCAAGTCGTTGTATACCAAACTTGGAATTGAGAATAAGATAATGATATTCTTGTTTACTGATGCTCATGTAGCAGAGGAGGGATTTTTGGAGCTCATCAACAACATGCTGACATCAGGTAATATATGATCTGTGTGTATCCTCAGTTGTCCACACTGTTAAATCTGAAATATCATGGTGTTAGAAAGGATCTCCTGTTCGGTTCAGGAAAATCCACATTGAAGAAAAACCAATGTCGTTGGCAAGTTGTATTTTCATGGCTGTGGGCATGATACCTTTTACTAAGGGAATTGCCATGCATATCTGACACTCTTCAACAAGAGGAACATCTTTACAGGGGAATCAAGAGAAGGCAAATGTTTCTAGAAACTTACAGCAGATCTGAGACAAAGGTTTGTAGACCACTGCTGTGAAGCTACTGTTGCATCCATTGAACACCAATACATTTCCTGTTGCCCTAATGACTTTGTCTCCTCTTGATCATCAAACATTCCGTTTGGGTGTGTTGGCCCTTTTCTTGATGTGACCTCATTGGTTCATTCTTTAAGAATAAAAATCAAAATGAAAGCGGTCACGGGAGGCTGAATTAGCACATCCAGGAGACCTTGGAGGGCAGCACTTTTTGCTATATTCAGTCCCACCAGAAATTAACCTTTGTGCTCAAAAATGCCATCTGGGGAGCATGTTTGAGATCCCTCTTGAGCATTTAGACTAGTGGTTCTCAACCTGTGGGTCCCCAGGCATTTTGTCCTGCAACTCCCAGAAATCCCAGCCAGTTTACCAGCTGTTAGGATTTCTGGGAGTTGAAGGCCAAAACACCTGGGGACCCACTGGTTGAGAACCGTTGATTTAGACCATTTTAGGCACAGGAGGAGTTAAATAAAAATGATAGTAAACAAAAGCACCCCCTGAGTGCTGCACATAAAATAAATGGTACATAAGCATATAAACAGTGACAAGTTTACAACAACGAATGCACATAAAACGTCACATAATTAAAAAAAATAAATTTATAAAATGCAACAGTGCCTGCGGATAAAAGTGGCTGTCTTCAATTAACAATCCAAAATGCCAGAGTGAAACAATCACTAAGTCCTCAAATCAAACCATTAAAATCTACTCAAGGTCAAAGGCCTGTTTAAAAAACCATGTTTTTAGACTAGAATGAAAAAAATGGAGAGTGGAGGCTAACGTAATCTCTCTAGGGAGGGCATTCCAGAGCTGGGGCGTGGGGTGGGGGGTGGGGGCGGGGAACCACCAAGAAGTCCCTCTCTCTCATCCCCACCAACCGTACTTGGGATGGTGGTGGGACCGAGAGAAGGGACTCCCCAGCAGATCTCAGAGCCTGTTCCGGTTCATAGAAGGAGATGTGGTCTCGAAAATAGGTTGGACTCGAAGCATATAGGGCTTTATGGGTAATAACCTGCACTTTGAATTGGGCCTGGAAACTTGTCGGAAGCCAATGGAGCTGTTTTAATAGGGGCATAGTATGCTCCCTATCCCCAGTTAGTAGGATAGGAAGGGTAGGATGCTGTCTTCTACTTTTTACAGAGTAGAATCCTGAGACCTTAACTATTCCAACTTAATCACTTTCTGGCTTTATTTGACAGGCATGGTTCCAGCTCTTTTCCCAGATGATGAGAGAGATGGTATTTTAAGTCAGATCACAGATGAAGCCATGAAAGCTGGCACTGCACCAGCAAAAGAAAGTGTCTGGCAGTACTTTGTGAACAAGAGTGCCAACAACCTCCACATTGTCCTTGGGATGTCCCCAGTTGGGGAGACACTGAGAACACGCTGTCGAAATTTCCCAGGTACCAAACAGTTGGTTCTGTAGGTAAACTGATCTCTCCTCTTTGTCCCAGAAACGTAGAAACAAGAAAACAATAAATGGGTATATGAGTGGGTCGTATATCATTTATTCATTACCAACACTTTATTCCTTCCTGTTTGTGTGTTATTATTTACTCTCATATCATGTCCCCTTTGTAGGCCTTGTCAACAACACTGGAATCGATTGGTTCTTGCCCTGGCCAGCTCAGGCTCTCGACGCAGTTGCGAAATTCTTTTTAGGTAGGAGTTTAATTGCAGACTGGGTTGCACAATGTGAGTTTTGGGACACTTGAGACTTTATGTTAATGCTATGTAGTTTTTCTTGTGATTTTACCGCAAGCCAATATTATAAATCTTGCTAACAACAAGGCAGCAAGAGACGACGGGATCCCAGCTGAACTGTTTAAAATCTTAAAAGATGATGCTGTCAAGGTGATGCATGCCATATGCAAGCAAATATGGAAAACACAAGAATGGCCATCAGACTGGAAAAAATCAACTTATATCCCCATACCAAAAAAGGGAAATGCGAAAGACTGCTCAAACTTCCGTACAGTGGCCCTTATTTCTCATGCCAGTAAGGTAATGCTCAAGATCCTGCAAGGAAGACTCCAGCAATACATGGAGGGAGAGTTGCCAGATGTTCAAGCTGGGTTTAGAAAAGGCAGAGGAACGAGAGACCAGATTGCCAATATCCGCTGGATAATGGAGAAAGGCAGGGAGTTTCAGAAAAACATCTACTTCTGCTTCATTGACTATTCTAAAGCCTTTGACTGTGTGGATCATAATAAATTGTGGCAAGTTCTTGGTGGTATGGGCATACCAAGCCACCTTGTCTCTCTCCTGAGGAATCTGTACAAGGACCAAGTAGCAACAGTCAGAACTGACCACGGAACAACAGACTGGTTCAAGATTGGGAAAGGCGTACGGCAAGGCTGCATACTCTCACCCAACCTTTAACTTGTATGCAGAACACATCATGCGATGTGCGGGGCTTGATGAATGCAAAGCTGGGGTGAAAATTGCTGGAAGAAACATTAACAACCTCAGATATGCAGATGACACCACTCTGATGGCCGAAAGCGAGGAGGAGCTGAGGAGCCTTCTAATCAAGGAGAAAGAAGAAAGCGCAAAAGCTGGGTTGCAGCTAAACATCAAAAAAACCAAGATTATGGCAACAAGAATGATTGACAACTGGAAAATAGAGGGAGAAAATGTGGAGGCCGTGACAGACTTTGTATTTCTAGGTGCAAAGATTACTGCAGATGCAGACTGTGGCCAGGAAATCAGAAGACGCTTACTTCTTGGGAGGAGAGCAATGTCCAATCTCGATAAAATAGTAAAGAGTAGAGACATCACACTGGCAACAAAGATCCGCATAGTCAAAGCCATGATATTCCCTGTAGTAACCTACAGATGTGAGAGCTGGACCTTAGGGAAGGCTGAGCGAAGGAAGATAGATGCTTTTGAACTGTGGTGTTGGAGGAAAGTTCTGAGAGTGCCTTGGACTGCGAGAAGATCCAACCAGTCCATCCTCCAGGAAATACAGCCCGACTGCTCATTGGAGGGAAGGATACTAGAGACAAAGTTGAAGTACTTTGGCCACATCATGAGGAGACAGCAAAGCCTAGAGAAGACAATTATGCTGGGGAAAGTGGAAGGAAAAAGGAAGAGGGGCCGACCAAGGGCAAGATGGATGGATGGGCATCCTTGAAGTGACTGGACTGACCTTGAAGGAGCTGGGGGTGGTGACGGCCGACAGGGAGCTCTGGCGTGGGCTGGTCCATGAGGTCACGAAGAGTCGGAGACGACTGAACGAATGAACAACAACAATATTATAAATCATCAACGAGAGCCTGGTATGTAAAACATTGTACAAGTTTTCCAGATATCCTCCCCATGTGGAATGATGGAGAAATCAAAGTAGAATCTTAGCCTTACCTTCTGCCAAAAAGCAGAAAAATCACATTCAAAGCACCCCCAACAGATGGCCATCCAGCCTCTGTTTAAAAACCTCCAAAGAAGGAGCCTTGCCATCTTCCAACCAAAATAAATATTCAATAAAATTAGTTGTTACCGTGCTCTATTATTATATATTATGTCTACAGTCTATCTGCTAACTTCATTAATGTTTCACTATTCTTCAAGTGTCATAATATTTTGTTTCTTTTTAATATGACATAAAAGATTCCTGATTATTAAAAAGGTGTCTGTTGATTTCTCTTTTATCAAACGACTTGTCATTGTTTGCTATTTCTTGCAGTTTTATAATCCAATTTTCTCTTAACTTAGATCTGTGTTTTCCCTTTTTGAACATAAAGTTTTCTCGCTGCAAAAACCATATGATGCATTGTTGTAAACTTGAACTTTTAGCCTGTTCATTCAGTAGGCCCAGTAAGAATAAAATTGGGTCAAGTTCCATTTTGGCTTTAAAGATTCCTTGAACTAACTTCATGATGCATCTTCCAGAAGTTTTTTTTTTTTTGTTGCTTTATGGCATTTTCATAACATATGGCAAAATGTCCCTTGGTGAGTTTCATATTTCCTATGTAAATTCTTAGTGCCCTTATACATTCTTACGAGGACAAAAACACTAGGCGTGTGTATGGTTTGATGGTTTTTTTCTTCTCATTCTTTCCCAGGCCTTAATCCTTTGATCCCACTAGAAAACATGGAGGCAGTCGTTGAACACAGTGTCATGGTCCATGGTTCAGTAGGGCTCTACAGCAAGAAGTTTCTTCAGAAACTTAGAAGGAGCAACTACGTTACCCCAAAGAATTTCCTTGATTTCATTAACACTTACTCCAAACTGCTGCAGGAGAAAAACCAGTTCATTTTGGGTAAATATGCTTTTAGTTGGCTTTACACTATTCTGCAAGACAGGGTTGCTTGCTTTTCCTGCTAATCCATTGTAGTCATTTGGATTTCCATCCAAAAGGGGAGGCAAATGATGTTTTTGTATTCCAGTGAGCTTTTGAAATGAAGCTGAGGGTTATAGGTTATACACCTCTGCCATCAATTATGAACGTTAAGAGTGTTTTCAAAGTTTGGCGTGTGCTGCCAAGGCAGCCATATCTCAAGGAAAGCGTGAACAGCAGCTACCTTCATTGTAAAGCTTTCCTTTCTTTTCTAAAGCTCAGTGCAAACGTCTAGAGGGTGGTTTAGACAAGCTTAAAGAAGCAACCATTCAGCTTGATGAACTCAACCTGAGGCTTGCTGAGCAAAAGATTGTGCTGGCAGAGAAAACGGCAGCGTGTGAAGCCTTGCTCCAGGAGATTGCAACCAACACTGCAATTGGTAAGTGTCCCTTCTGAGTGCACTAGGATTCAGTACATCTGTTCCATAAGCCAGAGTTTACTTAGATCTCTGACAAAAGTGCTGGCAATGATCTTTCATTCACTCATGTCTATGCCCTGGCAGCATATAGATAACTTCTAGACATTTTTGTGTGATGGATCCATTTTGCTTCTGCAAAATATAGTCACCTTATAAGTCTGCATTCACAAGGTTCTCTTTCTTCTAAAAACAATTGGGACCCCCAGATTGCATTCTCTTTGAGTTTACTTCATGAATGATTTTCCTTTTATAAAATAAAGTTTGAACTATAGCATTTTGACCATGTATTTAATTGTGTTTTTAAAAATTCATTCTTTTCAGAGAACCTAATGAAATTAACTGTAACCCCACCTTAGGGGAGGTAATTGCATGGGGGCTTATGTTGGAACTGAAGGGCAAAAGCATTGTTCTGTCTCATTCATATACCTGTTGGGGATTTCTTCCCTTGTGAATCCATTCCAGTTTGGCATATCCCTTCTATGTGTGTATCTGTATCTAGTCTATTGATCTATCTATCTATCCACACTGTTGTTATAATGATGGTATTGTAGCAATGCGTAAACTGGTAAAGCCACTGTCTCTTCTCAGCTGAGGAAAAGAAAAAACTAGCGGTGGAAAAAGCAGCTGAAATAGAAGAGCAGAACAAAGTTATTGCAGTGGAGAAGAAGGAAGCTGAGACAGCCCTGGCAGAGGCCATGCCAATTTTGGAGGCAGCAAAACTGGAATTGCAGAAGCTTGATAAGTCCGATGTGACTGAGATCAGGTACTCAAGCTGTCATCGGTGCATTGGTTCAGAGATGATTTCACATAGAAATGTCTACATGTTGGCAAAAATCTAATGAGTATAATTCCCAGACTCTGCTAGCCAGCGCTGGGGCAAAACTACAGTGAGGTGGATCTGTAATTGGTTAAATGGACGAACCCAGAGGGTGCTCACCAATGCTTCCTCTTCATCCTGGAAAGAAGTGACGAGCGGAGTGCCGCAGGGTTCCGTCCTGGGCCCGGTCCTGTTCAACATCTTTATTAATGACTTAGATGAAGGGTTAGAAGGCAGGATCATCAAGTTTGCAGACGACACCAAATTGGGAGGGATAGCCAATACTCCAGAGGACAGGAGCAGGATTCAAAACAATCTTGACAGATTAGAGAGATGGGCCAAAACTAACAAAATGAAGTTCAACAGGGACAAATGCAAGATACTCCACTTAGGCAGGAAAAACGAAATGCAAAGATACAGAATGGGGGACAATGCCTGGCTCGAGAGCAGTACGTGTGAAAAAGATCTTGGAGTCCTCGTGGACAACAAGTTAAACATGAGCCAACAATGTGATGTGGCGGCAAAAAAAGCCAATGGGATTTTGGCCTGCATCAATAGGAGCATAGTGTCTAGATCTAGGGAAGTCATGCTACCCCTCTATTCCGCTTTGGTTAGACCACACCTGGAATATTGTGTCCAATTATGGGCACCACAATTCAAGAGAGATATTGACAAGCTGGAATGTGTCCAGAGGAGGGCGACTAAAATGATCAAGGGTCTGGAGAACAAGCCCTATGAGGAGCGGCTTAAGGAGCTGGGCATGTTTAGCCTGAAGAAGAGAAGGCTGAGAAGAGATATGATAGCCATGTATAAATATGTGAGAGGAAGCCACAGGGAGGAGGGAGCAAGCTTGTTTTCTGCTTCCTTGGAGACTAGGACAATGGAACAATGGCTTCAAACTACAAGAGAGGAGATTCCATCTGAACATGAGGAAGAACTTCCTGACTGTGAGAGCCGTTCAGCAGTGGAACTCTCTGCCCCGGAGTGTGGTGGAGGCTCCTTCTTTGGAAGCTTTTAAACAGAGGCTGGATGGCCATATGTCAGGGGTGATTTGAATGCAATATTCCTGCTTCTTGGCAGGTTGGACTGGATGGCCCATGAGGTCTCTTCTAACACTATGATTCTGTGACTAGTATCCCATAAAACAAATTTTGTAGAGCTTTGGAATGGCTGGAAGACTCTTCACTGGTGATCACTTTTTGTACCTGTTTGTGGATCAGTTAGCAACTGCATATTTTGAACCTGAATCTTTAAAGAACATCCCGTCCAAGAAGAAGATGGGCACCACTTGTGCCACCCACAGTACTTCCATCTTGTCTGGACTGAGTTTCAGTCTGTTAGCTGTCACCCAGGCAGTTGTAGTCCATCAGGATGCCCTTACCTGGGTTTGAGGTTGGGTAGAGTTTCTCTTGATTTGTCATGGGCATGTGGTCTGCGAATCTGCACTGTTCTGGGGCTCAGAGTCTTGTGTCAAGGATTAAGTGAGTAACATTGCCCAGGATATCATGAAAGCAGCATCCTGGCATATGATCAATGAGAGATGTCGGAAGTGCAATTCAATCAAGTAAAAAATAAACCAGGAAAACATAAAGGAAGGCTATTCAGAGTCTCTTCATTTTAGTGTCAACATTATTCAGATGACAACAATGCTTCATGGCCTGATTGTTTATCTTTTATTTATTTTAATTTTAGGTCTTTTGCTAAGCCCCCTAAGCAGGTGCAGACTGTCTGTGAGTGCATTCTCATCATGAGAGGCTACAAGGAGCTCAACTGGAAGAATGCCAAAGGGATGATGTCAGAGGCCAACTTCTTGCGTTCGCTCATGGAAATTGATTTTGATAGTATTACCCAGGCCCAAGTGAAATCAATCCGAGGTAAATTGCTCAGCATAGCGGCAGGATACATTGTGCACTTGGAACTGAATCTCACAGGTTGATACTGCAAATGGTGCAGCATATTGTTCAGGGATTCAGCTTCTTTGGGAATAGGGAAACATGAGTAGAGAGGCAGGTGTGCAAAGATTGTGCCAGGCACTTGATCAGGTGTATGGCTCTAATGTATCTATTGCCTTCCATAGATGTTATGAGCTGTCTTGTGAAAAAAACGGAGCATAAATCAACTAACTACTCTGACTTCTTAATCTGAAGGGCTTCTCAAGAACTTAAACACAACCTTTGAAGAAATGGAAGTTGTGAGCAGAGCTGGCTTGGGGATGCTGAAATTTGTTGATGCTGTTATGAGTTACTGTGATGTAGCAAAGGAGGTCAAGCCAAAAAGAGAAAAGGTACAAGAGGGAATCGTGGAAATAGGTGAAGGTTCAGAATGCACATGACGTAGCAGTTGCATCATCAGCACTGTTTTTTCAAAAGCAGTTGATTTAGGGCCCTTCCACACAGCCCTATATCCCAGAATATCAAGGCAGAAAATTCCACATTATCCAAGTGTGGTCACAGATAACCCGGTTCAAAGCAAATATTGTGGGATTTTCTGCCTTGATATTCTGGGATTTGGGGCTGTGTGGAAGGGCCCTTAGAGTGTGAATGTAGGGTGCAGGAAGGAACTATCCCTATAACATGATAATTTGCAATGGGGAGCTTCTTTCAACCTGAAGGCTGAATTCAGTTTTAGAGATGTTCAGGGGAGATGTTCAGGGGAGGGGGACATTCTGTCACTCACTCTGATGATGAGTGAGTCCAATGGCAAGAGGATGGGACCAAAAAAGAGGATATTTTAGCAGTCTTTTAGAATGGGAGAAAAGATGCAAAACAGGCAAACTACCAACAGTAAAGGTCATGGAGCACCTAGGGAAGCTCAGAGGTGTGGGATTAGGACCCCAAGGTAGTCATATCTGGCTCCAGAGCCTGTGATTCATTGCTTTTGTTTAATCTATCCCCTAGAACAGAGGTGTCAAACTTGTGGCCCTCCAGGTGTTTGGGTTTTCAAATCCCAGAAGCCCCAGCCAGCTTGTCTAATGGCCAGGAATTTTTAGAGCTGAAGTCCAGAACACCTGGAGAGCCCTAGCAACTGCTGTTGGCCCTAGGTAATCTAGGCATTTCTGTATTTCTCACTCCACAGCTACTAGCAGATACCTACCCTGTGCCAGTGAAGCAAGTGGCTACACATTCAAGAATATTTTTCAGGGCATTATTATGGCTGTCTCTCTACTGTTGTGGGTTTTACACTTATGGTTTTATTATTCACAAGCCTGAAATGCCACCCCTACTTCCTGAAGTTAGGGCTGGCATATGAAGGTTCACACAAGAGGCCCATCGTTCCATGTGTTTGTTTTGCCAGTACCTCCCTTCCTTCACCTGGGTGAAACATGCACTCATGGCACAGCGGAAGAGGAGGAGCTGTCTTCATGTGCCACTTCACTTAACCTGCAGATCTTACCCATCTTCCGTTTGCTATGTTCCATGAATGTCTGTTTCTCCCAGGAAAAAAGAAAGTAAGTACCTGAGGGAATATGAGCAAACAGCACATAGGAAGAGGAGAGCAAACCAGGTCTGCCAGATAAATATTGTTGCAGGAGCATCCTCTTCTTCCTGTTTGCCACATTCTTCTTGGTATCTCCTTTTCTTCGTCCAGGTGAAAGAGATACTTAGGGCACACAGACAAAGAATCTGGGTTCCTCAGGTTAAGCAAAGTAGTGTGCATGCCTTAGTGTTCCTCCTCTTTCTCTGCCCCCCCTTTCCCGGTCTCCTGAAATATTAATCGTTTTTCCACTTTCATAACCGTGCTGCATCTGTAAACCCACCAAAATGAAGTGACAGTTGTATAATGCTATTTCAGTATAATAGACCAGTGCTTCTTAAGCTGTTCAATGTTGAGGGCTGACAGGATTCGTTCCTCAATATGCCAGGGATTGGCACCATATTTTTAGGAGCTCCTGGTGGCACAGTGGGTTAAACTGCTGAGCTGCTGAACTTGCTTACCCAAAAGTCACAGGTTCGAATCCGGGGAGCGGCATTAGCTTCTCCTGTTATCCCCAGCATCTGTCAATCTAGCAGTTCGAAAGCATGCAAATGTGAGTTGATCAATAGGTACTGCTCCGGCGCGAAGGTAACGGCGCTCCATGCAGTCATGCTGGCCACATGATCTTGGAGGCCTCTATCAACAGCAGCGGCTCTTCAGCTTAGAAATGGAGATGAGCACCAACCCCCAGAGTTGGACACAACTGAACTTAATGTCAGGGGCAACCTTGGAACCATATTTATGTCCATTGAGTACAACTGTTTCTTTCTTGGAAATCTTCTGCAGACTGGTGGCCAACAGCACTAGTCCATTGGCTATCATTTTTTAGTTGTATTTGTATAGATTGTTTTCCTGGGATGGAACTGCTGCCTGTTGGGAGAAAGTGTGCTATGTGGTTTGTGGGAGGCAGAAAGGAGGTTGCCTGCTTGGCAACCAGCTGCCTGGATGAATGTTTAACATTCTACAAAGTTTTTGGAAGAGTGTGGTTAACTTTTGGATGAGCTGGTGGCAGTCATGATGAGTTGGCGTAGAGCCCCTGTCTTCTGAGTTGTCTTTCCTCTCTGCAGGTGGCCAGACTGGAGCGGAATTTCTTCTTAAGCAAACGTGACCTGGAGAAGATCCAAGCAGAGCTGACGGCCATCCAGAATGAGCTGAAAGCTCTGGGAGATAAATATGAAGCGGCAATAAGAGGAAAGCAGCAGCTCCAGGAGGAAGCTGAGATTATGGAACGGCGGCTTATTGCTGCTGACAAGCTCATCTCAGGCTTGGGATCAGAAAATATCAGGTCAGTGGGAGCAAATGTCTTCTGCTAGCTGTGAAGTTTTATGGTGAAAATGGGATGGTTAAAGAGACACATTCATCCCAGAGTGAACCTTCACTGTCAGTTCCCTCTCTCATTCCCTCCTGGGGCAGTGGGATCCCAGGCCTTCTCTTCATTCATTGTTATCATTGTAACTGTTAATGGATTTACTCGCATCAATGTGTTTTGGTTAATTTTTTATCAGATGGCTGAATGATTTGGAGGAATTAAAGAGACGTCAAGTGAAGCTGCTTGGGGACTGTCTCCTGTGTGCCGCCTTCCTAAGCTATGAGGGGGCCTTCACCTGGGAATTTCGTGATGAAATGATTAAGGACGTGTGGCAGACAGATATCCTGATCCGAGAAATTCCCCTCAGCCAGCCTTTTAAGTTGGAAAACCTGCTGACGGATGATGTTGAGATTAGCAGGTAGGTCAGAACTTTTTCTCCCATTTTCAAATTGACACAGCTTTGCAAATCCTAGGTTCTTCTCATTGCCTTTAGAGATGAGGCCAGTGGGTGGACTGAGTATATTGCAGCACCTTTTTGTGAAGCATCCTTTTTGGTGCTTGTTAGTTTAGCTTCTAGCCAGTTTTCTGTCCTATCTCTGCCCGACAAGAAGAAAATCTTGGTGTCTTGGTTTTTTGGCCTGTGCCTGGGATTATTTGGGGCGCTGATTCAGAAAATTGCTTTGAATATTATTTATTTATGTATTTATTATTTATTTATTTCCTATATTTCTACCCCACCCTTCTCGCCCCTGAGGGGGGACTCAGGGCACACAAAAGCATCATAGGATGCCAAACATCATAAAAACAATCTCATAAAACATCAGCTCTAGTTTCTTAGATAGGGTTATCCTGGTTTTCTGTGGGCAAGCAGATGGCAACAGGTAGATGCCACATGTTCTGCATCTCAAAAACTAGAGCTGATAGGGGGAAACTGGTGCCATGGAATCAGCAGGTCAAATATACTCTGAAGCAGGGCTCACATTTGAGGCACCAAAATGTATGTTGATCAGTGTTATGTGTCCTGTGTCACATATGCTTATTTATACAGTTGATGGTTGCCTGCTTTTCGTCCTGGGAGCCTTTCACAGAAAATACACATTCTCTTTTGTTATATAGACATGTAACTGCTTTACTTCCAGATGGGGATCTCAAGGCCTGCCTCCAGATGAGCTCTCGGTTCAAAATGGCATCCTCACCACCCGAGCGAGCCGTTTCCCAATGTGCATTGATCCACAGCAGCAAGCTTTAAATTGGATCAAGAGGAAAGAAGAAAAAAATAACCTGAGGGTGAGGCCAACATTTTAAGTCTGCCACCAGACCTTAAATATATAGGTAGACAGGTGTAATTCAAAGAAAGGAAAAAGACCCAACTTGGTGTGCTCCGTTCTGTGGCCTCCTAGTTCTTCTTGTCACCAGTGGTTTTGGCGTTCTTGCAGAAGGTGCTTCTTATTCATAGCTAACTATTCTGGAGCTTGCGAGTGACTGTTGAGGGCAGACTCAAGGAGTAGTAAAGGCTCCTCTTCCTATTTCAGATCATATTTCAGTATATTTTCAGGCCAGGACAAAGTAAGGCTCCATCACAGGGTTCTCGGTAAGCTGCCATGTGTTGCAGGAACAAAAGCTAGCAATGCTTTGGTTTATCTTTGGTTTGACATGATAGGAAGTGGTGTAGTCACTGGTGACATGATCTGTTTTTCTATGTATGCTAATGCATACTTCTTTGGTTAAAAGGAGAGCTTTTTTCTTGTCAGAAGCGACTTTGGAAACTACAAGTCACTTCTGGTGTGAGATAATTGGTCATCTGCAAGGACGTTGCCCAGGGGATGCCCAGATGTGTTACCATCCTGTGGGAGGCTTCTCTCATGTCCCTGCATGAGAAGCTGGAGCTGACAGATGGGAGCTCACCCTGTCTCATGTCAGCAGTTCATCCGGCACATTACGTCACCATGGCTCCTACACAGAAGGAAAGCTTTGTTGACTGATGTCATTGCGAGGAATGTTTGCAATGTGTCTCTTGTTCTCTCTCAGATGTCATCCTTCAATGACCCCGATTTCCTTAAACAACTTGAAATGGCCATAAAATATGGGAACCCCTTCTTGTTCCATGACGTGGATGAATACATTGATCCTGTGATTGATAATGTCTTGGAAAAGAACATCAAAACTGGCCAGGGCCGAGCCTACATTGTTCTTGGTGACAAGGAGGTTGACTATGACAACAATTTCAAGCTGTACTTGAACACCAAACTGGCCAATCCTAAGTATTCACCATCAGTGTTTGGCAAAGCGATGGTCATTAACTACACAGGTGGGCAAATTTGGATGGCTGGCAAAACAGTGTCCACCTCCTGTATTATTGATGTTGTATTATATATGTCTGGAGCTCAAGCAATAAATAGTTAATTGTGGTAAAGCTACATGTTAACTTAAACCAGGGGTCCTCAAACAAAGGCCCATTTTTTGCACTACAAATAAGATATGTGCAGCGTGCATAGGAATTTATTCATGCTTTTCTCAAATTATAATCTGACCCTCCAACAGTTTGAGGGACTGTGACCTGGCCCTCTGTTTAAAATTTTGAGGACCCCTTGCCTAAACTATTGAATGTATTAGGTTCACCCTTCGAAAGTTAGGAGCCATTCCAGAAGTAATAAATTGCCTTAAGTTCTTCCATTTTCTAAAGGGGAGTGATTTCTCTTGTCCATTTATCAGCCAACCATTCCATTTAAGAGTGTTGGAGAGACTTCACATTGCTCTTTTCATTGTGTAGTTTTAATTTTGTTTTGTTTGTCATTTTATAGGGCAGTTGTGGAAAGACAACATGTAATAGTTATATCCCATTGTCTTCCATAGAACCGAATGTAGCATTTTTCTATCCAAACATTGGTAGGATTTGATTTAATTAGGTTCAGCAAAAAAAGTTGCTACATCATATGCATTTCTACTGGGTCCTAGGTTAGTCATAATTCCTTGGGCATTTTTGGGTGTAAAACTTTATGCCTATAATAAACTGTGTCCTTTAACTTTTACTGTTGTGGGAATATTTTTTTTTCTTTTTGTTCCACATGCAATTCATTTTGTGGTTCATGGTTCTTCACTGAACTTGATGAAAATTTGATTTAGTCATCTCAGTCTCTGCAACCAGTGCTGTACTAATTAATTGCTACCACAACTGATTAACTGCAATGGCATAGTAGAGTGAAGGTAGCATGGAAAACTCACTTCATTCTTGTTAAACTCTTCTACCAGTTACTCTGAAAGGTTTGGAAGATCAACTGCTCAGTGTTATTGTGGGATTCGAAAGACGAGAACTGGAAGAGCAGAGAGAGCATCTCATTCAGGAAACAAGTGAAAACAAAAATTTGTTGAAAGACTTGGAAGACTCGCTCCTCCGTGAATTGGCAACTTCAACGGGGAATATGCTAGACAATGTTGACTTGGTGCATACTCTGGAGGAGACTAAAGCCAAAGCTACTGAGGTATGAGCAGTTCATATTGTCTGGTGAACTGTCCACTAAATAACTTCTTGCTTTCCTCTTTACCTTTGAGTTGAAATGTAAAGAGTATTTACAATTCTTTGATAGGAAATGCACACATGGATTCTTCAAAGGAGCAGAACTGTGTTTTATGTTATGGGGGAAAAAAGTCTGTTTCATCTCAACTGCATTTTCTCATTGCAGTATCCATAAGCCTGCAGCTGAGTGATAGAGCATGTCCTTTGCATTAACATAATAGACTTAGTTCCTGGTTATTCCATTTAAGATATTTCCAGGAGCCAGAACCAGGAAATATGACTGCTCACAGCTGGGTCTAGATTTGCCAGTAGTTTGGTGTTGTGTAGGGATTTGATCCAACTGTGTTGCTATAGGTTTAGTCTTCTCTTGAAAGAATACGCCAAGATGCACAGGGGCTGAAGATACCACACATCTTTACTGTTCAGAATACAAGAATCTAGCGCTACTGCCCATCTATATAGGGCCTTAGCTACAGTGTCAGAAATCACTCAAAAGTCCTGTCGCCTGGTCCCTGCCCTTTCCCACGTACCAGAGCCCACCTTTTCCCACCTCAGGACAATTAACTTTTATAACCAGTTCATATGAGTTCATAAGGAGCCAGAGTGAAGAAGGGGAGCCAGGAAGACAGAGTTCCACCATGTCCCCTGGGTCATCAGTTGGGAGCCCCTCCTTCCAGCAACAATATAGTAATATATAATACCAATATTGTGTTGTGCTGATATTATAATATATTGTATGCACATATAATATTGATAATAATATTACAATACAATACAATATAATACTAATAATGATTATATAATGTATATTACATGTAATATTACTAATAATATTATAGTATAGTGGTATAGTACTGTATAATAGATTAATATATATTAATATTGTGCTGTGCTAATAATAAAATATATTGTATACACATATAATATTGATAATATTATAATGTAATACAATATAATACTACTAATAATACAATATAATAATTTTATATTTCATGTTACATGTAATATTACTAACAATATTACAGTATAGTGGTATAGTACAATATAGTAATATATAATACTAATATTGTGCTATGCTAATAATATAATATATTGTATGTACATATAACTTGTAAACTGCTCTGAGTCCCCTTCGGGGTGAGAAGGACAGCATATAAATGTCATAAATAAATAAATAAATATGTCCTTCCAGCATCCTGTCCTCCCTTTTTGCCAATGGTCATGTGCTCTATGTTAGGGCTGATAGTTGCATGTCTGATAAATATAAATATCCCTGCAGGAAGACATAGTTTTGGTACAGTGTATGCCTCTTCCTCCTCCTCTCCCCCCTCCCGCTCCTCCGTGTTCTTCTTCATATCCCACATATTCTCTCCTAAAGGAGACTCGAAGTGGGTAAGAACAGTGCAAATCATTTTTGAGAAGAAGAGAAATGCTTTGAAAAATTTTGACATTAAGATTACTTTACACTATTTTTTCAACATTGTTCCGTTCTTATATTTGCCGCAGCAACTTCTTCATCTAATCAAAATGAGTGCATTTCTTATTCAACCAGGTTTCAGAGAAACTCAAGCTGGCTGAAAAAACAGCGATAGACATTGACAAACTCCGTGACGGCTACCGTCCAGCTGCCAAGAGAGGTGCCATTTTGTTCTTCGTGTTGTCGGAAATGGCTCTGGTCAACACGATGTATCAGTACTCCTTGGCTGCCTTCTTGGATGTCTTTGGTCTCTCTCTTCGGAAATCGATACCTGACACCATTCTGGCAAAAAGGCTGAAAAACATCATGGACACACTCACGTTCAATGTATACAATTATGGGTGTACAGGTTGGTGTCAGTGAAAAATGAAGGTGGGAACAGTGATGAAAGCATGATTGGTGTACAAAACAAAATGGCATTTATATTAACATTTTGTTTTTCCAAAAAGACATTCTTTCAGCCCTGTTTTATTATTGTGCTCTGAATAATATGGGCTATTCTTAATGAGGTATTCTGTGTTGATACTGCCCTGGCGTATAGAAGTACTGGTATGGCCATCAGCTCTTTCTGTCCTTAGGTAAGTTGAGTCTGGGCAGGATATTCAGAGAACCAGGCCAAGAATTCAAATTACAAGAGATTCTGCTTAAACATTAAGAATAACTTTGTTACTGTTTAATAGTGGAAGAGACTTCCTTGGAGGGTGGTGGGTGAGCATCTTTCAGAGCAGGGGGTTGGATTAAGTGGCCCTGACAGACCCTTCCAACTCTTTGATTCAGTGGTTTTTAGGAGAAAGTCAAAGAAGAGAAAGTTAAGGCTGGTGACTAGAGGGTTCATCTTCAACAACAGAGGGCTGGGGGCTTCTGTCCAATGCTGGCAAGGAGGCAAAACCATAATGTTGGGAAATATTAAAGTAACGGCTGGTTATTTATTATATTTATTTATTTACAACATTTCTACCCTGCTCTTCTCAACCACCGGAGGGGGACTCAGAGAAGCTTACACTGGCAACAATTCAATGCCGCAAATATAAAAAATAACAGCAATATAAAACAATAAATAGAACAATAGATTAAAAACAATTAAACATTATTATCACAGTCATATAGTCATTTCCATTATTATCACAGTCGTATAGTCCAGTTCGATGTCCAAAGTGCTATCATGCCAGCTGGCCAAAGGCCTGGTTCCAAAACCATGGTTTCAATTTTTTTCCTAAAGGAAAGGAGGGAAGAAGCTGACCTGATCTCGCTGGGGAGCTAATTCCACAGGTGGGGGTCACTACCAAGAACGCCCTGTCCCTCGTCCCCACCAGACGCACTTGCAAAGCTGGTGGGACCGAGAGCAAGGCCTCCCCAATTGATCTTAAACTATGAGGTGGAATGTAGAAGGAGATATGTTCGGACAAGTAAGCTGGGCCGGAGCCATATAGGGTTTTATAGGCCAAGACCAGCACTTCGAATTGTGCTCAGAAATGGACTGGCAGCCAGTGGAGTTGACATAACAGGGTGGTGGTATGCTCCCTGTATGGTGCTCGGGTGAGTAATCTGGCTGCTACCCCACGTAGAGTACGTTGCAGTAATCTATTCGGGATGTAACCAGAGCATGGACCACCATGGCCAGATCAGGCTTCCCAAGGTACGGGTGCAGCTGGTGCACAAGCTTTAACCGTGAAAAAGCACCCCTGGCCACCGCCTAGACCTGAGGTTCCAGGCTCAGCGATGAATCCAGGATCACTCCCAAGCTGCGAACCTGTGTCATCAGGGGGAGTGTAACCCCATCCAACACAGGCAGTAACCCTATGCCCTGTTCGGCCTTTTGACTGACCAGGAGGACCTCTGTCTTGTCTGGATTCCATTTCAATTTGTTGCTCTCATCCAGTCCGACACAGCTGCCAAGCACCGGTTCACGATCTGAACAGCTTCCTTAGTAACAGGTGGGAAGGAGTGGCAGATTTGGACATCATCTGCGTACAGATAACATCTTAGTCCAAAACTCTAGATGATCTCTATCCAGGCAAGGTAACATTGCATGGCGAACCAGTATATGTATGGTTGATCAGTTAATTGTAAGTGTTTCAGACTTCAGAGGGTCTTTAAGAGGCTTATAAAGCTACACCTAAAGAAAGCCCTGGATGGGTGTTTTTGGACTAAAGTTTTTCCATTTTCAAGGAGACCTTTCCCACATCAGTTTGGCAAACTCCTATGCATCAGTCAGGGATTTCCTGCATGTTGAAAGAGAAACTATACTGTCAAACTTGCCTAACAAATGTTGGGAATGCATTGTGTTTAATAAGGAAGGCTGTTGTGGTTGCTTTTACAGGCTTGTTTGAGAGGCACAAGTTACTCTACTCCTTTACCATGACAATCAAGATTGAGCAGGCGGATTACAGAATCCCACAGGATGAACTGGATTTCTTTTTAAAAGGTAGCTAGATACTTTCCAAACCTTGCTAGCAACAAAGAAGCTTCAGCGGTAGGCTCACTTGGTTCAGGCAATAAGCCCACTTTATTTAAGATAACCTAACTGTATCATATAGTCAGGATTGATGAGTATTGCAAGCATCATACTTTTATGGGTAACACAAATCAAATAACATGGAGGCTTTTACCCCATTGTCAGCATATGTTACAACTTTAGCACTTGTAGTAGTTGTAAGACACCTGTCATGGCAATGGGTTGTTTCCCTCAAAGGGCAGGACAATTGCCATAGATACTCAAGTATAAGCCAAGTTTTTCAGCCTTTTTTAGGCTGAAAAGCCCCCCTCAGCTTATACCTGAATTAAAGTTATTTATTATTTTACTCTAATTGTTGTTGTTGTTGTTGTTGTTATTATTATTATTATTATTATTATTACATTTAGATTATTTTACTCTGTGTATTATTACATTTATTATTTTACTCTATTATTATTATTATTACATTTAGATTATTTTACTCTATTATTATTATTATTATTATTTTACACTATTATTATTGGAAGGGTAAGTAAGCACATTTACATTGAAGAAGTTGGACAGTCTTATCTAAAATTATAGTTTTATGTAAATACTCAAAAACATTTAACCTACTGATGCCCCAATTAATCTAATTTTATTGGTATCTATTTTTATTTTGAAATTTACTAGTAGCTGCTGCATTGCCCACCCTCAGCTTATACTTGAGTCAATACATTTTCTCGATTTTTTGTGGTAAAATTAGGTGCCTTGGCTTATATTCGGATCGGTTTATATAGTGTATTTTCTTCATGGTATATACTGTATTTTCTTCACAAATTGAGTGAAAAATATTTGCTGTTCTTAATGAGTTTCTAAAATGTGCACTGGTGGAGCTGCTCACATTTTCTGCCCTGACTCTAGGCAATATCTCTTTGGAGAAAAGTGCTCGAAAGAAGCCATGTTCGTGGATTTCTGATCAAGGCTGGGAGGATGTCATCCGCATTGCGGAACTGTTTCCAGAACAATTTGGAAGCCTCCCAGATGACGTAGAAAATAATCCAGATGACTGGAAAAATGTGAGTAAGATTCTCCACCCTGAAAACTCAAACCTTCAGTATTATGAAAGGAGAGGGGTACTTTGAGGGACAGGGAGGAGCAGTGAGATGAAAAATCCCTAGCAATTGTATCCTTCCTTAAAGGCAGCACTCAATGTTCATTGAATGACTGAATTGTTCTCCCATATTTCCTTTGCAGTGGTATGATGTTGATGCCCTTGAACAAGTCCCATTTCCCATGCAATACAGGAAAAGCCTCTCCAACTTCCAAAAGCTACTGCTTTTACGTTGCTTCCGGGTGGACCGTGTGTACCGTGCCGTGACTGACTATGTCACTCTCACAATGGGTGTGAAGTAAGTGTAAGACCTTTGCCTTTAAACCTCTGAATGTGTCAAATGCAATGTGTCTCTGAATGTGTCAAATGCAAGTTCCTTGGTCTGAATTTGGCCCGCCATGTCATTTTTATGTTGTCCTCGAGATCCTGTATTACAACTTCTGTATTAGACATTATGACTAGAGCTAATGGGAATTGCAATAGAGTAACATCTGGAAAGCTGCAGTTTGTAATAATAATAACAATAAAAGTAATAATACTCGCTAACACCTTTTGTGACTTGCAGTGTCTAGGAAAGTGGGGTTTTAATCAATTTTCAAGACTTGTGGATATGATGTCTGACATTAAAATGCCCTTGAACCTTTTCCCAACTTCAGAACCACAGGCGCTGTTGGGCTTCAATTCCCCTTATCCCCACATAATCAAAAGCGATGGGACCTGTCATTCAGTAATATTTGGGGACCCAAATTGGCTTAAAGCTGAAGAACACTGACAATTATATACAAATATCTATCTGTCTGTCTGTCTACATATCTATCAATGTATCTATCAATGTATCTATCTATCTATCTATCTATCTATCTATCTATCTATCTATCTACCTGGTCCAACGTCTCCATGGATTCTCCCTCCCTCCTTTGAGGGCAGCCATAAGGTTGATGTGGCCCTCCATGAAAATGTGTTTGACACCCCTGCTGTAGAGAATCTAAGCCCGGTGTCATCACATGAACTAAGTTATGTCTCTGCCTCTTACATTACTCACCTAAGTTTTCCTTCCCCTTTTGTTAGATATGTCCAGCCTCCAGTGATCAGCTTTGAAGCAATCTTTGAGCAGAGTACCCCAAGTTCACCCATCGTTTTCATTTTAAGCCCTGGATCTGACCCTGCCAGTGATCTCATGAAACTGGCTGAACGTTCGGGCTTTGGGGCAAATAGGCTGAAATTCCTGGCCATGGGACAAGGGCAAGAGAAGGTAAGTTTGGCCCCAAAACTCAAGTCAAAGGGTTTAGATATTTTGGAGGATTTACTAGTAAGCATTTCTCTCTCTCCATTAAGTGGTAGAGGAAAAAGTCACTTGATTGTGGTTAGGGGTGGGACTCCAAATGATTTTGACCCAGAGATGAAGGATTGTGGGAGTTACAGTTCATATGCAGAATCCCCTCGAGTATGTAAAAAAACCTCTTCTCATCTCAAGTCCTACCTGGTCAGAGGCTGGGTATTTTTCTCTCTTGCTCTTTTTGCACTACTTACCTAGTACTGCAGGAAAGGCGTTCCTTTTACAGATTTGGCAGACAGAACCTTTGCTTTGAACCCACTTGACTTTACACCACATTACTATTGAAGGAACATTCTCCTTGCTCTTACTGCTCATGGCAGCATTTACTGTGCCACCCTTTTGGCACTTAAGCAATGGTGGGAAAAACTGGAAGCAAAGCATTTGCTGATATTGTTGCTTTTGAGTTGTCCACATGGACTGCACCAGGACTGGAGAGAGAAATGTCAGTCCAGTTGTCATGTGGACTTGTAGTGATCACACAGGTGTGCTTAGCTGAATGGTTGGGACTTAAGAGGGACATAAATTGTACAAACTGGTTATCCCGTAAACATTTACCTACACGTTCCTTTATGAAATGTGTTCTTGATTCTTGGAATGGCAAAGAGTTGCAGTCCTCTACAATTGGGTTTAACCCCCTATGTTCCAACCATAATGGCAGTTTACCCCAATTGTAGTGGATTGCTCCTCCTGCCATCCCAGAACGTACCTTCAAGTTAAGTCCAATTTCTTTTTTACCAGGTTGCTCTGCAGTTGCTGGAGAATGCTGTGGCCCGTGGACAGTGGTTAATGTTGCAGAACTGTCACCTCCTGGTGAAGTGGCTGATTGACCTTGAAAAGGCTTTGGAAAAGATTGTTAAGCCACACCCTGATTTCCGTTTGTGGTTGACAACTGACCCTACAAAGGGATTTCCAATTGGGATACTCCAGAAATCTCTAAAGGTATCAGTTCAGGGCCATAAGATCAGGGTGGGTGAGTGTGCGTGTGAAGTCTTTTGTTGCCGTGGAAGTAGGCTTTGGCCTGGTTGGGTCTTGTATTCCCACAAATCAGGTGTGGACTAAGCATACTTTGGGTTGCTGTAAGTTTTTCGGGCTGTATGGCCATCTTCCAGAATGCTTCTGGAACATGGCCATACAGCTTGAAAAACTTACAGCAACCTGGTGATTCCGACCATGAAGGCCTTCGACAGTAAGTGTACTTTATTTGTTTTTCTGTGTGGAGGGAATGGGGGGTTCACAACTGAACTCTTTCAAATATATTGGAGCCTGTCCACAATCGCTCCCTCTTTCCCCCGGTTTAAGAATGAGGGACCGATGTCCCTGCTGACTAGGCCTCCATGTCAGTGGGGCAGACAGACTCAGAGAATGATGGCACCCAGCCGCTTCCTATGTCTTTCTGCAACCAAGGTGGACATTTTATCCATGTATACCATTTCAAAGATCTTTTAAAAATCCAATCCACTTCTCGTTTTGAGTCTCACTGCCAAAACCATCTCATGCAACGCCTTCAGATTCATTCCTTTCATTTGTTCATTGGACATTCTCAATACGAATAATTCAGGTTTCTGTTGAATTCTGATTTGAAAAATGTCCTGCGTCGACATTTGTATAGTCTTCTGAATTTTTTTCAGCTTTGTCAGATGCCCACTAACAAAAATGTCCCTCCTTCTTTGTGGTTATTTGATAATATCCAGTTGCTTCTCTTTTTGGTTTCCCCTGTTCTGTTAGGTGGTCACAGAACCTCCCAATGGGCTCAAGCTGAACATGAGAGCCACATACTTCAAAATATCAAATGAAGCACTTGAGCAGTGCCCACACCCGGCTTTCATGTCCTTGGTCTATGTTTTAGCATTTTTCCATGCTGTGGTTCAGGAAAGAAGGAAATTTGGGAAGATCGGTTGGAATGTGCCTTACGATTTTAATGAATCGGATTTCCAGGTAAGAAGTGAACCTCTGCTGCCCAAAAGTATGCAGGACACCATTGCCTGTGGCACCATTCCTTGTATTCTTGGCCCTGTTGTACAAAGTAAACTTCCTTTAGAGTACACGTTTGTAGTAGAGTTGTGCTACATGAGAGTAATTGTCTTATGTCGGTTATAACAGGCTGTGCTTTTTATTTAATTTTAGTTTGTTAAGTTATAATTCGTATTTATATGGTGGTTTGTATAAATTTTGTTAGTATGGATGTATTGTTGTTGTATTTGGGCATTGAATGTTTGCCTTTTATGTTTGGAATCTGCTTCCAGTCCCTTTGGGGAGATAGAGCGGAATATAAATATATTATTATTATTATTATTATTATTATTATTATTATTATCATCATCATTATTCTTTCCCATTCCATAAATGTTCACAGCCGGCTTGTTTTTGCAACTGGATGGAATGTCTGCAAATACAGTTTGGGGGCAAAGGCTGAATCAAGTGAATAACCTGTACCCTTTTCATCCCACTACTGTTCATGACTGCTTTAGGTTTGCATGGAGATCCTGAATACGTATTTGACAAAAGCATTCCAGCAAAATGATGACAAAATCCCATGGGGGAGCCTCAAGTATCTTATTGGTGAGGTAAGCAAGCATATTCTGGAGAAGTCAGATTCTATGGCTACCTTTTGTAACATTTGGCCCTGCCTTTGACTCTCCAAGGCTTGTTCCTTTTCCTACTACCCAAAGGGAAGTGCCAGAGATGACAGTTGTGGCTTCTAAATGACCAGTGACAGGGTAGTAAGGAATACCGGAAATATTGCCGCTTCATAAGAATCTTATTTTACCTTTATGATAAGAGAGGGAAACCTGATGCGGGCTTTGTGTTTCATAGGTGATGTATGGAGGACGGGCCATTGACAGCTTTGATCGGCGCATCCTGACCATCTACATGGATGAGTACCTGGGGGATTTTATATTTGACACCTTCCAGCCCTTCCATTTTTACTGTAATGATGATGTTGACTACAGGATCCCTGAAGGAGAGTCAAAGGAGGATTATGTTGGTAAGCAAAACTTATTTAGGCTTTCAAGCTGTGGTGGTGGTGATGGAGGCACTTTCTATGGAGGCTTTTAAAAAGGCTAGATGGCCATTTGTTGGGGGTGCTTTGAACACAATTGACCTGCTTCTTGGCAGGAGGTTGGACTGTATGGCCCATGAGGTCTCTTCCAACTCTATGATTCTATGATTCTATATGCAGTCCTTCCAAGAATTTTTTTTCTTTCTTTACGGTGGTAACAAATTATGCTAGGCAACAAAAAAGCCCACTATATGGTTCATATATGTGGATGACACTTTCATCATTTGGAGCCATGGAGAAGAAGAACTAAACAGGTTTCTAGACCATGTTAACAGCATCCACTCAAACATCCAATTCACCATGGAAAAAGAAAATGAAAGAAAAATGCCTTTTCTAGATGGCCTAGTCATCTGCAAACCAGTTCAACAATTGGGTCACACAGTTTACAGAAAAACCACACACAGAGATAGATACCTACATAAAAACTCCAACCACCACCCAAGTCAAAAAAGAAGCACAATTAAAGCCTTGGCAGACCATGCAAAAAGAATCTGTGAACCCCACCTACAGGCCAATGGATACTCCACCTCAGACATCAGAAATGCTGCTGGCTTGCCATACTTCAAGGGAACCACTGACCGCATAGGGAAGCTGATGAGGAAACACAACATACAAACTATCTACAGACCCACCAAGAAAATCCAGCAAATGTTATGTTCAGCAAAGGACAAGAGGGATCCTCTTACTTCTGCAGGAGTCTACCGTATACAGTGCAGCTGTGGACAAGTCTACAGAGGGACCACAAAACGCAGTGCCCAGACATGAATCAAGGTACCTGAAAGGCACTGCAGACTACTTCAGCCAGAGAAGTCAGCGATAGCAGAGCACCTATTGAACCAACTTGCTCACAGCATATTATTTGAGAACACAGAAATGCTGGACCACTTTCAACAACCACGTCAGGCTACACAGAGAAGCCACTGAAATTCACAAGCATGTAGACAATTTCAACAGAAAGGAAAAAACCACGAAAATGAACAAAATCTGGCTACCATTATTAAAAAACTCTAGAAACTCCAGAGAGGAAACAATCAGGGACAGCTAATCACCTCTTAACAAAAGATTCCCCCCGGCACTAACAAGCCACACCAAAAAACTGCCAGACCATCAAATGCTAATCAAGGTGGCCAATTGAAACATTCACACCTAGCTTCAACAGACAAGAGTTCTTTGTCCCACCCTGGACGTCATTCCATAGATATATAAACCCAATTTTCCTAGTTCCAACAGACCTCACTACCTCTGAGGATGCTTGCCATAGATGCAGGCAAAACGTTAGGAGAGAATGCTTCTAGAACATGGCTATATAGCCAAAAAAAACCCTACAACAACCCTATGCTAGGCTGATTGGAATGTGTTTCTGGCTCTGGCTCTTTTCCAATACTGATCCCAGGAGGCTTCAGAACTTCTGTCCAAAGTCCGCAAGCTATGGAGATATTTATGCTAATAATGGGAAAATGCTGCAACGCTTAGTTGTTCAAATGCTTAACACTGAAAGCAGCCTCTGTTTATGAAGGGTCTCCTTTAGCACTCTTGTTGGTTTCAGATGGATTTTTGAGTGAGACCTTTATAAGTGGACTCATGTGGATGAGTAATTTCCCAACATCTGTATTCATGCAGCTCCTGCTGTTGCATTACAATATGTTGACATCCATTGCACATGATAGCCAGTGGAGCGACTGAAGCACCATGGGCAGCAATGTGCATCAGGGGCAAGTGATATGCCTCAAAGCACTCCTGCCAGTGCCTAAATGCTCATCTTCACAATTCAGTCACTTGGTTTTATTACTTTTCTGCACTGTAGCTATGGATTTGTAGAGTTAACATGTAGGCTATGATGTAGAATCTTGGTCTTCTTTAGGCCTTTATTGTCTTTCTTTCATTGGGGCTTAGTGGGTATCTATAGATATATTTCTATGTATGTAAAAAAGTAAAAATATATCTATCTATCTAATCATCCATCTGTCCACCCATCAATCTATGCATGTTTGTGTTTTCCAAGCTGCTCCCACATCTAGAGAGCCATGTGAATCCTGCTAACAATGGATCTGGATCAAACACACCCACGACCAACTTTAAATACTGAAGGGGATTGGGGGGGGGGGGGRGGTGGAGGGAATTGACTCAGGATGATGGGAGTTGTAGTCCAACGACATCCAGAGAGTACTGTTAATCCCACCGATGACGGATCTGGACCAAAGTTGGCGCACATACTTCTATTACCAACTTTAAGTACTGGTGGGGGTTTTTTTTTTGGRGGGGGGGGGGCTAACTCAGGATCATAGGRGTCGGAATCCACCCACATCCAGAGATCATTGTGAACCCCACTGAAGRTGGGTCTGGACCAAACCTACCACACAATACCTATCATGACCATCTTAAAACACTGGCGGGGTTTGACAAAGGATTATAGGGGTTTTAGTTCACCCACATCCAAAATATCTACCTCAGGCATCGCCAAGTACCTAAGCTAGTTAAAATAAACAACAGCGTTGCCTTTTAAAAAATGAATTCCATCTCCTTGCTTGTGATAACCTTAACCGAAGGGAGTCGGACTGCCACAATGATTTTATTCTGCCCCTTCCCTTTCCCTTTTCTCTCTTCGTTTTGCAGAAGAGATTGAGTCCCTTCCACTTGCTAATACCCCCGAGGTGTTTGGCCTCCATTCTAATGCTGAGATTGGATACTACACGCAGGCAGCGCGGGACATGTGGTCACACCTTCTGGAGCTGCAGCCTCAAACAGGTACGCCGGTCTGCCATTTTCAGTGAGGTTTGAATCAATAGTGAAATTGTATTGTCGAAGGCTTTCATGGCCGGAATCACTGGGTTGTTGTAGGTTTTTTCAGGCTATATGGCCATGTTCTAGAGGCATCTTCTCCTGACGTTTCACCTGCATCTATGGCAAGCATCCTCAGAGGTAGTGAGGATGCTTGCCATAGATGCAGGCGAAACGTCAGGAGAGAATGCCTCTAGAAAATGGCCATATAGCCCAAAAAAACCTACAACAAACCACAATAGTGAAATTCTTCAAGTTTACGGGAGAAATTCATGCCTCTGATCATTGAATGGTCACCAACCCATGTTAGCATGTGCTTTTCATATGTTTATTGCTGTGCTCCATTTTCTACAATTTTCTGAAAACTTTCAGACACCCTCCCAAAAAAAAGAAAACATGAAGCAGTACAAATTTCAACCAATTTTATAATTGACTAGCTGTGCCCTGCCACGCATTGCTGTGGCCTATAGTAAGAATTTTAGAAGTAGAGGTAGATATCTGGACTATTATAAAAGAGAGGTATCTACTTATTCCTTCCCCCCTTTTTCTTCCCCTTTCTCTCCCTTGTTCCTTCTCTACCTCTTTCTTTCATTCCTTCTTTCGCTCTTTGGTTTCATCCTTCCTTCTCTCTTTTCTTCCTTTCCTCCCCCTTTCTCTACTTCTTCCTTTGTCTCCTTTCTTCCTTCCCTGTTTCCTTCCTTCTTTCATTTTTTATTTCCTTTTCTACTTCCTTCCTTTACCTTTTTCCTGCATTCCCCTCCCTTTTTCTTTCCTTTCTACTTTCTCTTCTTCCTTCCTTCGGTACCTCTTTCTTTCCTTCCTTCTCTCCTTCCTTCCCTCTATCCTTCCTTCCTTCCTTCTTTCCCTCCCTCCTTCTCTCTTTCCTTCCTTCTTCCCCCTTTCCCTCCTTCATTCCTTCCCCTTTTCCCTCCCTCCTTTCTTTTCTCCTTCCTTCCGGCCTGTTCTCCCCCAATACCATGGCAGAGTCCCTTCTAACTCTATTCTGTGAGTCTATTTAATATAGTAATATATAGTAGTAACATTATGTTATATAGTAGTATATATAACAATACTATCTATATAAATAAAAATGTAATGTTAGTTTGTGGGATTAACATAACTCAAAAACCACTGGACTAACTGACACCAAATTTAGACACAATACATCTATCAGGCCAACGAGTGACCATCACTCATAAAACACTGAAAAACACAGCAGAAGAGACTTAAAAAGCCAAAAAATAAAAAAAATACATTACAACACAAGTGCAAAAACACACACACATATTTATAAGTTGTTTACTTGTAACTAGTTTCCTGAGTAGTCACCTGTGAATTCGCACATTTGGTATCTCTGTGCCTGCACAGGGAGGGAGAAAAGGAAAGAAAGGGAGGAAGGAGGGAAAGGAGGGAGGGAAAGAAGTAAAGGAAGGAGAAGGGAGGGAAGTAGAGAAAGGGAGAGAAGGAGGGGGTTGTACTGGATGGCCTTTAGGGCTCCCAACTGGTTGGCCATCTTTTGTGAGGACTTTGGTGGTGTCTTCCTTTACTGCCAAATGAGGTTGGGCTGGATGGTCTTTGGGGCTCCTTTCCAAGCAATGTCAGTTTCGTGTGTCCCTATTACCCTCATCATGGCACCTTCCTCCTTCCCCTGTGCTGTGGGAGTGTGTGTGTGGGAGACAGAGAGTCAGAGTGTGTGCACAGAGTGTGGCCAGCCTCCCTCTTTTTTCCTTCCCCCCCTTTCCTCCCCCCCTCCTTCTCCTCAGCCTCTGCCCTTTGATCCCTTGCCTTAGTGTTAGTTAGGGGCTGAGAGACATGCAGGGAGCAGCAGCCATTGCCGCCGCCGCTGCTGCTTCGGAACCCTCCTTCTGTGTCCTCAGCACGAGGGGGAGGGGGCAGGGGAGGTGTGTTGTCTTCTTCCTTTTTTGAATTTAAAGGTGTTTTGTGGACTTTTTTTCAGTTATGGTCACTCCTTGGATTGTGAAGAGTTTTGTTGCCAAATTTGGGGTCATTTGGCCCCGTAGTTTTTTTTTGTTTTTAAGATGCTCATTATGGACAGAGCATTTATATATATATAGATTCTCTATGATGGTGTTTTTTTCAGAAAATCTGGGAAGTGTAATTTAATGATAAAACAGTCTTGTAGCTGGAATATTCTAAAAAAAAAAAACCTATTCGTTGGATTTATACAATCTGTAAAGACTGTTATAGATTAATGTATGGTGATGAAAACACGTCATGAGATTATAAGAATACTGGAACTTCTCAGCCTGATTATGAACACAAAAACAATTAAAGCATATTATGGAATGAGTCATCTGCATAGATTTTGTGAGGTTGGCTGAAACGAATTAGGTCATCAAATAAAGTGGTCTTGTGAATGTATGTTTAAAAGTAGAGAGCAGTGTCTGTAATATGTTTTGATGATGGAGAGAACTACAGATTATTTAGAGCCCAGTAATAAAATATGTCTACAGGTTCCATATTTCATTTAGTCTTCTCACAGACTAAAAGTACTCAGTGTAGGATTGTTATAAGTTTTTCGGGCTGTATGGCCATGTTCCAGAAGCATTCTCTCCTGACATTTTGCCGACATTTATGGCAAGCATCCTCAGAGGTTGCGAGGTCTCTGGCAGGCATCCTCACAACCTCTGAGAATGCCTGCCCTAGATGCAGGCGAAATGTCAGGAGAGAATGCTCCTGGAACATGGCCATACAACCTGAAAAACTTACAACAACCCAATGATTCCAGCCATGAAAGCCTTCAACAGTACTCAGTGTAGTTCTAAGAACTGGATACTTACCATGAAGGTACATTCTGGTTTGATACAGAAGATGAAAACCAGAGAGATTGAGAAGAGATTGGGCATAATATAATCTGTATGAATTTTTCCTCAAACCAAACAAAGATGTAATGTCTGCAAATTTCATTAATTTTAGGTGAATCTGGTACTGGGATCAGTCGGGATGAATACATTGGCCAGGTTGCGAAAGACATAGAGAACAAGATGCCCAAGATCTTTGATATTGATCAGATAAGAAAGAGCTTTGGAATGGACATTACACCGACAACAGTGGTGTTACTTCAGGAACTAGAGCGCTTTAACAGACTCATGATCCGTATGACAAAGTCACTGGCTGAATTGCAAAGAGTAAGCAAAGATATTGAGGAAAAGAACTCATCATGGTTGCCTTTCTTTTTTTATTGTTAATTTAACAAACTTTCCATGGCATTTTTTTTTACTAGGCTTTGGCTGGGGAAGTTGGAATGAGCAATGAACTAGACGAAGTGGCCCGTGCTCTTTTCAATGGGCAAATCCCAAACATCTGGAGAAAACTGGCCCCTGACACACTGAAAACACTTGGCAACTGGATGATTTACTTTAAGAAAAGGTATCTTCAGTACACCTCGTGGGTAAGTATACAATGAAATTGAAAATTAATTTGGAAAGGGCTGTAGCTCAGCAGTAGAGCGCATACTTTGCATATGGAGGGTCCAGGTGAGAGACAGGATCTTGAGAACCATTACTTGTCTATATCAGGGCTCCTTAAACCATTTCCACTCATGACCCTCTTCTGGCTGAGAATTTCTTTTATGTCCCCAGATATATAGGTATATAAAATAGGTATCAAAACCAAACATTTCCTTATAACAAGCCAGCATTTGCTGAACGTTTTGTGGAATCCAGCTGAAGCATTTTCTGCAGCTGACTATAAACACTATTAGTATATTATTAACAGATTCATGTAAATGTCTACAGCAGAAAACATTTACTGCTGCCATTTTTTGTGTGTGACCCCAACATTATGCTAAGGGGACCCCATATGGGGTCGGGACCCATAGTTTAAAAAGCTCTGGTATAGATGGCCAGATAGTCTACACTGATAAAAGGCAGCTTCCTGTGTTCTAGTCATCTTTACCTGACGTGTGCATTATTTCATGTCTACAGTAAGCTAAGGGCCATTTCCAAAACTAGTTAGGCATGTGAAATGTTGGACATGGTGACTTAAGCTGGGAAGGATTCAGCCAACTGGTTTTGTGTTTTCAGGTTGAGGAGGGTGAACCGAGCGTCATGTGGTTGTCAGGACTTCACATCCCAGAGTCATATCTGACTGCACTTGTTCAGGCCACCTGCCGGAAGAATAGCTGGCCTCTGGACCGCTCCACCCTGTACACCCAAGTGACCAAATACAGGACTGCAGAAGAGGTCACAGAGCGCCCTGGACAGGGTATAACCATTTGAAGCGTTGGTCCTGTGGGAAAGCATTTGAAGTGTCCTTTGGATAAAGAACGTTGGTTTGTTGCAAACAGGATGTGCACGCTAAAGAGGACTTCCTGGCTACCAGGGAGTGGGATTCAATAGAATAAAACAAGAATAATCCTTCTGGAATGATGGGAGGAAAAAGCCACACCCTCCCTTTTAGTTAGTTAGCAGTAGTTTGATTTTTCTAAGAGGTTTATTTGCTTGACGGATTGAAAGTAAGGACTACAGTTTATGTTACAAGTTTCAGTTACTATAAAGCTGGTTGTACCAGCCTGATCTAGGCACGTGTTGTAATTTCTCCATGGGATCCCCTGGTGGCGCAGTGGGTTAAAAAGCTGAGCCGCTGAATTTGCTGACCAAAAGCATGGCGATTCAAATCCGGGAAGCAGGGTGAGCTTCCACTGTTAGCCCCAGCTTCTGTCAACCTAGCAGTTTGAAAACATGCAAATGTGAGTAGATCAATAAATACCGCTTCGGTGGGAAGGTAACGGTGCTCAATGCAGTCATGCCAGCTACATGACCTAGGAGGCGTCTACGGACGATGGCTCTTCAGCTTAGAAATGGAGATGAGAGCCACCCCCCAGAGTCAGACATGACTAGACTTAATTTCAGGGAAAATTTTTACCTTTATCTAGCATTAACCAAGGCCTTATTAAATAATGTAGTCAGTCTCATGATATATTTAAAATGATATCCGACTTTGCAAGTGGATTCACGCAGATACTGTGTTTCTGGGTTTCGCTAGGATGCTTTGTTTCTGGCCTGTACCTGGAAGGAGCCGACTGGGACCTTGAAAATGGCTGCCTTATCAAGAGTAAGCCCAAAGTGTTGGTTGTCGACTTGCCCATCCTGAAAATAATCCCCATTGAAGCTCATCGTCTCAAACTACAGGTACAAGCTGCCAAGAGCAGGCCTTAGGTCTTTATTTAATTCCAGGTGACATGGAATAACGTGATGCAGGAATCCTTTCTCCTACTTACAGTCAAGATTTTCTGTTTACATACAGTTCACACTCTTTTAAACATAGTTGTGGGTGCAGTTCCTTTTTCCTGAATGTTCCCTTCCATCCCAGAAAATACTAGATAGCTTTCAAAAACTGGAATGTGACTGTTCCAGCCTTCCCCTTCACTCCTAAGTGCATCAGTACATTAGAAAACATTTATCAGCATGTTGTTGTGCATGATTTATCCCAGGTTCCCATTGCAGTTCATTTCACCATAATTATAAAAGCACTTTCATCTTCATACATATTTAGAATGCCATGCCCTCTTTTCCCGTTATGGTCTGCTCTGTAGCAAAAAAAAAACCCACCCTTTTGAATTTGTCTACCTACAAAGCTTTGTTTTTATAATATATTGAAGTAGCAGACAAGGCAAGTAATTTTTATGTGTGACGATGGTGGCTTGCAGGTATGTAGTAAATCCTCTTATTTCTTTCCTGCCAGAACACTTTCCGGACCCCAGTGTACACAACATCCATGCGGAGGAACGCTATGGGCGTGGGCCTGGTTTTCGAAGCCGACCTTTTCACTACAAAGCATATTTCTCACTGGGTGCTGCAAGGGGTTTGCCTCTCGTTGAATGCTGATTAGGAGCAGAACTTGGTGCAAATTCTGTGGATGGGGAAATATATTAAAAGCCACACACAGAATTCATTCAGTTCCACTTGCTTTTACCTTTGGAAGACTATTGGTTGTGATTTTGAAGAACATTTGTGTTTACCTAGCATAACTCAAGATTTTTACAAATATTTAAATACTTTCATTTGTTTGAAAATAAAGAACTCTGTTTTGTTCAGCACAGGCAACGAATTCGATTTGTTTTTTAAAAGCCTCAAAGATATTTGAAAATACAAAAGACTACAACACATTATAATTTTCATAAGCTTTCATAGGCTAGTCTGTCATTAGATACATGATGCATGTGGTTGGCAGGGGTGAGCAAACACTAAGTGCAGAATTTATTTTATTTATTTATTTGGAGTGCTTCTACCCCGCCCTTCTCAACCCCCTAGGGGGGACTCAGGGCAGCTTACAAAAGGCTCAATTTGATGCCCAACAATTCACAAAATACAATATACAAATTACAATATAGTGACAACAGTTATAACTAATTAAAACAATCAAATCAATACAATAGCAGCAATAAAATCATCTTGTGGTCAATGTTCGCCAATTCATAAATCCATAATCCATCCAGCATTGTCATTGTCCTTTCCTACTCTAGTTGTCATTGTCTTTTATCCATCTGCCAGCTTACCCGAAGGCCCATATCCAGGTTTTTAATTTCCTTCTGAAAGAGAGGAGGGATGTTGATGACCTAATTTCCCCGGGGAGTGCATTCCACAGGCGAGGGGCCACCACCGAGAAGGCCCTGTCCCTCGTCCCCACCAGTCTCACTTGTGACAAAGGTGGGGCCAAGAGTAGGGCCTCCCCAGAAGATCTTAAACTCTGAGGTGGGACGTATTTATTATTTATTTTGTGTACTTCTACCCCGCCCTTCTCAACCCCCGAGGGGGGACTCAGGGTGGCTTACAAAAAGGCACAATTTGATGCCTACACAGTAATACAGATAAAAAATAAACAGCAATTAAAACACTTATAACAGTTAAAACAATCAATATATATCACAGTTAATCAATAAAAACCAATCTTATGCTCAGCACTCGCAACTCAGAGTCCATAATTTCATTCCACATTTTCCATTCCTATCGGTCGTTGTCCTTTATTTATCTGCAAGATTGCCCAAACGCCTGGTCCCAAATCCATGTCTTTAATTTCCTTCTAAAGGAAAGGAGGGATGACAATAATCTAATTATTTGTTGTGAACCGATGTGAGTCGCCTTCAGGCTGAGAACAGCGGTATATAAGTAAAGTAAAAAAAAATTTCCCTGGGGAGTGAATTCCACAGGTGAGGGGCCACCACCGAGAAGGCCCTGCTCCTCGTCTCAGTTGTGATAGAGGCGGGGTCGAGAGCAGGGTCTCCCTGGAAGATCTTAAACTCTGAGGTGGGAGATAGAGGGAGATACGTTCGGACAGATACCCTGGGCTGGAACCGTATAGGGTTTTGTAGGTCAAAACCAGCACTTTGAATTGTGCTCGGAACTGGATCGGCAGCCAGTGGAGCTGACACAACAGGGGGGTGGTATGCTCCCTGTATGACGCTCCGGTGAGCAATCTGGCTGCCTCCCATTGGACTAATTGAAGTTTTCGAACAGTCTTCAAAGGCAACCCCACGTAGAGTGCGTTGCAGTAATCTATTCGGGATGTAACAAGAGCGTGGACCACCGTGGCCAGATCCGACTTCCCAAGGTACGGGCGCAGCTGGCGCACAAGTTTTAATTGTGCAAAAGCTCTCCTGGCCACCGCCGAGACCTGGGATTCCAGGCTCAGCGATGAGTCCAGGATCACTCCCAAGCTGCGAACCTGCGTCTTCAGGGGGAGAAGGAAATTAAATGGGTTGATATGGCCAGTGACAATTGCATTCTTAACAGTGGTCGTTCACCCAGTAGTTGTTCTTGTTTATCCAATACCAGTCTATAAGTGTTAGCTAATTGATACATATGGATCAGAATCCTGTTGGTGTCCTATAAATGCAGAAGCGAGAGATTTTCTTTCCCATAAGATGTCAGTTCAAGTTTGTAGAAGCAGAGTTGGACATATGGCAGTGAGACTTTCAAGCCCTGGGCCAGGCAGCATCCACTTGTGGTTCTACAAGTTGCTAGAGATCTGTGGGAGTAACCTCTGCTCTCTTCTCCAGCCACAGAACTGTAGCTGGGATGGATGGCCAGGAAGTGGCGAGAGTTGGGAAGGCATATTTCCAGCCAGCTTAAAGCAAGCTGTGATAAAACCGCTGTTGAAAAAACCATCACTGGACCCCACTCAATTCGTCAACTATCGGCCTGTTTCCAATCTCCCCTTCTTGGGCAAAGTCCTGGAACGTGTGGTGGCCTCACAACTCCAGGTATTCTTGGTAGACACGGATTATCTGGACCCGGCACAGTCTGGCTTTAGGCCGGGACATGGTACCGAGACAGCCTTGGTCGCCTTAGTGGATGATCTGCGCCGGGAGCTCGACAGGGGGAGTGTGTCCTGTTGGTGCTGCTGGACCTCTCAGCGGCCTTCGATACCGTCGACCACGGTATCCTTCTGGGACGCCTCGCGGGAATGGGTCTTGGAGGAACTGTTTTACAGTGGCTCCGCTCATTCCTCGAGGGTCGGTCTCAGAAGGTGTTACTGGGAGACTCCTGTTCAACCCCACAACCTTTGTCTTGTGGGGTTCCTCAGGGTTCAATATTGTCTCCCATGTTGTTTAACATCTACATGAAGCCGCTGGGTGAGATCATCCGGAGTTTCGGAGTGCGATGTCATCTGTACGGATGATGTCCAACTCTGTCACTCCTTTCCACCTGCTACTAAGGAGGCTGTCGAGGTCCTGAACCAGTGCTTGGCCGCTGTGACGGTCTGGATGGGGGCGAACAAATTGAAATTGAATCCAGACAAGACAGAGGTACTCCTGGTCAGTCGCAAGGCCGAACAGGGTATAGGGTTACAGCCTGTGTTGGATGGGGTCGCACTCCCCCTGAAGACGCAGGTTAGTTTGGGTGTGATCCTGGACTCATCGCTGAGCCTGGAACCCCAGGTTTCGGCGGTGACCAGGGGAGCATTCGCACAGTTAAAACTTGTGCGCCAACTGCGCCCGTACCTTGGGAAGTCTGACTTGGCCACGGTAGTCCACGCTCTGGTTACATCCCGTTTAGACTACTGCAACGCTCTCTACGTGGGGTTGCCTTTGAAGACGGCTCGAAGCTCCAATTAGTCCAACGGTCGGCAGCCATGATACTAACTGGAGCGGAGCGCAGGGAGCACACAACTCCTCTGCTGCACCAGCTCCACTGGCTGCCGATTTGCTACCGGGCTCAATTCAAAGTGCTGGCGTTGGCCTTTAAAGCCCTAAACGGTTCTGGCCCAACCTACCTATCCGAACGTATCTCGACCTATCAGCCCACCAGGACTCAATTCAAAGTTCTGGCGTTGGCCTTTAAAGCCCTAAACGGTTCTGGCCCAACCTACCTATCCGAACGTATCTCGGCCTATCAGCCCACCAGGACCCTAAGATCTTCTGGGGAGGCCTTGCTCTCTATCCCGCCTGCTTCACAGGTGCGGCTGGCGGGGACGAGAGACAGGGCCTTTTCTGTGGTGGCCCCTCGGCTCTGGAACGCCCTTCCCATGGAGGTAAGATCAGCCTCCTCGCTGATGGTATTCCGAAGAAGACTAAAAACTTGGATGTTCAAGCAGGCATTTGGTTAATTCGGTGCAATGAATGTGTCGACTACGGATTGGTAATATGGATGATGCAATTGGACCACGATTTTAGTTAGGAGATGTATTGGATTGTGATTTACGTGTAATATTGTGTATTATGTTTTTTATGGTTTTAATTGTATACTGTGTACTGTATATTTTGTTGTAAACCGCGTTGAGTCGCCAGTTAGGCTGAGAAACGGCGGTATACAAGGACAGTAAATAAATAAATAAAATAAATAAATAAATAAATTGTGCTCCCAGAGCTTGAAAGAGGCGGGGATGTGCCTGTTTGGATGGGTCACAAAGACGCAGCAATTTTCCCCTTGTGCAACATCCCAAGAAAGACACAGGCCTGTAAAAAAAGAAAAGAGGATCCCAGCCAATGTGTAGGAGTTGCAGTTGTACAGCAGTATTGAAAAAGTGAATCAGCCATCAAGCTGAACATCATTCGGTCCACACAATGGCTTCGCCTGATGGATCCTCCTGCGCATGTAAGACTCAAAATGCCTTTTATCAGCAAACTTACTGACCACTACATAGAATCATAGAATCACAGACTTAGAAGAGTCCCCAAGGGCCATCCAGCTCAACTTCAATCTGCCATGCCGGAACGCACAATCAAAGCACCCCTGACAGGTGGCCATCCAGCCTCTGCTTAAAAAAAAAAATCTTTTCAACAATTAGCTTTTTAACAAGGAATGATGTCCTACAGGACAGACCTGGAAGGGGCAATGGCAGAACATTTGCCATCTGTTGCTCACACAGAATCACTGACATCATCAGTTAGTTGCAGACCATTCTGAAAACTGACATTCTGCTTCCACAAGTTTTGGGTGGCTGTCCTCAACTAATATTGCAAACCCCAGGCGAAGGTACTGCCTATCGGCCACAACTCCCACATTTCAAGCTCTGGGAGCACAACGCTGACATTGACTTACCTTTGCCTCCTGATTTTAATAAGTTTGTGGCTTTGATAAGCCGTATGGTCAAGGCCCTGGACCTCCCAGCTCCCAAAGCCTCTGGCGCAGTGGAGGACCCCATGTTTCCCTCAGATGAGCAGAAAACTCCCTCCACCTCTGCCCTCCCACCGTTGCCTTACCTGCTTAAATTAGCCAAAGTGGACGATGTGTCGCTAGCTTCTGTACCGGCAATTCCAAAGCGCATTGATACCATGTATAAGATCGATCTAGCAACTGCTGATTGGGTGTTGCGCCCTACTAGGCCTAACACTGTTGTTGCCGAGGCTGCAAAAGCTAGACGTCCCAAAGGGGCCACCCTGTCCCCTTTTGGTCATTTCTGTTGTTCATCCCTGTGTGTTTCTTGGACACAGCACATCGCATTTCTTATCTCGGCACAGTTCATAGAGCAGTTGTTCTTTGGCAGCTGACATGCCTTCAATGTTGATTGCGATTATTGTCATGATTGGTCCTGAAAAGGTCCGTTGATTGTTTTGCTTACTTGTTTGCATGCTGCAAGTCGCTTCTGGTTGCTTCTGGAGTGAGAGAATCAGCCGTCTATGGAGATGTTGCCCAGCGGACGCCCGGATGTCTTGCAATCCTGCATATATCAGTTAAAACAATTAAATCACCTCATAAATACATATAAAAACCATAAAAGGTATAAAAACTATAAAAATCTATTTAAAAAACAATGTCTTCCAGTCCAATTCCTCGTCCATTTACATCATCTTAGCCGTTCCATGTTTTGTATTACAATTATGTGTTTATCTGGTCATGCGGAAGCTCCAAACGCTTGCTCGAAGAGCCAGGTTTTCATTCTTTTCTGAACAGTCAGGAGGGAGGGGGCCGATCTACTATCCCTGGGAAGGGAGTTCCACAGCCGAGGGGCCACCACTGAGAAGGCCCTGTCTCTCATCCCTGCCAGACACGCAGGCGGGAGCAGGGTCTCCCCAGATTATCTAAGTAGATGATGAAGATTTCCTGATTTTGGAAAGATTCTGGGAGATGGGGGGGGGGCATTTGAATTTGTAATTTAGGATCAGAAGTTCTATTTTGCAATGATTCGGTCAATTCGCACCAATGAGGAAACTGGTGAGGCTGGTTTTTCTGTCATATTTGGGGTGGGGGGTGGGGTGGGGACAGCTCTTGGTGTTTGAGTACACACACACATAATGCAAAGTAGGTAGGTAGGTAGCGCTGGCATTTCAAGTTTCAAAAACAAGAAAAGTCCTAGTACTGTTAGCGGAGTAAAATAAAATAAAAACACTCAAAATGGCCTTTTAACTCACAGCTCCTTTGAAATGCATGCCTACCCACACTTCTTTAGCAGAATTTAGAAAATAATAGTTGGAATAAGAAGACAAGATAAGAATGATGTCGAAAGAAAAAGAATTTATTTATTTTTCAAAAAGCTACTGCTAGCACTCTGAGTCCTAAGTCCCAGGCAGGAGCACTGCACAGGAACAGAAATAAAAGAAGAGATGCAAATGGAGCTACATGTTTTCTTCCCAACACAACACCACGCCATAAAATGGAGGCACTTCATGCAAACTATATATATAGACCAGCTTGGCCAAAAGCCATATTATCTGTTTTCTTCTTCTGATTGACTATGGCTAGACTAATGACAAAAAAACTGTGTGTAGCTGCTTTTGTCAGTCATCATTATGCCAGTCACTGCCCCCAGGGTGACGAAGTACTACTATCACAAAAGAGAAGTCCAAATCAACAAATCCTTCTTGAACTTATCTGAAAGATCTGGCAGCTTGTGATTTATTCCAGTAAATCTTTGGCGGGGTCTTTCCTGGTTTGTATTACAGTGGGTCAGGTGCCAAATCACCAAAATTATCCGAAATCCAAATCCATCTCTGGTATTTTGCCTACCCTTATGTACCTATAGCCAGATGCTCAATCGCCTTCCAGAACCCCTGGGATGTCCTAGAACAGCGATCCTCAAACTTTTTAAAAAGAGGGCCAGGTCACAGTCTGTCGCGATCCAGACGCCTTTAAAGAGCCAGACACAGGGATAAACTCAAAACAAAGTTTATTAAGGCAACAAAAAGGACTCAGGAACACTTACTTCAGTGTTCCTGGCCACAACTTAAAGTCTCTAGCAATTTGCAGTGCAAAAACTTAACTTGGCAAATAACCCGGATTAAACCGGGATATAATCCGGGATAAACAAAAATTCGAGCAAAACGCTCCAAAAATACGCAGTTGAAAATAGGCAAGCAAACAAAAGGCTGAGAAGCAAAACTGTTGTCCAAAATCAGTCCGAAGTCAATGGAAGTCCAATAGAAGAAGTTATAGTCCAAAAAGCAGCGTCATTGTCCAGGCAATCTGAAGTCAAAGGAAGGGTGGGAAGCCAGCATGAAACAGGTGAGTTTGTAGTTATATAAACTACTGGTGTCTCACCAAACTAGAAATCCCAGAATTCTACAACATTGAGCCTTGGTAGTTAAAATGATATCAAATTCCATTACTCCTACAATGTAGATGAAGCCATAATTTCTCATGGTAGAACTACGCACAACACTTGTTCAAAGTATAATCTAATCCATCATTTTGATGTCTTTTTTGCAAAAGCAAGGTTGAGACATTTTATTTTGTTTGTATATTGATTTATTTCAGCATATATAAAACCTGAGATACTTGTCCACTGTTGTTAAAACTCTTCAGAATTCCTCAGAAATTTTGCCTGAGGTTTTGTATCTTCATTCATGTTTACTTCTTCATGGTTTGCAGGACTTTGTCCATTGATATAATACAGAAATAGCATCTGAGCATTAGTGCAGCTGACAATTTAACACCATCATTTTCCTGTTTGCTATATCACTGTTACAGTTTGCACTTTGGAAGCAAGCACACCTGTCAGGAGAAAATATATGCATGAGTAAGATAATAAAGATTGCAACAGTACAATAACTCCATATCTATGATATCATCATGTTATAAGTATATGGTTTTATTACTTGTTAATCAAAGTCCTCCTCAATGGATGCCCCACCCACAATTGCAAAATTGGAGTATTTTGAGGTGTCAAAAGCCTGGTAAGATTTGGAAATATCATAAGCCCAGTATGCCTTGCCAAAGGATCTTTAAAAAAGAAATAATAAAATTTTCTTTATTATTGGTCTTCTCAAAAACTGTTTATTAAAGGTTACCTGTCTGAGGGTGCTTCCAGACAGCCCTTTAACACGGGAACATATGTGTTTTAAAAATGCGAATGTTCCCAGGTCCCCATCCACACACACCCAGGAAACAACAACAACAACAACTTTATTTTTGTACCCCACCTCCATCTCCCCAAAGGGAGTCGTGGTAGCTTACATGAGGACAAGCAGAATCAACATAGTTAAAATATCAACATAGTTAAAATAGACAACATCAAGTATTAGTGAGAAAACTTTGGTGGAGACACCTTTTCACTGCAAAAGGTGAACGTTTCTTCCAAAGGGGTCAATTTCTCTCACTTCCTGTTGTCTCACCACTATTCTTAACTATGTCAGATGTTTGTAACTCAGAAACTGTCAGGTGTGCTCCAAGCTCATTTAGGAAAGAGATGGTGCACAGTTCCCCACCGAGGGCTAGTTTAAAAATGTGGTACTACAGAACTCAATGTGTAGGCAGGCGCAGGGTTAATACTATGAGATTTTGGGACTTCTGTGGTGCACATACTCACCAGCTAGGAGGAAGAAAGGAATGGAGCCCCATCCCACACCAAGAGACCAGTCATACCATGTCCTGAATATTCTTTGGTACTGCTCAGAGTATACACCTGTAAAGGTAGCCATGGCAATCAGAGCACAAAGGCCTAGGGACAAAAAGAGAGAAAGGAAATTGTGTAGGACCATGCATTTATAAAGAATCTATCCTCCTGTTTCACCAAGATAAATATATCCTGTGATTTTTTATGTACCTCTCAAATATTGGCTCCACATTTCACCTTCCCACCTTTGTGCACTACAGTAGCAAAGAGTGGTCCCAAATTTCTGCCACTTATAATATACAATAAACAATCACTGGGACAAAAGAAATTCTTACTAATCTATGAACTTGGGACATTAGAGTAGGCTTGTTCAGTGTGGGAGAAATCAAAACTTATATTGCTCTAGGACAGTGTTTCTCAACCTGGGGGTTGGGACCCCTATGGGGGTCATGAGGAGATGCCAGAGGGGCCTCCAAAGACCATCAGAAAACACAATATTTTCCATTGGTCATGGGGCTTCTGTGTGGGAAGTTTGACCCAATTCTATCATTGGTGGGGGTCGGAATGCTCTTTAATTGTAAGTGAACTATAAATCCCAGAGACTGCAACTCCAAAATGTCAAGTCCCCAAACTCCACCAGTGTTCACATTTGGGCATATTGAGTATTCATGACAAGTTTGGTCCAGATCCATCATTGTTTGAGTCCACAGTGCTTTCTGGATGTATGTGAACTACAACTACAAACCTCAAGGTCAATGCCCACCAAACCTTCTATAGTTTTGTTTTCTGGCTCTCGGTTTTTCTGTGGAACACTCATGAAATTGGGAGCATGATCCATGTAGTCAAAGTTCTGACTTTTTATTTATATTGCTAGATCTGAGGCAGGTGATTTGAGAATCAAAAAATGTACATAAAGATACCAATCGTTTTATAAACCCTCGCCTCCTAAAAGTGTTTTTTCCCCCATATGTTTGGATGATATAACCTTAAATGACACCATGCATCTGAAAAACAGTCTAGAAATACTTTTAAATACATTTTAGTAAATAAATGTGAATTTGTTTAAATATATTACCTGCTATAAAGCTGGCGATAGCAGATACCTTGACCATGGATTTAGCGTGAGAGCAGCAGGACAGGAAACAAAGGCCAAAGAAGGAGACAGCTCCAGCCACTGCTGCCATCAGCATGAAGGCTCTTGTGGCATGGATGTAGTCTATAGGAAGCAGAGATTGTAAGGAAGGTGAGCTAACAAACAAGAGTGGGCATTGTCAACATCTTCTCATTTAGTTTCTCCTTCTCCCCATTTAGTCTGGCAAGGTCACCAGCATCTTGGAACTAGACCTAATGGTAGGGGCAACCTCTTGCCATCATGGTGATGAAGCTTTCATGCAACACCTGTCTCAATGGTGGAGTACAAATAGGAAAAAATATAGTAGAAAGCCGATGGTGGCTGACATCTTCTAAAATTTCAGAATTCTAACAAAACTTTCAAAATTTCATTATTATTTCATTATTGGCAATTTTTATGACAGACCCAATTAGGAACTGCCATTTACAATGAAATTTTGAAAGTTTTGTTAGAGTTCTGAAATTTTCACCACCAGAACTTTAGCAACACTATAGAAGCAAAGCACCAGCACCCTCTAGTTTGTAAGTACTTTAGAGCCATTTAGATCCATGGATTGCCCATGCCTCATGGGCAGGCATAGACAAGTAATATCATCTGCTGAGATCCTCAGAGGACTTCAGCAACTCTTTGTTAAAGAGGTCTTCAGTCTGCTCCTCATGATGGGGACACAGCCAAGTGATTCTCCAATGCCACTCTCCACCATATAATATTGCAGTGGCATGTTGAATCCTGGGGCTGGTGAAAGTGGTGCCATAAGAGAGTTCTACATGTCAATTCCTCACACAACATACATTCACATAGGAACTGTGCCTGTAGCTCACAGCATGTGCCAGTAGGATCAGATTGTAAGATGACTCACACTAAATGACAATTGACTTGTGTCTCCATGGATAAATTATCTAATTGGTGTCTGTTTCTCAGTCTAATATGCAGAAGAGAACATTGTCTTCAAAGAAAGTACATTTTAAACTGCTTGGCCCCATTTTTGGGATCCTAACTTGGTCATTCAAGGAGGGACACTTTGAATTCTCAGTCAGGAAGCTCAGATGCTTCAGAAAACTACAAATTCCTGTTTGTACTGGATTCTACCATGATGGTTGTGAATGGGTACCAGTAAGTAGTAAAGTACCACAGAATCCTCTGCTACATATAGGTAAGTTCTGACTGATGAAGAGCAGGGATTTCCCAGCAGAAAGATCAGTGAGGGGAGCCTTGGAAATATAGCAGAGTTGCTGTTACTGTAGTCACAGAATATCTGAGGGTTAGTCCACTAGCTGATCCACAAACAGAATAGATATCACAATTCTTAACCTCCTTTTCTAGGTGAATAAAGAATGGAATGCCTGGGTTTTGAGGGAAGGGAATGTTGCAGTCTAAATTGATGCTGAGAGCATGCATTGCTGGTAGTAGTGATAAGATCTTACCTGGTACATCCATCCCAAATAAAACACATGGCAAGCCATTGCGACAAACTTTCCACAGTCCCATGTGAAGCTGTCCTTGCACCCAGAATTCTGAGGCCAAGGCAGCAAGGAGCAGTGCAAAACCAATGAAAGAGAAGACCCCAGCACTGATCCTCAGGCAACTCATGGTAGATGATGGCACTTTGGGGGTGCGTCTGAGGAAAGAAAGAGATGTTTAAATTTTGTCATTCTGGGTCACTGGAGGAGATGAGGGAGCAACCTTTTTGTTGCCTTTGAGACACACAAGGATATTTGCAAGGGACCCAGTGAAGTTTTGACTCTGTCTTTTCCTCTCCTCTGCTTTAGTTCCCCCTGTTCATAGGTTTCCCCAATAGTGTAGATACCTTGCTTTGTATTAGTTTTGGGTGGAGCTTAGAATCCCCCCAGAGGCAAACCTTAGTTGGTCTATTCCATTTCCCTGTATAGAGATCTCTTGCTGGACTCCTCCCTCTTTCTACAGCAGAGCTACTGTGACTTAGGCTTGGGGTTGTCTGGTAACCGCAAGCCAAGAAATTCAAACAGGCATCCGTAGTATTTTTATACCAGCAGTCCAAAGGCCAACAGAAGCTTATGACCAGTTTATGCTTCACAAGAAAGAAGATTGAGATGTACCAGAGGCAGAAGAATCCAGAGAGATTACTACAGCCAGCAAAGGCTCTATTTGTAACATATTGTTTTAAGCTACCTTATGATAGTCCTGGGTGGAGTTAACCCTTTATTTATCTTGTTTACAGTAAACCCGTTTTGGATATCTTTTCACCTTGTCTAAGGTGCCTTTGTTTGCTAAAGGTCTTAATCTTAACAGAAGGTATACAGATAGCCCACGAGTAAAGCCAGACATTTTAGTTTTTCCCAAAGGCTCGAGGGTGCCATCACAGACCCCAACTCTCTATTTAAAAAAATATGCCTGAAAAACTGCTCAAAACCCTTGAGCTCAATTATTTTAGTACCGTATATACACAAGTATAAGCTGACTTTTTCAGCACGTTCCTTCCTTCCTCTCCATCTCCTCTACCTTTTTATTGCTCTCCTCCTCTTTCTTCCCTCTTTTCCTCCTTGTCCTCCTCCTATTTTTACTCCCTCTTCCTTTTTATTCCTCTCCTTCTCCTCCTTCCTCTATTCCTCCTTCTGTTGCTTCTTTTTCTTCCTTCTTCTCCTCCTCTTCCTTTTTCTTCCTCTCCTCCTCCTCTTTCTTCCTTTTTTATCCTTTTTCTTTCCCTCCTTTTCCTCCTTCCTCTTTTCCCCTCCTCCTCTTATTTTTGAAATTTACCAGTAGCTGCTGCATTTCCCACCCTAGGCTTATACTCGAGTCAATAAATTTTCCCAGGGTTTTTTTTTGTGGTAAAATTAGGTGCCTTGGCATCAGACCCATAGCCGGGGGGGGGGGGGGGGGGGGGTTGAGGGGCTTCAGCCCCCCCCTCCAAATTCTCAGGGTGGTCACAAGAAGGCCTTACTAGTACATTATTTAAACTGTTATGTTTATTCATATCATGATCTTATCACCATGATCAATATATCCCATATGCATGGGGGTATTGGGATAATGATACAAAAGGTTTTGCTAGGGTAGATCCTGAGTTGTCGTCGTCCCCGAAAGCTCCGCCCCCCCCCCCCCCCCCCCCCGGAATCAAAATTCTGGCTACGGGCCTGCTTGGCATATATACTCGAGTATATATGGTAATTTCTAACCCCATTATTTGGTATTACCACAACTCAAAAATGCTCCAATGCAGCTAAAATAGGACTAAAACTGAAAGTGGCATCACATTGCAGCCTGCCGGGAAGAGACAGAGTTCAAAATTTTCCTTATTCCACTTCAGTTGCTCACTCCTGCCACACCACTGCCTATTACTTTTGATAGAAACTGTGCTTCTCATCTAAAGAGTCACTGCCTTCTAGTGGCCAAGAGCAGAGAAAGGACCAGTTGGTGCCAATACAGCTGTCTGAGGTGGCCCATATACTGTGGTCTATTGCATTGCTTCTTAACCTGTGGGTCCCAATCCCAAATGAGGTGTCCAGTTTGCAGTAGAGTGGAGCTTCTTAAACTTTTTCCACTGGCAACCTCTTTCTGCCTGAATTTTTAAATAATAATAGTAATAATAGTAATAATAATAATAATCTTTATTTTTAGACTGGGGGACTCAGGCAGTTTACACATACAGAGGCAAACATTCAATGCCTGACATATACCAAAACATTACAGCAATAGAACATAATACAAAATAATGTGGTGCAGTGGGTTAAACCCTTGTGCCAACAGGACTGAAGACTGACAGGTCACAGTTTCGAATCCAGGGAGAGGCAGATGAGCTCCCTCTATCAGCTCCAGCTCCTTGTGCAGGGACATGAGAGAAGCCTCTCAAAAGGATGATAAAACATCAATTCATCCGGGTGTCCCCTGGGCAACGTCCTTGCAGACAGCCAATTCTCTCACGCTAGAAGCGACTTGCAGTTTCTCAAGTCGCTCCTGACGCGACAAAAAAAAGCATTATACTAATCAAATAACATTAAATATCAAAATAAAAACATAGAACAGCTAATCAGTAAACAAATACATTTAAAAGCATTGTTATCAATAAGACATCTGACATAGTCATAATAAGAATAATATATCTCTCCCCCACTTTCCCCCCATTTTTCTTTTTCCCTTTTTCCCTTTTTTAAGAGAAGGATGTATAAAAAGAAGGTGCAGGTAAAAGCAAGGTTACATTAAAATGAAGTGTGCATAAATATGAGCACCAATGGAAATTAAGTGTAATCAAGGTCTACCAAAAAAAAAACAACAAACCAACTGGGACCTGGTCAAACACTATTTTAATAATTATAATAGCAATAATAAACCTTGACAAAATCACAATCTGTCAACTGCAAAAGGCCATCTTACTTGGATCTGCATGCATCATTCAAAAATACATCACACAGTCCTAGATGCTTGGGAAGTGTTGGACTTGAGATTTTGTGATACGAAATCCAGCATATAGATCTCATTTGCTGTGACATACTGTACTTTTGTGTCAATAAAATAATAATGTTATTTCTCATCCTCCTCTCCTTGTGGTTCAAGGCGGATTACAATATAACTAAAATACATAATCATTATAATAAAACACACATTGTAAAACATATTTCTACAACATACATATATTAAAATACACAGACCAAAGATTACAATATAGTTAGTAGGCATGATTTGTGATCCATAAAAATTGTGATTTATAGTGATTTAAAAAACTAATAATGTTTATATAAAATTGTAATAATAATTTATAAAACTGTAATAATGTAATAATGGGGCCCCCTGGTGGAGCAATAGGTTAAATTGCTGAGCTGCTGAACTTGCTGACCAAAAGGTTGGCAGTTTGAATCCAGGTACTACACAATATCCCAGAGTACTTGTAAGGTATCAGCACAAACACAAAACAATCTATGCGTAATGTCAAAGTGTATTATCAAAAGCGCATATAGTATTCAATTTACCGAAATCCCCAGTATATAGCTCAATTCAGTGGTACACAGAAATCAAAAGGAGCAGCCGCTCTCAAACATAACAGTTCTAGATCTGGATAGGGATTCCACTGGATAGGGATAGCCTTCAGGGATACATCCAATAAGAAAAGTCATATAAACAAAGTAAGCATTGAGTCATGAGGCTATATGTAAACTGAAGACAATAATGAAGATGGAGCGCCACTCTCAAAATAATCTTCATGGAAAAAATCCAAYTCAAGTCCAGTGAAAATGGAGCACTGCTTCTCAAAATAAGTCTTCAAAGGAAAAGTTCAAATGGCATTCAACAGGGGTGCCCGGGTATTTTTGTACCCTGTTTCGGGGAAAGCAATCCCCTTCCTCAGGAGTTGATAAAATCAGCAACTCTAGACTCTTATATCATGCCAGATAGCTTATACAAAAAGTGACTCTGCTTGAAGTAAATTMATTGAATCCAGGAGCAGGACGAGCTCCCGTTGTTAGCCCCAGCTTCTGCCAACCTAGCAATTCGAAAACATACAATGACAACATGGAGTCTGTTCACCTTTCTATCTGGAAACAATTGACTGATGTTTCCGTGCACCAGTATTTCTCAATCTGGGGGACCCCTGGGGATGGGGTTGTGAGGGGTTGTCTGAACGGTCACCAAAGACCATCAGAAAACACTAAATTCTGTTGGCCTTGGGGTTCTGTGTGGGAAGTTTGGCCCAATTCTCTCATTGGTGGGGTTCAGAATGCTCTTTGATTGTAGATAAACTATAAATCCCAGCAACTGCAACTCTCAAATGTCAAGTCTCTTTCCCCCAAACTCCACTAGTGTTCACATTTGGGTATATTGAGTATCCGTGTCAGGGTTAGTCCAGATCTATCATTGTTTGATTCCACAGTGCTCTCTGGATGTAGYTGAACTACAACTCCAAAACTCATGGTCAATGCCCACCAAACCCTTCCAGTATTTTCTGTTGGTCATGGGAGTTCTGTGTGCCAAGTTTGGTTCAATTCCATTGTCGGTGGCGTTCAGAATACTCTTTGATTTTAGGTTAACTATAAATCCCAGCAACTACAACTCCCAAATGACATAATCAATCCCCCCCCCTCCGCCCAAGCCCACGAGTATTCCAATTTGGGAATAGTGGGTATTTGTGCCAAATTAGGTCCAGTGAATGAAAATGCATCCTGCGTATCAGATATTTACATTACAATTCATAACAGTAGCAAAATTGCAGTTACGAAGTAGCAATGAAAATAATTGTATGGTTGGAGGTCACCACAACATGAGAAACTGTATTAAGGGGTCGCGACATTAGGAAGGTTGAGAACCACTGCTGTAGATAGGTAGATAAGCTTCTGGCTACTGCAGAGGTTTTCTACTAGCCAGTGCTGGCAATACTCAGCTAGTTGGATTTTGGGTCTAACTCAGCAGCTTCCTTTCTCCCTAACTGCTCTTTGCATCCCCTGCAGGGATATGTCCTCACCTGTCTTAGAGTCACCTTGTCCTTTCTTCAGATGCAAGTAGCCCTCTGGAAAGTGTCACTGGCATATTCTGGCTTCCCGACCCAGAAGACTTTACTTTAAAGGGATGGGCAGGATTGACCCATCCTGTCACATGCTAACACTTTTACGGGTGACACATATTTGTGCTGTGCTTTATGACCCATTAACTTCCCTTTACATTTCCTTTCTCAACTGCTGACGTCACTCAAAATATATTCTGTCTGTTTGCTTTTTTGAATCTAGTCATTTGCAGAGGAAGAATATAATTTTTCTTTCATTTTAAAGAGGATGAGGTAAAGTCAAAGAGAGAGAATCAACGTGGTGTCAGAGAAAATTGCGGTGTAGAGGTTTGAGTGTGGGACTCGGATTCCAATAGTCCAATCCCCTCTATGGCCATAGAAAACCACTGAGTGACTCTTGGATCAACATGATGGCAAATAACAACATAGAATCAAATGACAACTACCAATTACATGGCTATATTGGAATCTGAGAAAATATGCCTCTATATATCAGTACAGAAGAATATGAATGTATGAGGGTAGAATGAAAAGTAATGCCCTCACTTTCATTACTTGGGTTTGGATGGGAATATTTTAATAAATCAAATGCAGAAATAATTCTTAGAAGGTGCTCTTTAACTACCACTATTCACTTTTCCACATAATCACCTGACAATTGGATAAATTCCTGCCAACGATGAACAAATTTTCTGAAACCGTTGCGGAAGAAGTCGACACTCTGTTTCCGCAACCAGCATCTCACAGTTCTCTCAACGTCTTCATCAGAAGCATAATGATGTCCCCACAGATCTTCTTCCATTATAGGGAACAGATGGAAGTCAGCTGGTGCTAAATCTGGCCTGTATGGAGGATGTTTTACGATGGTGAGATCCAGTCTCTGAAGTTTCAAGTCTATCGGTGCTAAATCTGGACTGTATGGAGGATGTCGTACGGTGGTGAGATCCAGTCTCTGAAGTTTCAAGTCTGTCGGTGCTAAATCTGGACTGTATGGGGGATGTTGTACGGTGGTGAGATCCAGTCCCTGAAGTTTCAAGTCTGTGCACTTTCATTTCAGGTGCCAACATCCTGGGTACCCATCGTGCACAGATCTTCCGATAGCCAAGCAAAGCAATAATTTTTGTTAAATGCTGATTATGCTTGAAATTTCTCTCTGAGTGATACGATGATCGTCCTGAATCAATCTGTCAACCTTTTGCTTGTGAAACTCGGTGGTTGCTGCCACAGGACATCCAACTGTTTGTTTGTCACATAAGTCAGATGTTTCCACCTCAACATCTTTAAACTTACTCACCCAATGACGTACAATACTCACATCAACACAATCACCCTAAACAGCTTGCATTTTCTGATGAATCTCCTTTGGGGTGGCACCTTCTGTTGTCAAGAATTCAATAACTGCACGTTGCTTAAGTCGCATTGACTGACCGTCTGCTCAGAGTTCCATACTTCTCACTTTAACAACACAACCATTCAATGCTAAGGCTTCTTGCCAAAATGGAACTGTAGAGGAGAGTCTACTGAACAAGCCAGTACCTGCCGCATACCAGTACTGCCATCTGTTGAGGAGTTACGAAGGTGGAGGCATTACTTTTCATTCAACCCTCGTAATAACCCTTGATGTATCATTGGGTAATATCAAAGTCCACAGTTTGGCCCAAAACATACCCTTAGTTTATACATGAAGTCAACATTTACATGAGTATATACAGTAATTTCTTTTTCTTCCATCTGGGAAAATTAAGCCATGTCCTCCATGCTACTGAATGGGGTCAAGCTTGTTTTGGGAAGAAACACCTTCACTGTTCATGTGAGCAAGAAGGCACTGGATGGGCAAGAGAGGGGCAGGGGGTTGAGTGGGAGAGTGAGTGAGTGGGGGCGGGCAAGTGAGCTGGTAAGCGGGGGTGGGCTGGCAAATGGGGGGCAGGTTAGGGTATGCATACAAGGAGAGGGGTGCTGTGTGTCCCTTCTGGCACACATGTCATAGGTTTGCCACCACTGCTCTAGATAGTAGGACCTGAATCAGTAGATTTGGGTGATGACGAATGAGATTTTGACAAAATGTTAGAAAGAGCTTTTAGAAGATATTTTACTTACTTAGGTGATCCCTCATAGCCTGAGGATGATGGTCCTCCAAGTCTGGTGTCTTGGCAGTGGGTTCGTAGGTGGCTGTGGAGCCCTATTCTTGATCCACATGTTCTCCTGCAGTGAGGACATCAGTTGGCTTGATGCACCTTCCTCTTGGCACTTTTCTCCCTTTTGCCCTCCATTCGTGCCTTTTCGAATTCTGCAGCATTGCTGATCACAGCTGGCCTTCAGTTAGAGTGCTAAAGGGCCAGGGCTTCCCAGTTATTGGTGTCTATGCCACAGTTTTTAAGGTTGGCTTTAAGCCCATAGTCACTGAGAACTGGGAAGCCCTGGTCCTTGTGTGCTCTAACTGGAGGTCAGCTGTGATCAGCAGTGCTGTAGAATTCAAAAAGGCACAAATGAAGGGTAAAAGGGAGAAACGTGTCAAGAGGAAGGTGTGCCAAGCCAACCCTGGCCAGGATAGCCTTCCACCTGGAAACTGTTGTCCTCACTGAGGGACAACATGCAGATCAAGAACAGAGCTTCACAGCCACCTACGAACCCACTGCCAAGACACTGAACTTGGAGGACCATCATCCTCGAACTACAAGGAATCACCCAAGTAAGTAAGAAGGGCAAGGTATAAATATGATAAATAAATATTTGCAGCGTGCATAGGAATTTGTCCATGTTTTCTTCAGTTAGTTCACACAAATACTCTCCATCCATCTGCCACTGGCCCAGTTTGTCTGTCAATTTTTACAAAGCAATGCGGCCCCTGTGTGCAAAAGTTTGCCCATGACTGATATATATACATTATATAAAATATATAGACATTTCTTGGGGATCCACGAGAAACTTTTGCTTCAAAAGGGGCTCCACCACTGAAAAAGTTTGAGAACCCCTGATCTATTCAATGCGGGCACCATTTCCTGTCTTTACTGTTGGGTCAACATGGGCAAGAACATTCAAAGATACTTTGCTTCTGCAATCAAATCAATGTAGTCTTGATGTCATGCTCTTTTGCCTCCTGTTGTCTGCAGAGAAAGGTTGGTGTTTCTCTCTTGCATGGCTTTCAAAGTGGGGTGGACAAATCCATGGATGCTACATTCAGCCATGGCTCGTAATGGTTACATAACACCTCAATTACCAAGAGAAAGTGTGGTGGCTTTTTTAAAATTAGTGACTGGTTGCCTTCTGCCAGGAAATTAATGTGAAACATCCCGTCCTTTCATTAATGTCCATCCCACCTGCACATTCAACTTCTGAAGCTAAAATGATGTGTTTGAAACTATCAGAAGTATTATTTCCTGCTGAGATATTTTTTAAAAACATTGTAATTTGTCAATCCTAGCAGGAAGATTGTAAAAGCGATAGGAATTATTACACATGATATTACACAATATTGCATAAATAAACCACAAACTGAGAAATATTTATTTCTTAATGCTACATGAATTCTGTTATATTATAAAAAACCAAGTGGGTTGTTCAATGTATTGTTGAAGGCTTTCACGGCCAGAATCACTGTGTTGCTGTAAGTTTTTCAGGCTGTATAGACATGTTCCAGAAGCATTCTCTCCTAACGTTTCACCTGCAACTGTGGCTGGCATCCTCAAAGGTTGTGAGGTCTATTCAGACCTCACAACTTCTGTGAGATTCCTGCCACAGATGCAGGCGAAACGTCAAGAGAGGATCCTTCTGGAACTTGTCCATACAGCCCGAAAAACTTACAACAACCAAGTGGGTTGTTGTTCTGATGTGTCTTCAAGTCACCCTGGAGTTACAGCAATCTTTTCTTAGAGTTTTCTTGGCCAGGTTTCTTCAGGGAAGGTTTGCTATTGTCTTTCTTTCCTCTGAGGTCGAGAGAGTGTGCCTTGCCCAAGGTTACTCTCCAGTAAATAAATGAAATAATTTTGCCTCTGAATCTGGCAGCTGCTGGGACAAGGGAGGGTTTCGTGAGCATTGTCCCTGAGTTTGGGAGTTGTAGTTCACTTACATCCAGAGAGCACAGTGGACTCAAACAATGATGGATCTGGACCAAACTTGGCACAAATACTCAATATGTCTAAAGTGAACCCTAGTGGAGTTTGGGGGAAATAAATTTGATATTTGGGAGCTGTAGTTGCTGAGATTTATAGAATCTCAGAATTTATAGAATTATAGAATTTATACAGTCAAAGAGCACTCTGTACCTCAGTGATAGAATTGGGTCAAATTTCCCACAAAGAACTACTGTGTTTTCTGATGGTCTTTGGTGACCCCTCTGATGCCCCCCCTTGCGACCCCCCCCCCCCCCCGGGGTCCCAACCCCCAAGTTGAGAAATGCTGTTATAGAGGTCTTGCCATTACACAAATTATTTTTGTGTACTGGCAAATGATTTTTTTGTACTCAACCCCCAGGTTGAGAAACACTGTTTTAAGCAAAAGTGCATACAAGAAGACAGTGTATATCTTAATCCTTTTCCAAATTATTTATCTTTTTGAAATGTAAATTGGAAATGGGGCAGAAAAAATCTGGGAAAATGAGAAAGAGAGATCTGCCTATTCCTAAAGAAAGCATGTGTAATGGCAACTAATCCAGATTGGCCGTAGCATCATTTGCAAAGGAGGCCTTACGCTGCAAAATGTGTTTGTCCATATTGGTGTTCTCACAAAGCAAAAGACTCATGAAGCATAAACATGTGTTTATTGTGTTTGCGAAACTGGGGACAAGTTTTGAAAGCACAATTGGGCAAAAGAATCACACTGGAGTCTGATGCAAATGCCAGTAATGAACTTGGTTAAAAAGAGTTCCTTCCTCAATCAGAACAAAGAGAGTGTTAACAAAGCCAGGATGCAAACGAGAGATGACCCAATGCTTCTGGCTCTGCTGTGGGAAGAGAACCCAATCTGTTCCATCAACATCCAGACCCATGATACATTGCCCCCCACAATCAGGTTGCCTTTTAGATACAGTAATTTTCCACAAATCCCATTTGCTCGAATGCAGATTGCCTGTGTCCCATTATGTAAATTTGGATGGCAAATCCTCAAGATTTTTTTCACACACTCAGTTTGCTGTGCTGGTGTGAAATACATAAGCAAGTCCACCTGTCAGGAAAGAAATGTGATTGGTTAGACGAGGAATGCATGAAACAGAGTACAAAACAGTTGATTCCATATTTGTGGGTTCGGGGTTTTTATGGATGTGATTAAAATGTTATCTCTATGGCCAGAGTCATGCTGGAGAACCAAAAGTTTCCTAGAGAGAACAGTTCTCTTGCAATTTCTTGGAGTTTCCCTCAGGAGAGATAAAGTAGGGTCTAAATAAATATAAGAATGTCTAGGTTTTGTCAAAGGCTTTCATGGCTGGAATCACTGGGTTGCTGTAAGTTTTTCAGGTTGTATGGCCATGTTCCAGAAGCATTCTCTCCTGATGTTTCACCTGTATCTATGGCAGGACTCCTCAGAGGTTGTGCTTCTGGAACATGGCCATACAGCCTGAAAACTTTCCAACAACCCAATTTCTAGGTCCCTCAGTGTCATTCTATGGTCATTGCCTGGGAAAAGTTCAGCATTGGCAGCTTTTTATCTTCAGTTTGTTTGTTTGTTTTGTTTGTTTTACTTTTATGGGTGTCCTATACCCCTCACCTCAGGACTGACTGTAACACAAGAAATGCCTTCACTTCTAATGTTATTTTCCTTTTCTCCACTTAGGCAGAAAAAATGAAATGCAAACATACAGAAGGGGGGGAGGGGGCTGGCTCAATAGCAGTACCTGTGAAAAAAACCTTGGAGTCCTCATGGAGAACAAGTTAAACATGAAAGCCAATGGGATTTTGGCCTGTATAAATAGGAGTCTAGTGTCTAGATCCAGGGAATTCATGCTACCCGTCTATTCTGCCTTGCTTAGACCACATGTGGAATACTGTGTCCAACTCTGGGCACCACAATTGAAGGGAGATGTTAACTCTAAGCTGGAATGTGTCCAGAAGAGGACAACTAAAATAATCAAGGGTCTGGAGAACAAGCCCTATGAGGAGCAGCTTAAAGAGTTAGGTATGTTTAGCCTGCAGAAGAGATGACTAAGAGGAAACATGATGTGGGCCAGGTATAAGTGTGAGGGAAAGTTATAGGGAGAAGGGAGCAGGCTTGTTTTCTGCTGTCCTGGAGACTAGGATGCAATGGAACAATGTCTTCAAACTACAGGAAAGGAGATTCCACCTGAACATGAGGAAGAACTTCCTAACTGTGATAGCTGTTCAGCAGTGGAACTCTCTGCCCTGGAGTGTGGTGGTGGCTCCTTCTTACAGGCTTTTAAACAGAGATTGGGTGGCCATCTGTCAGGGGTGCTTTGAATGTGATTTTCCTGCTTCTTGGCAGGAGGTTGGACTGGATGGCCCATGAGGTCTCTTCCAACTCTATGGTTCTAAGCTATCATATTCTGTTGGTCCTCAGTATGTCATCTTATGTTGAACTGCATGTCAAAGCCGACCAGCTCCAACTTGAAAGTCATTGGTTAAACTGTTGGACTGATCCCTCAAAGATCTGGGTTGTAAACTGCAACTGAGCCATGAAAGTCATTGGATTAAATGGGACCAATCTGTTCCAGCATAACATACTTGTATATCACAACATTGTTGTGAGGATTAAAACTAGAATGAAGAGAGATTTGGGTTTGCACAAATAATTGAAGGATAGACTAATAAATGGTAACAATTTCAAAAAAATCAAAACATAATATCTCAAAATAGAAGTTGTGATGTTTCCAGATATTTCCGAGTAGGAAATAATGGATTTGATAGATGCAGAAATGTTGGTCCTTCATAACCTTCACATAGTATGGATCTGTAGTGCAAAACATCTGGAAGGCTAAGGTCTCCTTGCCTTAGATATTCTAGAAGGCATAGATTTTTTAATATTTCAATGAGTCCCCTTTTGACTTCAGATCCCATAACCCTCACCCAGCATGGCCAATGGGAAGGATCTGTAGGGCAAAATGCCTGGAGTACTCAAGGCCTTTGCATTAAGGAGTCCTTCTACACAAACTTGCAGACGGAGGAATAAAGGGATGCATGAGACAGGATTCTGTAAAAAGGAGAAGATTTCACCGTTCCTGTTCTGGACATACTTACCGGTGATAAGGAATAGGGGGAAAGAGGCCCATCCCACGCCAAAAGACCATCCATAGTTTGAGTGTTCTGATGTGTAAATTGACATGGCAATCATGGCCGCTATTCCTGAGATCAAAAACAAAGTGTTAGCAGATGCCTCCTTTGTTTGTTTGTTTGTTTTGTTTTTTATTGTGTAAAAGAAAACAAATACATCAAATATACATAATACAGATACATCTGCCAACCACACTCACCATCTCCCCCCACCCACGAACAACTACCCATGACTTCCGATACCACTCAATGTGAAACTAATATCTCATTAAAATCTACCCTTATCTTTATATTAATAACTCCCCCTTGCTGCTATTTTAAAGTCTACTCGTATATACCCGAGTATAAGCTGACCTGAATATAAGCCGAGGCACCTAATTTAGCACAAAAAACTGGGAAAATGTATTGACTTGAGTATAAACTGAGGGTGGGAAATGCAGCAGCTACTGGTAAATTTCAAAATAAAAATAGATCCCCATAACATTACATTAATTGAGGCATCAGTAGGTTAAATGTTTTTGAATATTTACATAAAACTGTAATTTAAGATAAGACTGTCCAACTCTGATTAAACCATTATTCTAACCTTCTTCAATGGAAATGTGCTTATGTATCCTTCCAATAATATTAAAGAGAGTAAAATAATAAATGTAATAATAATAAGCAATAGAGTAATATAATAAATGTAATAAAATAATAATAGAGTGAAATAATAAATGTAACAATAATAATAAGCAATAGAGTAATATAATAAATGTAATAAAATAATAGAGTAAAATAATTTAAATGTAATAATAATAAATAGAGTAAAATAATGAATGTAATAATAATATAGTAAGGTACAGTGTTCCCTCGCTACTTTGTGGTTCGCTTTTCGTGGACATGCTGTTTCGTGGGTTTTTGCCTCCTGGCAATGATGGAGTGTGGAAGAGGGTTTCATCTCAGGAGACAGGCAGCCAATCATTAAAAAAAGAGAGAGGAGATACAAAAAAAGTATGTAAATCATGGCCTTATAACCTCTTATAGCTAGCAAAAAAAAAGGTGTGCGGTGCCTTTAAATCTCTCCTCGCTTCTGCCTCACCCTCGGAATGCTATATATATATATATTAGGCCTGTCGGTTTTGTTTCGTTAATTCGTTATTTCGTATTTAATTCGTTTTTTTTTTGCATATCCGACGCGATATCAAAACATATTTTCAAACCCGGAAGGGTTTGAAAATATCGAAACAGCAGCCCCATTTTTTTTACGAGCTTCAGCTCGTCTCGTAAATGGAATGGCGGCTGCTGTGCTGACTTCAGTGCTGTGGTCATGTGCTGGTGCCTGGGAGCCAATCCGGCGCTCCCAAGCACCCCAGCAGTGAGTAGCCTCATGCCCCCCCCTTTATTGGGGGGGGGCATCTTGACGATCTTGACAATATTCGAATGTTGCTTGGCCACATATGTCTTGGTTTTCAGACATTAAATGTTGGAGGGCATCGTTGATGTGTGCAACAAGCTACTTCTGAATTATGGTGACCCTAATGCAAACCTATCACAGGGTTTTTCAGATTTATTCAGAGAGGCTTTTGTCTTTACTTGCATCTGACACTGAGGGAGTGTGATTTCTTGATGTCATTCA